TAAGATTACAAAGCGTTGAAGTAAGGGATATTTTACTGTCGCTTCATGTCACTAAAGCAACTGGTCCAGATCATCTTAGCAATCGTGTCTTAAAATGTTTAGCTGAACAATTGTCCATTCCACTTTGTAACCTGTTTGATATTTCTCTGTCCTCTTCTCAATTTCCAGATATATGGAAATGTTCATCCGTTGTTCCAATTTATAAGAAAAATAATGTTCATCATTATACTAATTATCGACCGGTTTCACTTACTAGTTGTCTTTCAAAAGTATTTGAGAAGTGTGTTTTTTAAATATGTGTCAATAATTTTTTCTAGATAATGGAACTATTACTTCATTACAGTCAGGTTTCACGACTGGTGATTCTACATCATACCAGCTCACTCATTTGTATGACTATATAGCTAAGGCGATGGATAGTTGCAAGGAGGTACGCGCTGTATTCTGCGATATAAGTAAAGCGTTTGATAGGGTTTGGCACAAGGGTCTTTTGCATAAGTTATGGGCTAGTGGAATTCGCGGATCTCTTTTATTATGGTTTGAAAGTTATCTAAATAATAGAAAACAGTTTACAGTAATAAATGGGTATAAGTCAAATGTTAAATCAATTGAAGCTGGCGTCCCTCAGGGATCAGTCCTAGGACCTTTACTCTTTTTTGGTTTATATCAATGATATTGTTGAAGATATACAGAGTAATATTAAATTATTTGCCGATGATACATCCTTATATGTGATAATTGATGACCCTATGGTATCTTCCAATATGTTAAACGATGATTTAGAAATAATAGCTAAATGGGCCCAGACATGGAAAGTAAACTTTAATCCCAATAAAACTGAATCTATCATTTTTTTCTAGAAAGAAAACAGTAACATCAATGCCAGATCTTATTATGAATGATATACCGATAAAGTCTGTTGACACTCATAAACATCTGGGGCTGACTTTACAAAGTGATGGCCACTGGAATATACATATAGATGATATTATTTCTAAAGTCAGTCCTATGATCAATTGTTTAAGAAGTTTGAAATACCGCCTTCAGAGGAAAACCCTCCCAACCCTGTATAGTTCATTTGTTTTACCACTTTTTGACTATTGTGATTATATTTGGAACAACTGTACACACACTCAAGAGTTATTGTTAGAAAAACTTCACTTTAAGAACCATATGTGGATCAGTTAGAGGAGTTTGTCATTCCAAAATCTACCATGAAACTGGTTTTTCATCATTAAGGGAACGTCGTAAAAATCACCAAATGTATGTATTTCATAAAATGTTCCATAATAAAACTCCAAAGTATTTATCAGATCTAATTCCAATAAACATATCCTCTGTATCCACATATGGATCTAGATCTAGTAATATGCTTCAAGTACCATTATGTCGTACGGAAACATATAAAAAATCTGTTTTACCATCCTCTGTGATGGAGTGGAACAAGTTAGATAATGATATAAGAAACATAGATTCCGTTGCCATGTTTAATCAATTGTCGTCGTTGCGTCAAATGATAAGGGAGTTTCTCGGAAAAAGGGCGATCGTTCCCCTCCCGAATCCCGGGCTGGGATTTGACTCCCGACTGTTCCTAGTTCTCCAAAAGAAACGGACACTGGAGGCCAGTATTAGACCTGTCTCACCTGAACAAGTACACGCTAGTAGAGGCGTTCAAAATGGAAACTCTCACTTCCATAAGAACCTCTCTAAATCAAGGCGACTGGGCTATTTCAATAGACTTAAAAGACGCCTATCTTCACATTCCTATTCACAAAACGTCGAGAAAATACCTCCGGTTTGTGGCGTGACGGCCTCACCATTGTATTCCATGGTAGTAGCAAATGCTGTAATAGTTGTATTTGTAGTTGTAGCAGTCGTCGGATGGTGGTAACTTTTGTAGAAGCAGCAGTAGTAGTAGTGATAATGGAAGTGGTTATGGTAATGGTAGTGGTAGTGTAATGATAATGGTAGTGGTAGTGTCACTGGTAGTGGTAACGATAGTGGTAGTGGTAGTGGTAATGATAGTGGTAGTGGTAATGATAGTGGTAGTGGTAGTGTAATGATAATGGTAGTGGTAGTGACACTGGTAGTGGTAGTGGTAGTGGTAGTGGTAGTGGTAGTGGTAGTGGTAATGATGGTGGTAGTGTCCGTGTCAGTGGTAGTGATAATGGTTGCGGTAGTGGTAGTGTCACTGGTAGGGGTAACGATAGTAGTAGTGGGAATGATAATGGTTGTGGTAGTGGTAATGATAATGGTAGTGGTAATGGTAATGGTAGTGGTATCGATAGTGGTAATGATAATGGTTGTGGTAGTGGTAATGATAATGGTAGTGGTAGTGGTAATGATAGTGGTAGTGGAAATGATAATGGTAGTGGTAATGATAGTGGTAATGATAATGGTAGTGGTAATGATAATGGTAGTGGTAGTGGTGGATAGTGATAGTGGTAGTGGTAATGATAATGGTAGTGGTAGTGTCACTGGTAGTGGTAATGATAGTGGTAGTGGTAATGGTAGTCGTAATGATAATGGTAGTGGTATTGTCACTGGTAGTGGTAATGATAGTGGTAGTGGTAATGATAATGGTAGTGGTAATGATAGTGGTATTAGTAGTGTCACTGGTAGTGGTAGTGGTAATGATAGTGATAGTGGTAATGATAATGGTAGTGGTAATGATAATGGTAGTAGTAGTGCCACTGGTAGTGGTAATGATAATGGTAGTGGTAGTGTCACTGGTAGTGGTAACGATAGTGGTAGTGGTAGTGGTAATGATAGTGGTAGTGGTAATGATAGTGGTAGTGGTAGTGTAATGATAATGGTAGTGGTAGTGACACTGGTAGTGGTAGTGGTAGTGGTAATGGTAGTGGTAGTGGTAATGATGGTGGTAGTGTACGTGTCAGTGGTAGTGATAATGGTTGCGGTAGTGGTAGTGTCACTGGTAGGGGTAACGATAGTAGTAGTGGGAATGATAATGGTTGTGGTAGTGGTAATGATAATGGTAGTGGTATCGATAGTGGTAATGATAATGGTTGTGGTAGTGGTAATGATAATGGTAGTGGTAGTGGTAATGATAGTGGTAGTGGAAATGATAATGGTAGTGGTAATGATAGTGGTAATGATAATGGTAGTAGTAATGTCACTGGTAGTGGTCGTGGTAATGATAGTGATAGTGGTAGTGGTAATGATAATGGTAGTGGTAGTGTCACTGGTAGTGGTAATGATAGTGGTAGTGGTAATGGTAGTCGTAATGATAATGGTAGTGGTATTGTCACTGGTAGTGGTAATGATAGTGGTAGTGGTAATGATAATGGTAGTGGTAATGATAGTGGTATTAGTAGTGTCACTGGTAGTGGTAGTGGTAATGATAGTGATAGTGGTAATGATAATGGTAGTGGTAATGATAACGGTAGTAGTAGTGCCACTGGTAGTGGTAATGATAATGGTAGTGATAATGGTAGTAGTAGTGTCACTGGTAGTGGTAGTGGTAATAATAGTGGTAGTGGTAATGATAATGGTAGTGGAAATGATAGTGGTAATGATAATGGTAGTAGTAGTGTCACTGGTAGTGGTCGTGGTAATGATAGTGATAGTGGCAGTGGTAACAATAATGGTAGTGGTAGTGTCACTGGTAGTGGTAGTGGTAATGATAATGGTTGTGGTAGTGGTAGTGTCACTGGTAGTGGTAGTGGTAATGATAGATGTAGTGGTAGGTAGTGGTAGTAATAGCAGTAGTGGTTGATTTAAACAATATTTTATTTCCATTAATGTTCATAATTGACATGTTACATGACATAACAAAATGGAAATAGGATAAGCAAACAGACCAAAAGGTCTGTATTAATGCTTCTCCGCATATAGAACATAATAATCAATTCTATAAAGCAGACATTAATAAGTGACTCAAAATAAAAATAAAATAAAAATAGACACCAAATGCATTATATATTCTTATGTTGTGACTTAAATTCCGTAAAGCGGCTAATTTCAATTATGTAAGTTTGAACTGATTTTATACTGTTTTCATTGTCAGAAGGAGATGAATCATCATGGCCGTGGAATATGGTATGCATGCTGGGGTGGTTAACGACAAAGCATTTATCAATTCTGAACTGAGCACAGCGGGGACAAGATAGAAAGAAGGGCAAGGATCTTCTCTGTTATGGCCACATGAACAAGTGGGATCATCAATAAAAATGTGTCACATAAATGTGATTTTAAATCACTACAACCTAGCCTAATTCTAGATAGAATCACTTGGCATTGGCGCTTGCCATAACTAGCAATGGATGTAAAATTTAGGAAAGCATAATTTCTGTGGAAATCAATTGCTTAAACCTAGATAAGGAATCTGCATTCTAATATTAATTTCAAGTGCATTCCAAGCTTGAACAACAGATGGCAGAAAAGATCGATTATGCTGGGATAAGCGCCCTGCATTGGTCTGAAAGTCGTTAGAGTTACGAATGTTATATCCCGTTATGCTGGAGATATGAGATGGGACCCATAAAGATAGGTGTTCAGGAGTCAGCCCATTGACCATTTTATAAAATACATGTATACATGATTTATGGTAATGCCGTCTGTCAAACAGTGAGCAAAATGCCGCTTCCCTGTAAAGTTTTTCAAGACTGGTTCCTCGTACTGCTCCACATATTATTCGAATAGCATCTAAATGAAAGCTTTCTACTATTTTTACTCGTTCATTATTACAGTTATCCCAAATGTTATCGGGTAAACGCCTACTTCAAATTGTCTCCACCCGCACCCGTGAACATCGGGGTTAGTATTGGTCTTCAGTAACCCACCATTGTCGTAAGAGGCGTATAACGGGATCGGGTGGTCAGGCACGCTGACTTGGTTGACACATGTCATCGTATTCCACTTGCGTAGATCGATTTTCATGCTGTTGATCACTGGATTGTCTGGTCTAGACTCTATGATTTACAGACCGCTGTCATATAGCTGGAATATTTCTGAGTGCGGCGTTAAGCAGCAATCAATCAATTGCTTCCACCCAGTAGTGGCACTTAAATATCTCAATACATTTAAGAAAGACAAACATGGACTAAAAAGGAAGCAAACATTTCAAAAAGGACACCAGACTATCAGACTTGTTTTTTGGTATCCAGTGGCGCAATTGATGAAATGAGAGTTTAGTGTAGATAGTTCTCGAATGACGGCATCACCTGTTCTGTATTGCACTACAGTCTCTTGTAGTCGCCACGGTCATCGGTTCGCCGCCTCATGAGTTCTCCGCGACCCTCGATGATGAAAGCTATTATCTGTCGACCAAAGATAACTTTTCAAACTATTGGAATAAAATTGCGATTTACTTCTTGAGTATTGGAATTTAATGAACATTCCCTCTATGGATAAACTGTGAATGAGAGATTAAATGCTAATAAATACACATTTGCTCGGATCATTCAGTTTGTCCAGTAAACAATTTAGTCTGTATTGTTTTCAGGAATGTTTCTTCCACCATTGTATTGTAGCCTTAGTTCATAGGTCCGCAAGTAGATGTCCTAGCACGTGATTTGCCACAGTTGGTCGTCATTCTTTATAATTTTTTCATAATGTATGGATATTGTCAGGTAAGATCACGAGAGTGAATTCCATTCAAGATGGATGCCACCTGAGGTTACAATGTTAGAAATTGTAGAATCTGTTTTTGAAACATATGAAAGCGATACCATGTTAACAACACTTATATTTCCAACGATATGATCAAAAACATATTGACAATATGGCTAAAATAAGTTATATCATTTAACACCCTTTCATGTTTACAAATTCAAAATTGAAACTGAATACCATTAAAGGTAAAAACATACATATGATTCTGTCATTATGTTAGTAGACGTGAATAAAGTAAGCTTACCGTGTTTCTTTTGTGGTACATCAAATATGCAGCAATACATAGGACGCATGCCGTTATGAAATAGGCCATGAACACACTGGATGAAGGAACATCAGACTCTTCCTTCATCTGTCCGGGATCTCCTGTTTCCACGCCTGTACCTGACCCTGTACTAGATGTACTAGCTGTTGTTTCCACGTGTGTACCTGACTCTGTACTAGCTGTTGTTTCCACGTGTGTACCTGACTCTGTACTAGCTGTTGTTTCCACGTGTGTACCTGACTCTGTACTAGCTGTTGTTTCCACGTGTGTACCTGACTCTGTACTAGCTGTTGTTTCCACGCCTGCAGCTGACTCTGTACTAGCTGTTGTTTCCACGTGTGTACCTGACCCTGTACTAGCTGTTGTTTCCACGTGTGTACCTGACTCTGTACTAGCTGTTGTTTCCACGCCTGCAGCTGACCCTGTACTAGCTGTTGTTTCCACGTGTGTACCTGACCCTGTAGTAGCTGTTGTTTCCACGTGTGTACCTGACCCTGTACTAGCTGTTGTTTCCACGTGTGTACCTGACCCTGTACTAGCTGTTGTTTCCACGTGTGTACCTGACCCTGTACTAGCTGTTGTTTCCACGTGTGTACCTGACTCTGTACTAGCTGTTGTTTCCACGTGTGTAGCTGACCCTGTACTAGCTGTTGTTTCCACGTGTGTACCCTGACCCTGTACTAGCTGTTGTTTCCACGCGTGTGTACCTGACTCTGTACTAGCTGTTGTTTCCACGTGTGCTCCTGACCCTGTAGTAGCTGTTGTTTCCACGTGTGACCCTGTAGCTCTTGTTTCCACGTGTGTACCTGACTCTGTACTAGCTGTTGTTTCCACGCCTGCAGCTGACCCTGTACTAGCTGTTGTTTCCACGTGTGTACCTGACCCTGTAGTAGCTGTTGTTTCCACGTGTGTACCTGACTCTGTACTAGCTGTTGTTTCCACGTGTGCTCCTGACCCTGTAGTAGCTGTTGTTTCCATGTACCCTGTACTAGCTGTTGTTTCCACGTGTGTACCTGACCCCCTGACCCTGTAGTAGCTGTTGTTTCCACGTGTGTACCTGACCCTGTACTAGCTGTTGTTTCCACGTGTGTACCTGACCCTGTACTAGCTGTTGTTTCCACGTGTGTACCTGACCCTGTACTAGCTGTTGTTTCCACGTGTGTACCTGACCCTGTAGTAGCTGTTGTTTCCACGTGTGTACCTGACCCTGTACTAGCTGTTGTTTCCACGTGTGTACCTGACCCTGTACTAGCTGTTGTTTCCACGTGTGTACCTGACCCTGTAGTAGCTGTTGTTTCCACGTGTGTACCTGACCCTGTACTAGCTGTTGTTTCCACGTGTGTACCTGACCCTGTACTAGCTGTTGTTTCCACGTGTGTACCTGACCCTGTAGTAGCTGTTGTTTCCACGTGTGTACCTGACTCTGTACTAGCTGTTGTTTCCACGTGTCCTGTAACTGACCCTGTACTAGCTGTTGTTTGACCTGTAACAATTATAAGGACTACTAATGTGTGTACCTGACCCTGTACTAAAGATGCCTGTCCTGTAATTATAATGATAACAAATGTCTTGTAATTATAACGGTTACAAATGTCCTGTAATTATAATGGTTACAAATGTCCTGTAATAAAAATGATGACTAATGTCCTGTAATTATAACGGTTACAAATGTCCTGTAATTATAATGATTACAAATGTCCTGTAATAATATGATGACTAATGTCCTGTAATAATAATGACTAATGTCCTGTAATTATAATGATTACAAATGTCCTGTAATTATAATGGTTACAAATGTCCTGTAATAATATGATGACTAATGTCCTGTAATTATAAATGACTAATGTCCTGTAATTATAATAATGTAATAATAATGGTTACAAATGTCCTGTAATAATAATGACTAATGTCCCTAATAATAATGACTAATGTCCTGTAATTATAATGTAACTAATGTTCCTGTAATTATAATGGTTACAAATGTCCTGTAATTATAATTACTAATGTCCTGTAATTATAATGACTAATGTCCTGTATTAAATGTCCTGTCCTTAATAATGACTAATGTCCTGTAATTATAATGACTAATGTCCTGTAATAATAATATTGACTAATGTCCTGTAATAATTGATTATAATGTCCTGTAATGTCCTGTAATTAATAATGATGACAAATGTCCTGTAATTATAATGATTACAAATGTCCTGTAATTATAATGACTAATGTCCTGTAATTATAATGATGACTAATGTCCTGTAATTATAATGACTAATGTCCTAATGTCCTGTAATTATAATGATCTGTAATTATAACAAATGTCCTGTAATTTAATGGTTACAAATGTCCTGATGATCACATATGTCCTGTAATTGTAATGATTACAAAGAGTAGACATCACCAAACATTCCACACATCTAATCATCTGATATCATTCCTTGTGCTTGTACATGATATCCTCTGAAATGTTTGAGATAGATATTTATCAGTGACAGCCAAAGATTATGAAAACTGGGAAAATGAAAGAAATATTGAATTCCTTGGCCTCACCCTATACCTTGGATTTGGAAATTATAACAAATATAGATCATTCTTTCATCATAGTCCTAAGACTATATAGATTTACCGTTGAACTGAAAGTCAACAACCTTGGAATGAACAAGACAATCTACATGCAGCAGCTGAAAACATGTTCATACCATTCCTAAACGACGATTTAGTTTATAAGGTGACTGCTTGTCTGACTGGGGGGAAGATAGGTAGCCCAGTGGTTAAAGCGTTCGTTCGTCACGCCGAAGACCCGGGTTCGATTCCCCACATGGGAGCAATCTGTGAAGCCCATTTCTTGCGCCCCCCGCAGTGATATTGCTGGAATATTGCTAGACCAATCACTGGTTATGACGAGATATAGGGAATAACACTAATGTGATCATGAGTTGGGTAGAACTATAGTTAAGTTATATCAAGGCAAATTACTGTGACAATATTGTGTCATAGGGGTGAGACAACTGGTTGGAGACAGGGTGATTTTTTTGGTCTCTGAAAGCCTCAAAACATTTTACGTTTTGATGACGTCACAATGCTATGACATCGCTGCGTTGCAATTCTTATGGCAGTACCGTGTTCAGAGATGCACATTTTTCATTGAAAACTAATGAAGAGTGATTTTGATGATAAATGGAATCATCAACACTCGTTGATAGTAAAAATATCCTCGCAAGCCTCGGATATTTGTAACTTTATCAACTCGTGTTGATATAATTGATATCAATACACATGATTGACACATGGGTGAGATTCTCTATATACCATTAAAACAAAGTAGGGGATATTCCATTTTGCGAGCATACCACTAGCCAATGCCAATGCATATGAGAAAAAGTAATATATATCCATACAGATGAAACATTCCCAAAGGAATTGAATAAATTGTCACACTTTCCCTTAATTTCTCTTCATCATCTCTTTCCTCCTTGCCTTCATCATTTGCATTTTATCAATCTTGTAAATCCAATATTCCCTACTTTTGAATGGTTTATATCATGATGATGATTATGTTTGTATGAATCACTATCGCATGCTGATGATAATAGATGGCACGTCGTAAACACATGCAAAGGTTAGTCAAGTGTAAGGCTGAAACAAAACACGGACCACATTTTCAGAACATCCAATAATTACTGCAAATTAATGTGGTGGAAAAAAAGAGGACAGGAATTGCAGGAGCCTGGTCATCTCATTGCTCATCATCGTTTACCAAAGCACAAGCAGAGCGCAGACATGTGCATATACATTTGGTTGCATTTTCGATAATGTTACAGAATGAACGGAATCTTTGAGACTTTTCAATAGAAACATATCTTCTTTGGTTGATTATTAAATCATTAAGGCCTAATATATAAAAGTATAAAAACATCTTGAAAATTCCTATAGCGGTGGGTAACTGAATAACACCATGGTTCAAGCAACGACTTCAACTGTCTAAAGAAATCATGTTTGGAACTTCAATGACTGATAACTGCCTTTTTAAACATATCCATGGCACACACGCGGAACTGTCTCTAAAATATATGCATTGCCAACTGTCTGGATAACCAAATAAAGCCAAATATAGGATATATGATGCTAAAGTGTTCTTACCAAGATTATCAAGATGTACAAGCATGTTGTAGAGCTATTAAGGCAAGCAATGTACAGACATATTAATTATTTTACACCAATATTTGTAAGGAGTGTAAGATATTGAGTACAGTGGAACCTTTTCTATCGTATAATGCCATATATAATACCATATCTCAGATCCATAAAGTAAAATAGGTTGTATTCTAGAATCAAAGAATAAATATTCGCTGGAATAACACCAAACTTAGGAATCAAAGAGTGAAGTTGTAAAAGAATCTTTCTTTGCTCTGATCATCAGGTTATTTACAAAGTTATTCAAATCCAGCTTATGGGTAAACAATATTTATACTCGTTTACAACATTCAGGAGTTTACCTTTCTCTCAAGCGGACATTGACCCACATCTGCGAAATAACAGTATTTGTTTTATCAAATTTCACATCAGGCGTTAGTCATCTGATTACTCTGTAACTGTATCAAGCTGGTTTTGAATGCTCATCTGTATAGTATAGCAAAACACGAAGCCAAGAGCACCTCGAAGGATGCAGCTGTCTTCTCTTAGCTCTCAGGTAAAATAAGAGACGTCGGTTAAAATCGGCTTTGGCGTCCCTTCAAGACTCTCGAAAAAACAATAAGATAAATGAGATAAGATAGTAGTTTATTATACCAAGCGAAATGTGTGCTACATATTTACATTAAAAACATAATGATTAATAATATCAAACAAACATTGACACTGATGGTAAAAAAATAGTGAATAATTAATTGCGAGTTTCCAAGGGTAAGAGGGGTGGTGGGGTAGGATAGTGGTTAAAGCGTTCGCTCGTCGAGGGCCCGGGTTTGATTCCCCACATGGGTACAATGTGTGAAGCCCATTTCTGGTGTCCCCCGCCTTCATATTGCTGGCATATTGCTAAAAGCGGCATAAAACCATATTCATTCAATAACTCCAAGGGCAAAAGGGGAGTCAAGGCATCTCATAAAACAGAAGTCTTCAGACACATTAGTTAAAAATATTATTATAAATGTGTCCGCAAAAACAATAATAACATGGATTTTCTTCAGATTTCATATAAAGCAACACTACTGGTGATCGTATTGACTATTTATGGCAGATAAGACTTTGGACTTGCAACATGAACACTTCACACATTTAGAAACGTTTCAAAATAGCAAATGACACAAATTAAGCTGATCATCGATCGATATCCCATGTTTCGCTGAAATATGTTGAACGGTTTTTTTATGTTCTGGCTAGTGAATTCTACCCTCTTTTGGAACTAATCCAAAATGGTTTTAGAGGAAACATAAAAAAACAAAATAGATACTCAAATAATATGAGTGTAACCAGGGAGACTATATAATGTTGTAGATTATCCCTGGGGTAACAGCCGAGCTAATGATCAAAGAATATGGCAAGATCAAACAAATTAGGCCAGCAAAAGACATGAAAATATTAATAAAGGATGCTATGATATTTCTGTACAAACTACACAAAACAGAATCAAACACCGTCAATCTTAAATTTACAATGCTTTGATTCACCATTACTGGAACAATCTCAATTTTCGACCTCCTCTTTGGAAGTGTGTTAGTGGTGTATGTTTGGGTACATAAGTCATATTTGTATCACCCTCGTATCACTGGTAATGAAGTTGATATTTTTTAAAATTAATATAACGTCTCCTTGTTCTATAAACTCTGGTACAGTGCATTATTGGAGCGTTTTAGGGAATGGTAATTTTCCCTAAATGAAGTATGTTAGTACACGGTATATTGTGCTGGAGGATATCAGTGTTATGCAAAAAAATCACTGGCTACATGAAAATGTTGCATCTTAGCCTCTGATTTGACAAACGGTTAGACCCTCCAGTTGTATAATTTCTTGTTTCTATAAAATATATGCCTGAATTTTTATCCCATGGACTGTCTAGTTGTTAAGGAAGCTTATATCATGACCCAACGTTTATCGTTACTCGTTTTGCTTACAGTAGTACGGTGCTTCAGTACCAGTAGAAGAGCATTTTAGAAAAGAGTTTCAGAGAACTTTGGCTGGGGACAGTGAGACACTGGACCGCATCTGCAATGGGAACATATATCTGTATAAGTGAACAGACCGACGGTGAAAACTATGGTTGTATGATAAACTAATGTCCAAAAGAAACGATACAAAACATTTTAACAAAACATATTTTCAATATATTTTTTAATTAAGCATTCCTTTTTGTATGAATACATGTTTAGGCGTTTCCAACGTTCCAAACCAAACGTATTCGATCTAAAAATCCGGGAACATTTGATCAATTGCAAACAAAACACCCACTCTGCCAAAATGATGTTACATCCGGCATGTGCAGTTCAACTGTGTAAAACTGCTGACTCGGCACGTTGGGATCAAAGCAACAAAAAGCAAAGAAAGAAGTGCCACGTTTGACAGGTATTGAGGGAGTGAGAATCGTTGGAGGTGGTCCAACAGGGAGCAACGCACACCGACGTCGCTAGAAGGTGAGGATGCGCGCGCATAACCGTCACCAGGTTAATGCAGCGGTTGCGTCAAACAGGTTGGACAAAAGGACAGGCCGAGAAGCGGGAGACCAAGGGTGACCACGCCTATTGAAGACCGACTCATCCTGGTACTTTATCTCCGGAACCGCTTCATCACGGCCACGATAACGGCAAGGACGGCACTGCAACACGTGATAAGTCGACAGACCGTGTACAAGAGACTGCAGGCTCATGGTATCCGAGCACGTCGCTCCTACCGCGGAGCGGTAACAACAGCGATCCAATAGACTGGTGTGGGCCAGGTGACTTCGACGTTGAACTGGGCACGGGTCATGTTTTCCGACAAGAGCAGAGTTTGCATCTTCAGGAACGATGGGCTTCAGCGTGTGTACCGAAGAATTTGTGAACGTTTGGCCATTCGGAGGCGGAGGTTTAATGGTTTAGGGTGGAAATTGCGGTGACACCAAAACGAGGCTCGCCGTTTTTCTAGGAAACCTGAATGCACAGCGTTATCGAGATGAAATTTTACAACCAGTTGTGGAGCCATTCATCCAACAACAGCCTCGTGGAATCTTTTTCCAGCACAATAATGCGAGGCCACATACGGCAAGGCTGACTCAGAACTTCCTCGCCATCGCCAACATTCAGGTTGTATAAAAGTCAAACAATATGGATGACAACTTCTTCTTTCTTGTATGTCACAACGTTTCTGGGCTATTCCTTGCCCCTTCGTCAGGGGCACAATTCACCTGACGAAGGGGCAAGGAATATCTGTTGCATACAATAAAGAAGTTGTCATAATATTTGCCTTTTATTTAAGACGTGTGTTGTGACATTTTCCCCACTTGCCTCGTCATATGTGTTTGAATGAAATTGTCATTTTGGATCCCTCGCGTCTTTACAGGCCTGTCCGAATGATTGTAAAATATTGATTGAAATGATTTTTGTACACGCGTTAGAGAAATAATTCTCAAATGAAATCTACCAATCTAAAATTTCTGTATCGTTTTGCTTTTCTTTAATGTCAATTCAAACACGTGGTATCGTTTCTTTTGGACACTATTTTACTTAATGTAATGATATGAAGATACTGCAAAATACAGAACTTCGTCGTGTCTTTTTTATGGGTATTAGTAAACAAACGATTTGGCTTTATCTATTTCCTGCAATGAAGGAACGGTCTTTTGGAAATTTGGCAGCTTCCGGTAGCGCCCTTTCCATCCTCCGGTGACTCGAACTCTCCGGATCGTCTTTAAGACAAGTCAAAATCTGAAAACATACATACAAATCAATTCGGTAAAACAATTCGAACATAAATGTAGTATACTCTGCAAGAAAAGTCATCATTAGTTTGATCCTCACCTGATGTCGTTTTCTGTAGATGAGATAGAGAATGGCACATGCTATCAGCACCAGAGCGGGATACAGGAGCTTCTTGAGCCAACCTATGACAGCGTGCAAAGTGAAAACTCTAATGAGAAATATGTAAAGGAAACTTTGTACCAGCTCATACACTGCAGTTGGTCCTGACATTTACTTGTGATGATACTGCAGTAATTAACTTTGGAAAACATGAAACGGAGTTCTTCGTTCACATTGAAGGTGCGGATTATGAGGCACGACTGAAAGGCAATCGTTTTAGAAAGGTACCAACCAAGGATTTCGATCTATAGATCACAATGCAGACGACGAATCGATTCCGTCAGGTATCAGAAACTGATATTGATGAGGTGATTAGAAACACTGCCAGGAAAACCCTGCCCGGTTTTGTTGTTCCTTTTAGACAGAAAGATCTCATTTTAAGCATGAGTTTTGTTTGCACTGTATTAGCAACTAGTCACAACCATACGCCGCCGTCTTGAACGACCTTCACCTTGGTGTACCGCTAAGTATTCTTACGCGAATGCTCGATTCTCTTCATATAAATTCACGTACGATTTGCTTCTTTTTTTAGAGTAATTTTAATAATGACATTATATGATCAAGAGATTAGTAACCTCGTGTGTTTCCGTATCATTAATATCATATATTAGCCATAGGCTCGCATAATACAATTTTTATTCCTAATATATATTAATGATACGGAAACACACGAGGTTAATAATCTCTATGTATTACTGACACTATTCAATACATTAAAAATCTAAAACCTTATTATGCTGTACATGTAATTGGAACTTGAAACGTTGTTGCAGTCACAATTGTCTTTGAGCATTTCTGGTGTCCCTCGCCGTGATGTAGCTGGAATATTGCTAAAAGCGGCGTAAAACCAAACTCAGTCAGTCAGTCAGTCTTTGAGTGTCTGCTTGTTTTGCAATGTTCTTTTTGATGTAATTATGGAGATAGATTGTGGAAAATTGTCAATACCAAAGCGTTGTTAAATAATAACACCTGTGAAGATAAGATACCTGTTATGTCCGCTTTGGGGGGTTCAGTCGAGCCGTTTGTTGCGACTTTTGTCTGATTCGCTGGCGGCGGTGTTGTCGGATCTGCTGCCGGGCCTGTTGTCTGATTCGCTGGCGGCGGTGTTGTCGGAACTGCTGCCGCGCCTGTTGTCTGATTCGCTGGCGGCGTTGTTGTCGGATCTGCTGCCGGGCCTGTTGTCTGATTCGCTGGCGGCGGTGTTGTCGGAACTGCTGCCGGGCCTGTCGGGTGTGTTGTCGGGGTTGCTGTTTTACTCGCGTCCAAAAAATTAGTGGGCCCTGAAATATCAAAGACAGGATTACGGGACATTTTTTGTCTTCTGTTCGTTTCTATCAAGGGCGCCACCTTTTACATCGAGATTTAAATCCTATCGGGTTTCAGACATATTTATTTCAATATGTTGGATACTAACATAAATGATGTCGTTGGTACTTATTCTAACTATTCCCGGTTTTCACGTAGGCTAGTTCGTACGTGTGTGCCAAAGCTGGTCCTATTGTATCAAATACATTGTACATTTTTTATGTGGACATTCCAAGAGCTCCCATCTGATTAACACATCGAAATTAGTCGGCTTTCTTTGCAACAAAAAGTTTGTTTAGCCTGTATCCAGTTTATTTATGATTTCGGTCTTTTAAAGCGACAAAACCCTTGTACGACGTAAATTTTTATTACAATTTACCGCGTTATCACAATTTACCGCAGTGTTATTACAATTTACCGCGTTATTACAATTTGCCGCAGTGTATTACAATTTACCGCAGTGTTATCACAATTTACCGCGTTTTCTAAGATGCCTAGCGGTTAGAAAAATCGAAAAAAAAATACATGATCAGGCAATAAAGGTATAGTTTTTTGATGACGTAACAATTGAATGACGTTATCCCGTCACTGCGCCATTCTAGTGTGCCCCCTCGTAATCGAACCATTTTACATTACGTCACAATGTAAGCGACGTCACGATGCATGTCAGTTGTCATCGCCTCGTACGGCCTCCTACAGTAAACTACACCGTTGCATCCAGTTTCTTGGTTTGCTGTTGCTTCACGCAGCTAACATCACTGGTGGAAACATTACGTTTATGTTTTACGACGGTTAAAATGTGTCATTTCGACTCACAAGTTTTCAGCGACACGGTAACGTTCGTAATGTTTACATTCCAACAATGCAATTGTGGAATGTCGCTTGACTACTCAACTTCCTCTGGATGTACTGATCTAAACTTACGCCGGTAGTAGAAATGCAACGTTCATATTGCCCCATATGGTTTACGTTAATGACAGATGTAATTAAAATAATTCAAAGAAGATATTTAATCCGAACGTAAACCGTCATCAAACTGTTATCATTTGTTTTTTTCTGGTAACGTTCGTCTTAACGTAGGGGGCAGACATATCAATAGAACAGCGCGCCAGTTAGCCCTGTGCGAGGATTCTTTATTTAGGTCACCGACACCGTCGTTTGTTTTCTGCCTTAAATTAATCGTAATTATCTTTAGAAAGTATTAAATTTGGCATCTTAGAAAAGAAATACAGTTCGCCCTACCACCATGTATAGTGTAATAAAACACACTTTCGCCCTGAACTATTATAACGTTAAAGCACTCGGACGCAAGCGTCCTCCGTCCGAGTGCTTTAACGTTATAATAGTTCAGGGCAAAAGTGTGTTTTATTACACTATACATGGTGGTAGAGTGAAGTGTATTTCTTAATTAGTGCAGTGTTATTACAATTTACCGCGTTATCACAATTTACCACAGTGTTATTACAATTTACCGCGTTATTACAATTTACCGCAGTGTTACTACAATTTACCACAGTGTTATCACAGTTTACCGTGTTATCAAAATTTACCGCAGTGTTATTATAATTTACCGTGTTATCACAATTTATACCGCAGTGTTATTACAATTTACCGCAGTGTTATCACAATTTACTGCATTGTTATTACAATTTACCGCAGTGTTATCACAGTTTACCGCAATGTTATTACAATTTGCTGCAGTGTTATTACAAAATACCGCATTTACCGCAGTGTTATTACAATTTACCGCAGTGTTATTACAATTTACCGCAGTGTTATCACAATTTACCGCGGTGTTATTACATTTTACCGCGTTATCACAATATACGTCGTAACAAACCCTCTCCATATCAACAAGCAAGAACTTCTGAAACAGAGAACCACTTTATCATAGTATGTGTTTATGAATCACTATCGAATAGTGTTCGCGAAAAGGGGACCGTGTCACATGTAAAGATAAGTCAGTTGTTCACCTGAAGAGGGACATTTTGCCAGGAATCATTTCAGTAACTGATGTAGGGGTTGAAAATACCATTGCCCGACGCTCGGGCCGAGTGGAAATCTCCGGTCGGTCAAGTTAATATCCACATTAAACTTTACCGTGGAACAGTAGTGCCAAACTACTGAAATGTTTTGATTTATGTATATTGATGATGAAATACAAATGCAATTCCTACCAACTGATAAAGATTATTTGCAAAAGAAACCAAATTATTAATTGTGGTCAGGTGAAATTAATATTTGGTCAAGTGGATTTTGAAAGTTTACTGGACCTGTGTCCAGTGGAGTTTTGAAAAAAAACTTCAACCCCTGCTGATGCATCAAATTTGGAACCTTCCCACATGGTTCCTATAAACTCTTTTGAATCTCTCCTGAGGCCTTTAAAGGTCTAACATTGATCAAACATTTACTGACAAAGATTGGTATGGCTCAGGTTAAAGTCTTCGGAGAAAGAACATGCTTGGTTGCACCTCATAGACCAATGACTGCACTATTTGAAGATTAATCTGTACTAAGGGACAGTTGACTAATGGAAAGTTGATGTCAATCCCCTTGTTCTTTAAGGCTTGAGTAATGTTCTCACTTCAAATCTTTATGCAGAGAACCCGTAAAGATCCGGGTTAGATTTGGTCTTACTTGCCGTAAGAGGCGACTAACGGGATCGGGTGGTCAGGCTCGCTGACTTGGTTCACACATGTCATCGTATCCCAGTTGTGTATATCGATGCTCATGATGTTGATCACTGGATTGTCTGGTCGGAAAACAAGCCAAAGGCAAGGAAATAGGAACATTGATCAGCCAGAGCCCATATTTCTATGTCCAATGGTTAGAAACATGACAGAAGCCTCACATAGTGCTCTTTGTCATACGAACTAAACCTCTTTACCACTACGGTTACTACTAACAAAAGGTGCGTTTTGAGGGCATGAATCATCCATTAATTAAACGTATATGTACAGTTATGTATCTTAGTGAAGGGCAACTGCGTTTTGCATTATGTTTGCGAGAATGAAGTTCAGGTCATATACTCAAAACATTGACATCCCTTATTTTTCAGGCACATTGATATGATATAAATAATGGTTCCTCGTCATCAATGTTTCATGGTATTCTCTACCCCTGTGGGGCCTGTGGGGCCTGTTGGGTAGCCTAGTGGTTAAAGCGTTCGCTTGTCACGCCAAAAACCTGGGTTCGATTCTCCATATGGCTACACTCTGTGAATCCCATTTCTGGTGTCCCCCGCTGGAATACTGCTGGAATATTGCTGGAATACTGCTGGAATATTGCTAAAAGCGGCGTAAAACTAAACTCACTCACTCACACTACTAACAATAAAACATATTCTGAGCCGATGATGTTATATTTCCAATGTGTATATCTAAATAATGTTTTATAGTTAAAAAAGTGTAAAATATGTAGGGGTATTGAGGGGGAAACAACTATTGCGATAGCGATAGTCTATTGCGACCAATAGTTATTTTTCTCCTTGAATTGTCTCATTTGAAGTCATTTCCCAAATGAATGCATAGTTTATATCAAATAAAAACAAGTTGAAGTACGTTTCAGTCCCTTTTAAAACTGACAAGAAATTTAAAACCCAGATCAAGTAAACAGTTCAAACATACACTCAATGAAGCTGCAAGTCTGCACTCAAACATCCTGTATTTTGCGCTGCGCATTTATCAACGGATGTCAATGACTAAGCTATCGATACTCACACATACTATGGATGCATTGATATTTTTTCTTTCTTTTATCGATTAATAGCTATCGGAGAGTCAACAACTTCAATCCATCGATAGTTCGATGCATCGTTACAGCCCTAAATATATGTGTGTTCAGTGTGAAATAACTTCTGTGTAAATTAACATCAAATAAATTAAAATAATGTTCTTCAGGTGTATACTTCAGTTACAAGTACACATTTGCCAATACATGATCAAATATTAGTACAACTACAGACAGACTGACAGACAGGCAGGCAGGCAGGCAGGCAGACTGACAAACAGACAGACAGACAGACAAACAGAAACCGATTTAAGTACTTGGGTTATTTTTATCGAAGCATCTCAATCCTTACGAGCATTCTGATAGTTTTGTCGTATTTTCGATAATAACATTCACCAATGGGGGACGAGTCTTCTTGCAGTTAACGGAACGGTGCTACAGGTAACGAATGCGCCTTGTTCATGTTGTTGTGTCTGTAAATTGTTCGCGCTTACTCTTATATAGTTGCACTGCGAGAATAGAAACACGACTCGCGTTGTTTATGTTGTTGTGTCTGTAAATTGTTCGCGCTTACTCTTATAGTTGCACTGCGAGAATAGAAACACGACTCGCGTTGTTCATGTTGTTGTGTCTGTAAACTGTCCGTGCTTACTCTTATAGTTGCACTGCAAGAATAGAAACACGACTCGCCTTGTTCATGTTGTTGTGTCTGTAAACTGTTCGCGCTTACTCTTATAGTTGCACTGCGAGAATAGAAACACGACTCGCCTTGTTCATGTTGTTGTGTCTGTAAACTGTTCGCGCTTACTCTTATAGTTGCACTGCGAGAATAGAAACACGACTCGCCTTGTTCATGTTGTTGTGTCTGTAAACTGTTCGCGCTTACTCTTATAGTTGCCCTGCGAGAATAGAAACACGACTCGCCTTGTTCATGTTGTTGTGTCTGTAAACTGTTCGCGCTAACTCTTATAGTTGCACTGCGAGAATAGAAACACGACTCGCGTTGTTTATGTTGTTGTGTCTGTAAACTGTTCTCGCTTACTCTTATAGTTGCACTGCAAGAATAGAAACACGACTCGCGTTGTTCATGTTGTTGTGTCTGTAAACAGTTCGCGCTTACTCTTATAGTTGCCCTGCGAGAATAGAAACACGACTCGCCTTGTTCATGTTGTTGTGTCTGTAAACTGTTCGCGCTTACTCTTATAGTTGCCCTGCAAGAATAGAAACACGACTCGCGTTGTTCATGTTGTTGTGTCTGTAAACTGTTCGCGCTTACTCTTATAGTTGCCCTGCAAGAATAGAAACACGACTCGCGTTGTTCATGTTGTTGTGTCTGTAAACTGTTCGCGCTTACTCTTATAGTTGCACTGCAAGAATAGAAACACGACTCGCGTTGTTTATGTTGTTGTGTCTGTAAACTGTTCGCGCTTACTCTTATAGTTGCACTGCGAGAATAGAAACACGACTCGCGTTGTTTATGTTGTTGTGTCTGTAAACTGTTTTGCTTACTCTTATAGTTGCACTGCGAGAATAGAAACATGACTCGCCTTGTTCATGTTGTTGTGTCTGTAAACTGTTCGCGCTTACTCTTATAGTTGCACTGCGAGAATAGAAACACGACTCGCGTTGTTCATGTTGTTGTGTCTGTAAACTGTTCGCGCTTACTCTTATAGTTGCACTGCGAGAATAGAAACACGACTCGCCTTGTTCATGTTGTTGTGTCTGTAAACTGTTCGCGCTTACTCTTATAGTTGCACTGCGAGAATAGAAACACGACTCGCCTTGTTCATGTTGTTGTGTCTGTAAACTGTTCGCGCTTACTCTTATAGTTGCACTGCGAGAATAGAAACACGACTCGCGTTGTTCATGTTGTTGTGTCTGTAAACTGTTCGCGCTTACTCTTATAGTTGCACTGCGAGAATAGAAACACGACTCGCGTTGTTCATGTTGTTGTGTCTGTAAAACTGTTCGCGCTTACTCTTATAGTTGCCCTGCAAGAATAGAAACACGACTCGCGTTGTTCATGTTGTTGTGTCTGTAAACTGTTCGCACTTACTCTTATAGTTGCACTGCAAGAATAGAAACACGACTCGCGTTGTTTATGTTGTTGTGTCTGTAAACTGTTCGCGCTTACTCTTATAGTTGCACTGCGAGAATAGAAACACGACTCGCGTTGTTTATGTTGTTGTGTCTGTAAACTGTTCGCGCTTACTCTTATAGTTGCACTGCGAGAATAGAAACACGACTCGCCTTGTTCATGTTGTTGTGTCTGTAAACTGTTCGCGCTTACTCTTATAGTTGCACTGCGAGAATAGAAACACGACTCGCCTTGTTTATGTTGTTGTGTCTGTAAACTGTTCGCGCTTACTCTTATAGTTGCACTGCGAGAATAGAAACACGACTCGCGTTGTTCATGTTGTTGTGTCTGTAAACTGTTCGCGCTAACTCTTATAGTTGTACTGCGAGAATAGAAACACGACTCGTCTTGTTTATGTTGTTGTGTCTGTAAACTGTTCGCCCTTACTCTTATAGTTGCACTGCGAGAATAGAAACACGACTCGCGTTGTTTATGTTGTTGTGTCTGTAAACTGTTCGCCCTTACTCTTATAGTTGTACTGCGAGAATAGAAACACGACTCTCGTTGTTTATGTTGTTGTGTCTGTAAACTGTTCGCCCTTACTCTTATAGTTGCACTGCGAGAATAGAAACACGACCCGTGTTGTTCATGTTGTTGTGTCTGTAAACTGTTCGTGCTTACTCTTATAGTTGCACTGCGAGAATAGAAACACGACTCGCGTTGTTCATGTTGTTGTGTCTGTAAACTGTTTGCGCTTACTCTTATAGTTGCACTGCGAGAATAGAAACACGACTTGCCTTGTTTATGTTGTTGTGTCTGTAAACTGTTCGCGCTTACTCTTATAGTTGCACTGCGAGAATAGAAACACGACTCGCGTTGTTCATGTTGTTGTGTCTGTAAACTGTTCGCGCTTACTCTTAGGGCCATTTCGATTATGCTGAACCGGTTTCGGTTTCTGGAAAACCATGCACTCGTTTATGTCGAAACCTAAAACTAGGTTCTGAAACTTCGAAACCATCTCCGAAGCAGGTTTCGCAGTTTCGGTTTCGCGTTCTGTCACAACAAACATGGCGGAAAAGATATTGGGGGCAAAATAGAGCAGCAGTTTCTGTAACCAAAATAATGATAAAAATCAACTGAGAACCAGGAAAATATTATTTAAAACCCCAGTCTATTGAACATGACTATTTTATGTAACTTGTGTACATATAATTACTTGTACCAGTATAATGACATACACGCAAATATTTACTTCCAAAAGCATCTCATCTCTTCATTATTTGTTAACTCCCTGATAAAATGACAAAAAAATATAACCCGTGGCAATGCTGTCATTTGGTTCGTTCCTCATATATACTCAGCAGCAAAAACATCAGTACGAATTCAAAATTTGAGAGGCACTGTAATCAAATCATTACAGAAATGGACATAATAAGCTGATCAAAAACATATTTTGTGTACAATATCTTGACACATCAATGAATAACTCAATTTCAAGACATTACGTGAATGTTTGCAGTTTCTTCAGACTCTTGACTTCAGTATCTAGTGTGACCACCACGAGCGGCAATAACTGCAGCACAGCGTCTATGCATGGAGTGCACCAATCGATTGATGAAGGCCATTGGCACCTTGAACCACACTCTGAGAAAGGCCTGGCGCAATAAATCGGCTGTGTTCGGCCTTGGTATGATATGATTCAGCCCCTCGGAATTTCATCCCAGAGATGTTCAACTGGGTTTAAATCAGGACTAAGGGCTGGCCACTGCATAATGTTGACACCGTTTTGCTGTAGGAAGTCCCGTGTAGCTCTGGCAGTATGGGCCCGGGTGTTATCATGCTGGAAAATGTTGTTCCGGTGACGTGCGAAATGTGGTATGACGTGGGGTCTGAGAGCTTGGTCGATGTAGCGCACCGCTGTGATGCCGCCTCCTCTCCCTGGACCAAGGTTCTGGAACACCACAGGACCCACCCTCTGGTTCAGGCCTATTCCACCCCATACCACGATGCTTGCACCTCCCCATGAGTCTCTTTCCATAACACATTGGTCTGAGTAACGCTGGCCACGTCGTCGCCATATTCTTGTTCTGTCATCTGCAGTACTAGTTGATACGCAGTACCGACTCTCATCTGTGAACAGAACAGTTCTCCATTGCCTGTATCGCCAGTTTTGGTGTTGTAGGGCAAACAGTAGACGTTCACGCCGATGACGAGGGGTGAGGATAGGTCCCCGGTAAGGTCTACGGCAATGGAGGTTCCCGCTGTTAAGACGTCGGCGTACTGTATCAATACCGATTGGTCTTCCGTGTGTTCCCACTGCCTGGCGTGCTGTTTCGGATGGCTACATGAAGGGATTCTGAACATGCTGTCGCACAACATGGCAGTCTTGTCGTCGTTTGGTCACCCTTGGTCTGCCAGTATGGGGGCGATCATTTGTGGTGTTGGTGGCCCGGAGACGTTGCTGCAGCCTGTAGATGATCCGAACGTTGACCTGGAAGTGATTGGCAACGGCTTGTGCAGTGTGGTCAGCTTCAAGTCTTCCTAGCGCCTGGTTCCTCTGAGCTGTCATGAGAAGGGGCATCCTGCTGGCGTTGTAATGTGAATGTTTCAACCAGGTTTGGGGTGTATTTTATAGGGCTGGTCCTTGTGAACAGCACGTGCAGAATGAGTTGCACGAAAAACATGGAGAACACTGTACCATCTCCGAGATCAGGATGCGTTTTTGAGACCATTTCCTGGGTTCCATTCTGAGTTTGGGAAGGAATGTCTTTGCCCAGGTGAAGTTGGAGATGTTGTCAAAAATATACAATCAAAACATTAAATGAGTTTACAGTTTTCCGTTTCTGCGAAGGAAAATTCGAAACTGGCGTTTCTTTTGCTGCTTAGTATATAACAGCTGAGACATATAGTTTGTATCGATTTTGAAACCGGATGGTGAAACCATCCACTCGTTTATAAAACTAGAAACTAGTTTCACTTTGAAACCATATATCCGAAACTAGACACTCGTTTATAACAGGAGAAACCTGTTTCAGAAACCCAAACCAGTTTCGCAATAATCGAACAGGCCCTTATAGTTGCACTGCGAGAATAGAAACACGACTCACGTTGTTCATGTTGTTGTGTCTGTAAACTGTTCGCGCTTACTCTTATAGTTGCACTGCGAGCATAGAAACACGACTCGCGTTGTTCCAACAGCACCACAAGTGTTTCATACAGTACAGGTTTAAAAAGTAAATTCTATATAATAAAGTTGATAACATATCATGTTTATAGAGACAATGGTATACATTTTATTACACATAATTACTGGCCATTTATTACCATAGATAGAGGACGTGCTGATCATTCATAGATAGGACCGTTACTAGAAAACGTTTTGCTGAATAACATTTGTAGTTTTACGCAGCAATATTATAACCATATATATAATCGACCCTGGACTAGGTAAACCAGTGTTTGATATTATAAACACTGTCAGACAAATAACAAACAATGACTTCACCTTTGTGTCATGATGGTTATGCATGGCACATATATACTGAGGGGAAAAAATAAGGGATCACATGAAAGCACAAGTGTTCCCTTATTTTTTTCCCTCAGTATATTTTTTTCTCGATGTAACATTCAAAACGCATGAGACCCGTGAACATCCGAGTTAGAATAATGATCTTCAGTAGCCCATGCTTGTCGTAAGAGGCGACTAACGGGATCGGGTGGTCAGGCGCACTGACTTGGTTGACATATGTCATCGGTTCCCAACTGCATAGATCAATGCTCATGCTGTTGATCACTGGATTGTCTTGTCCAGACTCAATTATTTATAGACCGCCGCCATATAGCTGGAATATTGCCGAGTGCGGCGTACAACTAAACTCACTCACTCAAAACGCATGGAGACAATGAAAGGATAGCACGATATCGCACAGGGTCAACTGTGTCAGCGATTCGTATAATGTTAAAATATCTCAGCTTTAGTTATGTTCTCTATCAATCTCACCTGTCAGGTATAGAATAAGAAGCAAGCGGCACACCTTATAAGGTCCATTCGCGGAACAGGAAGATTGACACTTTTGACCATGCAGGTGTTTCCTGACCTGAGGACTCAAGTTCAACATGTTCAGTACATTACAAACATCGAGATTGGTGTTCAACATTTGCTTGGTTTCCTCGGCTGTTGCCTGCACCTTAGGAACCTCTGAAGTGCGACATAACCTGTCTACCTCATTTTGATATAGGACACAGATGTCCGGCACGTTCGTCACATTTGTTTCCTTTACACACTTTTGGAACAGCGACTCATTGACAAATGCTTCATTTGGTGGGTATCCACAGTTTTCCGAATGACGTTTCAGATCCTCGACATATCCCACCGGCTGATCTTCAGCATTTCCTAGTGTCAGCATGGATACGACCAATGTTGCACAAAATACCCAGTGTATCCTGTCCGCCATTTTCATGCACAAGCATATAACAGCCGATAACAACCCAACCCGGATTTGAAATGTGAGGCATGTGTATCCGGGTATTTACTGCTTCAGCAAAGCTTGTTTTGTGGGGCTATGAACTGCCTGAAGGCTGTATTTATAACTGCATGTGTAGAGCACAGCGAACAACATGACAAACAAACAAACTGTAGTCAATCCAAGGACTTGGTGCATTAAAGCTGACTGGGTACGCACTCGGGTTAAAATAAAATAGCAATTGGATTGTCATCTATCCATGTCACGAGGCTCGAGGACATGTCATCTATCCATGTCACGGTACCCCGTGTTCGAAGACTTTTTATCTATGCGTGTCACGGTGTTCGAAGACATTTCATCTATGCGTGTCACGGTGTTCGAAGACATTTCATCTATCCATATCACGAGGTTCGAGGACATGTCATCTATCCATATCACGGTGTTCGAAGACATTTCATCTATCCATATCACGAGGTTCGAGGACATGTCATCTATCCATATCACGAGGTTCGAGAACATGTCATCTATCCATGTCACGGTACCCCGTGTTCGAAGACTTTTTATCTATGCGTGTCACGGTGTTCTAAGACATTTCATCTATGCGTGTCACGGTGTTCTAAGACATTTCATCTATGCGTGTCACGGTGTTCGAAGACATGCCATCTATCCGTGTCACTGTGTTTGAAGAAATTTCATTTGTCCATGTCCCTTCCATGCCACCATCCTTTTCCATCGTCTTTCACGAACAAAAACCCAGCAGTATACTGGCGACACCGGAGGACATTTGTGCAGTGTCAAGATAGGTGACCCGTTCAAAACAGGGCCGATTTTTATATCGCTCATACCAATACAACACACACACACACACATTTTCACATAGTGTCAGGACATGTATTTGCATCCCGCCATCACATGGCAATCGCTCAGAGGAATCTAACTTGCAGCTTTGCTTAATTTCCTATGCTGGATTGTCACAGGTGGTACATCTTGAAACAAGACAGCGACATGAGTGTGAGCTACGGTAAGTGGCGTTTGTCCGGTTTACAATACAGTGTAGCTCATCATCGTCTTCTTCCTTTTGATGATGTTGTTGATGATGATGTTGATGCTACTGCTGTTGATGTTGTTGATGATGGTAAGGCTGATGATGACAATAATGATGCTGTTGATATTGTTGCTGATACTGCTGATGCTCTTCATGTTGATGGTGTAGATGTCGAGGATGACGAAGTTCATGATTATGCCATACGTGACAAGTTTCGGGTGCAGCTGTTTTAAGTGTGCATGTTTTTGTTTATTTCTATGCATATTTCCAGGACTGCAGGGTGATAGCTGTAGTTATAAGTATAAAGCTTACTGTGTGGTGTAGCAGGGAGTTGGTCCTGAAATATCGTAGGGTAGGATATACCATAAATGAATATCAGTACGTTGAAAACACATGGAATTAAACGTCTTTAAGGAACTAGAGACAAACAGACTCGTTTATCTAAACGTTCACTTGGCAAGCGAATAGTCAGGCTACATTAAATCAGAACATGACAGCTACACTCTTTATTATAATCAAAATCACTGGTTTATACACCAGAATACAATTGTTATTCGCTGCTCATAGAAACGCATTTATACGATGTACGGACTGTAAAATGATAATGTATAGCATGATATGTAGGGGTGGGTATTGCAGAGAATATTCATATTGCGATATATTGCGATGCGAAAGCATGTATTGCGATATGCATTGCAATATATTGCATGAAGTATTTTTAAAGAAAAAACTACTTATATTCGAGTTACTGCTTGATTTATAGAGCAAAAACACAAGAAAATCACTATGCTTGATTAAGCTTTAATAACAAATTTTAATCATGATAAAATAAAAATGTGAATAATATTTGGCACAAATGAAACAAGGAAATATCCGAAGATTTCCGAGTGTTACGACGTTTTCCGAATGCATGTCAAAATACCGGTTTTCGATCAGCGTATCGCAATACGTATCGTTTTCATGTCTGAACCGGTAAATACCGGTAAATCGGTTATATTGCGCAGCCCTAATGATATGTATCAACAATAACTAAACAGGTTTATTTAATGAATATATATATTTCCACGCGTCTCACTGTGAAGTGACTCACATTGTTAGAGGAGACTGTAGGAAAAGTTCGTTGTGTTCAAAAAGAGATGGGATTCCTTAAGTCTAGTTGATGCTGTTAGAAATACTAGTATATACTAGTATATAGTCGGGCCATATATTTTCCTTGTCTCGCGATGAGATTTGAACCATGGACCTCCTGATCTCCACTAGACCGACCTGGAAATAAGAGGACACATTTGCCTCCAAGTGTTGTCATGTAGTGTGGACATTCTAGGATATTGTGAGTGAGTGAGTGAGTGAGAGAGTATGGTTTTACATCGTTTTTAGCAATATTCAAGCAATATCACTGCGGGGGACACCAGAAATGGGCTCACATTGTATCCATATGGGTCTTCGGTGTGACGGGTGAACGCTTTAACCACTAGGATTCCCCACGGCCTTGAGATATTGTGATGTAGGTGCATCTGGCTATAGGAACGTAAAGGATATGAGTTTAGAATGTTGTGTTAATGCACCATAAAATATAACATCTTTCAAAACTTGATTCTGTCGTATCGTTAGCTAATTCAAACTGTACAATAGTGAACTAAACCTGTGTCACAGCAGAGATGGGACGTTTGCCCCAAAATATAGACAACGAAAACAAACATGAAAACAATATAGTCGATCATGTCGATCACACCCTCTAACCCATGTTACGCTTCAACCGCTAGGCTACCCCGCCGCCCCAAATTAACACTGGCAGCGAGTCGGACATTGGCCGACGCTGTCCGATATTTCAAAGTACTTTTTGTTTGTATTTGTTTGACAAATTAGGCCATTCCTTGTACTGGTGTGCAGGTTAGGTCTGTAACTCTAACACAATATCAAATATGAAAGCTTCCCCAACTCCAATTCCGAGTGCAGAAGCTGAGCATGTTAGGTACACTTCTGCCTCAAAATGATATTTACCTGCAGTAACGTGCAGTAAACTTGGACGAAGTACTGTGACTATGTGCCGCAGTCCACCCAGCTGTGAATGGGTACCTCGTAAGGATGTGAAAGCCACATTAACTCAGTGCGCCTAGTGGTTGCATGAGTTGTATGTTCCCCAGGGAGTTGAAATTGATAATACAATGTGCGTTTGAGATTGACAGCCAATGATCGAGGGAAAAACAACTTGAGAAGCGCCTTAGAGTGATCTAGAAGTCGTTCAAATAGGGCGCTACAGAAATGTGGCATATACTAATGTTTGAAAGAGACACAGGAATAAATATTGGGAACATAGTAAGAGTGGATGTAGATTTTAAACAAGTCCATTATCCTATCATAGCTGTTAATTTCCTACATGAGGAGGGCATTTTTTGCCCATTCGATTGAAGCGGGTGAGTTCGCTCTGCGGAAACATAAGGCACGCCATAAACATGAGTGTGGGTTCAAATCCTAGTTCAAGCGATTATGTTGTTGGGTTTGTGAGCACCATGCCAATGTTGATGGGTTTGACCAAAGTGATAAACATCTCGCTGTCCTCCGACATGAAGCCGGCACGCCATGGTATAAGCTGAATACTGTTGAAAGCAGTGTTAAACCCAACTCACTCACTCACTCTTCAACACGCGTTAAATATTTACCACTGGGAATGTCTTTTTGTGATATTGAGTATTTGAACTTTCAGGAACGCGAATATTCCTCCTAGGATTTAATATGGTCTTTGTAAGCAATATTAACTTCTAGCAGAATAATCCTTATTTGTCTGGTGAAAATTGACTTGCTTTGCATGTGTTTGTCATGAGTGAGTGAGTGAGTATGGTTTCACGCCACCTTTAGCAATATTTCAGCAGGGGAAACCAGAACTGGCCTTCACACATAGTGCCCATGTGGGGGAATCGAACCCGGGTCTTTAGCCTGACGAGCGAACGCCTTAACCACTAGACTACTCCACCGCCCCTGTTTGTCATGGAGGCCACTGGTGGTGCTGGAAGCGAACACCAGGTGTTCACCAGTCTCTGATAGTCATCAGAAACATCGTCAGGCTTGCTGACCTGGTTGACACATGTCATCGTATCCCAATTGTGTAGATCGATCCTCATGCTGTTGATCACTTGATTGTTTGACTCGATTATTTCAGACCACCGCCATATAGCTGGAATAGTGCGGCGTAAAACTAAACTCACTGACTCAGTCACAAGCACATGCTTATGAATATACAAAGGACATTGTTAACATCTTTGGTATTTCTAGAAATCTAAACCATAATTTTACGATTCTTAACAAAGACTCATGCTAGTGCTAATATAATGCTAATGAACACATGCCTGTGAATGTACAAATGAGTTATCTCTGATGATTATGGAAATAGTCTTTATCAATTGTATTCACAGAAGGACATGTTTTATGTTTCAGAATGCGAGGAAAGCATCAACATCCGCACCGACGGTGACACGGAAACACCGGAAGTTGTTGACGTGGCAGTTCTGTCCGTGAAAGGCTCCCTGGTTATGGTGGTCTCTGACCACAACAATAACTGTCTCAAATCCTTCTACACCAAGGATGGTCGGAAACATAATACAAAGGTAAAGACGAAAGGAAAACCCCTAGGTCTAGCAAAACTTTCCTCCAATAGGATTGCAGCAGCCGTGTGGCCAAATCGTCTAGTTCTGGTCGAGGCAACTCCAGATCTTCAACTCCTGTCTGTTCTGGAGACATGCAGGCAATATCGTGGTCTGGCAGCCTTGGCTGATTCAACATTAGCTGCAGCTTCTCTATCACAGTACATCGATATCCTGGACGGTAATGGAGACGTGCTGAGGTCCATTCCAGTCCCCATCACAGATCAGAACATGGGACCGGTGTCATATTTTCTTCACGCGTCACTGAGTACTAATATTCTGGTGTCGGACTATGGATCAAAGTCTGTTTATTGCGTCACTTCATGGGGAGGAGTTGTCTTCACTTACACGCCCAGAGGGGAGACAGAATTAAAAGAACCACGAGGAATTACCGTCACGAGATCCGGGGATATCCTCCTGGCAGACTGGTCAGCTAATGCCATAATACACCTGTCAGAAGATGGTCAGTTCGAAAAGAACATTTTGTCTGGAGAAGACGGAGTGGCCAAACCCTTCGGGTTATGTGTCGATGACCAGGATCGACTTTACGTCTGTCTTCCGGGTGGTGAAGTCAAGGTCTTCCGGCGTACATCGCTTGGATGAACTTTTGTCAGAGATGATCTTCTGGCTCTGTGCTTTGACGTTTCATTGTGAAAAGGCCATTTAAAGAAGTTAGTATTTTGATGCACATCCTGATGTTTTGTTCGTTACCGGTTTAAACCTGCACTAAAATATTTCGGCTATATGGCAATAACCTACTCTGGACATAAAAACTCTAGTGATTGACATCATGATCATCTATCTACGCAATTGCATGTCAGCGAGTCTAACTACCAGATCCATTTGGACAGTTCAGGATTTTCACGTGGTATGTGTCCAAACTGGATTGCTTAATGGTACAACAGTAGATGAACATTCTCATATTGTTCAATAAAGACCAAACAGCCTGTTCTCTTCCAGTAATTTACCAACCTCAGCTAGACATAAACGAGACCAGTTCAACAGCCTCATTTGTTTCGTATTTTGATCTGTGCAGAACGATTCAAAGTAATAATATACTCTCCACAAGAGTGCATGACCAAATATATGATTTCATTTGTCAACTTTACCTTTTGTACAGCAATGTTCCGATATTTTAGCTTTTTGTGTCTATATTTCACATTTTTTAAAAAGAAGAATCAAGCATACTCCTTTTTACCAACACGTCAAGGAGCGTTATACGACTCTCGCTAAAAATGTTTTAATCGGTATTGCAACATTCAACGCCTCAGCAACTTTTGAAATACACTTAGATTGCTACAGGACGTTTAAGTTTTGTTTCGGGTGAACAGTTGACTTGTCCTTGCATGTGTTTGTGACAGGTGCCACAGTGGGGCAGGATACGCTCATGTTTTTGCGAACATCTGGCAGCATAACTGGTTGGTGAATATTCATAAAAACATGCTGATGATAATGAATCGTGGAATGGATGTACAATGACAGAGGTTTATGACAAGAAAATGGTTCACATGAATTGTATGTATATTTGTGATCGTGGTTATTTAGAGTGAGTGAGTGAGTTTAGTTTTAAGCCGCACTCGGCAATATTCCAGCTTTTGTGGCAAGCATGGGTTGCTGAAGACCTATTCTACCCCGGATCTTCACGGGTCTGATTATTTAGAATACAAACATGTAGTCGCAGTGTATATAAGCATCGCTATTTGCTGAGATGACATGTTTGATAAAATTTCAAATACAAACCGCTGTAATTCAATGCACACTTTGTAATATCATTGCATTCATATCATGGTTGTTACAAAAAGAAAACATCACATATTTTCATTTTATTAAAAATCCATATGAAAATATACTCCATGAATCTAAACAGCGAACGCGATTGACCAATATTTGCACACGTATGATATAGTTTAATAAGTGACAGGCTGTTTAATAGCAAGTAAGCTATAAATCACAGCATCCATTGTTAGTATGATAATTATCAAATGATGAAAGATAAGTACTCGAACAAATAACGCACCTTGGACTGAATATACATCCAGTGCATCACGGTATGAAAACGCGTTTTGGGATATGACAACTGGAATAATCCCAAGGTAGATAACCGCATTTCCTGAGAGACACTATAGTTCCAATTAACCCTGAAAAGATCAAACTACAAAAACATGCATTTGTCATTTAAAATCACAAAGTAAAATGTTTCTTCCTCGATTCAATCAATCACACGTACACCTTGCCCCACCCCGTCACCCCCGAATGTAAGGGTAGGTTTTGACACTGATGCTTTGCTATGACTGGGTATATGAACAAAGTACTAGAGGTGTCGCACGTTTATACCATAATCAATATCACTTGTACATGCAGGACTTTAATTATTTAATAATTACTTCGGTAGATTATCTTCAGCCCTTCATATTGATAAATATTAAAGGGATAGGAAAAAGAACGTTATAACCGACTTCACTTGACCAGAAAAGTAGAAACAAAGGCGTATGTGAGATTTATCATAATTATTTTACAAACAGAAATCAGTTTCCAATAATATGACTAAAATGCATAGTAATACTGGTCTTGCATTTGCCACAATTTATTAAGAAAGAGTCAAGGGGTCAAAATAGAAAATTACACAAATCAGAGTTCATTCAAAAAGTGCATAATGAGTCAGGGAACATGTCATCAATAGCGAGCACAACCACCCTGGGCATCCATGCACGCCAACACACGTCTCTTTACTGACGTCGTCAGTCGGCGGATGACGTGAGCAGGAATCCTGTTTCACAAGTCCAAGAGAGTCTGTTCAAGTTCCTGTCGGTTCCCTGGAGGCGGTACACACCGTCTCTGCTGACGATCAAGTTGATCCCAATGATGTTCAATGGAGTTCATGTCTTGAGAAGGCGCTGGCCAAGGCGACACGTTGACTTTAACGTTGTGCAGATATTTTCTCGAACAATTCTACCGGTGCGAGACTTTGCGTTGTCCTGCTGCTAAATGATTCCTCTTGTCGAACAAAGGGCACTACAAAAGGTCTCAACACTTCATCCATGTATCGCTGGGCATTTGGATTTCCTCGGATGACAACGGGTCTTGTTGTTCTCTGGCCACAAATACCGCCTCATACCACGACGCCTCCTCCATCGAACGGATGAACGTCTTGAACGCAGTTTGGCACAAGTCGCTCTCCTCTACGTAAAAATCTCTGCCATCGTTTCTGAACCGACTGAACCGACTTTCCTCTGTAAAGAGCACGCTCTCCCAGTCACGTCGCTGCCACCGACGTACAGTTCGTGCCCATTGACGGTGTAGACGGGTCAAGGCCATTCCACGGAAGGGGACGGCAGGCTCGTATACCAGCCATACCAAGCCGTCAAAGGACTGTTCGTCTGCTGATCGCGTGTCCTGGTGCTGTCGCTGCCGTTGACGTCAAGATTCTGTTCCGGAGGTGGGTCTGTCGGGTGAAACGGTCTTTGGCCGGTGTCTTGACTCTTGGACTTCCCGATCTTTGGCGATCGTTTTAACAATTAATTTAAAAGTGTTAACTTTCTTTTGCCCGGTAGTATATATCCAATATTTGTTCCGTGTTTAGCTTACACTTCCTGTTTCTTTAGTTTAACAATATACAGCATTTCTGCTCGCTCAGGAGGTTAGGCAACTCTGGTAGCTGTTTAAGGCCGGTTGTCCTCTCAGAAGTCTGCGCTTCTGGTTTAAGTAGCCGGTTGCTACCAATACTTCGCCAGGAATCGTTTCACCTTGACAGGTGAGTAATGGGTCATCTTTCGCCAGTAGATACTTATTGGACAGTTTTGACCTTATGTCGACTTAATTTGGGTGTTACTTCGCTAAACTTACAGTCAGGGGTTTAATATTTGAATAGTAACTTCTTTAATCTGGTAATCTGTGAATAATTAATTTTCCGAAATTTCATACCTTTCTATTTTTGAAGTCAAGATCTTCTTAAGGCCAAGATAATTTTTCTTTAGTGTCCAAGAGACACATTTCATGAACAGACACCCGAGTGATCGTTAATAATGCTGACGAGGATACAGTGACACAGTTAACAAGCTTGCATTCTCGTTCACTTTTTTCTTATCAGTGATCTTTGCCTGTCTAGCTTTTGCGATTGTCTTTCGTTGATATTTTATCGAGCTGATGATAACAGAACTTTGAACTTTTATCATGTAATCTATCATTTCTCTTTTAGCATACAGTATCGCCCTTGCAGCGAAGCTGGTGACGAACTAAACCAGTTAGTCTCGTCACTCGTCATTGTCGACCATACCGACGTCTAACCCTGTACTGACCCATCGTTTCAAACAAGGAAATAGCTCTATGTCGTTGTTACTATGACTAAGAGAATTGCAAGGAAGTATTTCCGCTAAATCCGACAGCACTGTAGCCACCACAATCATATGCTGCATCGCCACAGATGGTCGTCCCAGATAACACCACAACACAGGAAGATGGGCTCTAAATATGGTAAGTGACATCTGTCTCATGTGATATTCATCCGATAGCAATCACGTAGGACCAAATTATTACAGATAAAAATGTTTCGTTAACTATAAAGGTTTATTAAGTAGTTACCAAGTTTCGAATTTATCGAATACAAGATCTGCTAACGCTAATAAAAAACATCAACGTTAGACAATACGAAATCTCCATTGTCTGGCGAAACAGATTATCTTTTGGCAGAAAAAGGTCCAACGGTGATTAAAGTTATTATTACTGAATCACGTAATACCAATAATGACACCAGGTTTTCGGGAAAAGACTAGCCAGTGATATTTACTTGACAGTCATAATGATAAAGTTATTTCATAACACCAATATAGTAATCCAAATTTTGAATGTTGTTGTTGTTGGTTTGACTTAATACAAAAAGCGACGAATACTTGTTCGATAATCACCAAACGGAATCCTCTTCCCAAATGTCCGTCCGTGTAGGTGTACAATGACAGGGTTTCGGCGCGGTATTGAACACTAACGAGAAAATGAACCGTGAGGCCTTTAACCTGAAAATATAAACGTCAGGTAGGATTTTGTGAAGTGACATGCATCTTATTAAAGTCAGCGTGACCCAGGAGACGTGCATGTGGAGCGTTTATAATGGTATCTCATATGAAATCAGACTTTCCAGTGTTAGTGTGCCACCATTACTAAAAGACAGAACAACTGTTAAATTCAAAGGAATCGGATAGTTCTCAACTTCGTTTGAGAGGTATATTGCATTAAAAAGATTACTAATTATTTAGATAGAATAGGGTTTTTCTAAATCTTCTTTGTTGTTTAAAGCCCCACTACGATTGGTCAGGCTCCATCACGCAGGCCTGGATATGATTAAGTCTGACGGTTTTACGCCGCTTTTAGCAATATTCCACCAACATCACGGCGGGGGACACCAGAAATGGGCTTCACACATTGTACCCATGTGGGGATTCGAACCCGGGTCTTCGGCGTGACGAGCCAACGCTTTAACCACTAGGCTACCCCACCGCCCCTATTTAAGTCTGGGTCTAACGCACCGGTGATTGATATTAAGACCAACACTCCAAACTGTCAGGGTACAACGAAACGCAGTCGGCCTAGCCACCGACAAACACAAGTTGGGAAATATCTAACTGATATTTGATCAGAGATGATGCCATAACTTTGATGCAAAAATGTGAATAACCCTTGGTGTAAATATGTGAATAACCTTTGATACAAATTTGTGAATAGCTCTCGATGCAAATATGGGAATAGCTCTCGATGTAAATATGGGAATAACTCTCGATGTAAATCTATATGTAAATATCACTCGATGCAAACATGTGCATACCTCTCGATGTATACATGCGAATTACCCTTGAAACAAATATGTGAGTAACTCTCGATGTCAATATGTGAATTGCTCTCGATGCAAGTGTGTGAAGATCTCACGATGCAAATATGAGAAATAACTCTCGATGTAAATTTATATGTGAATAGCACTCGATGCAAGCATGCAAATACCTCTCGATGCAAATGTGTGAATAACTCTCGATGCAGCTATGTGATAGCTATCGATGCAAATATCTGAATACATGCTGTCGATCGACAAACGCCTTAAATGCTAACTCTGTATGTAGTCTTACGAACGTGGTTCTACGCAGATCTTTTTATAATACTGAGAAATAAGAATACGAAACAATGGGTGAAAAACTCATGGAAATGTTCAACGATGTTGATAACCAATAATACATGGATGAAATATCTTGAAGCAGCAAGCTGTATATATTGTCTACAATACGTTTAAGGCCAAGCATATAAAAATACACATGTAGTATAAAATAACTGCGTATAGGATCTAGAGCTGCAATGAAGTATCTTTATTATGCTAATATTCATTGATTATTGCGTGTATTTACATAATTATTCAAGAAATATGTTTTGGTAGATATTTATTGCTCAAATGTGCGTCCAGCTCGCACAAATGTAAGGGATGGACGTAGAATACAATTCATTGTGTCTTAAGGGACGCACAATATTGTTCACTGTATCCACAACACATCTATGACTTTGCTTAGTGTTTGGTTGTTTCGTTCAACGCAGTTACGTGCATCATTTCATCCACTAGCTTATAGTCAATATGATCAATGATTAATTCCATACTCTAAAACCATTAGCCAAACGTACAATTCTATACACCGTTACATCGCAGGCATTTCATATTGCCTGCAAGGACCTCTAAAACTCATAATTAGTGGTCCCCGGACCCCCATGTTTGTGAGTCAAGGTAATAAAATGCATTGAGACATACACCTCCACAAATTAATCACAACAATGACATAGGCTGTCATTGCTCGGCAAGTAACAGGGTGTTCAATGTCGATTAATGAATTACAGTCAAGCTATTATGTCGGTGACAACACAGAACTGAATAAAACGCTTCCGAAATAGAACCCCGGTTAGAAATTGTTAGTCGCAGATTGAAAACGTACTTTACAAGGTGTGCAAGTTATGTAGGGAAAGAAGACGACATTGTGAACCTGCTCTAATGCTAAAACAACAGGGCCCCGTTTCACAAAGATTTCGTAAGCCTAAGATCTCGTAACTTTTCTCGTAGCATTCGTACCTCCTATACTGTAACATAGGGAGTACGAATGCTACGAGAAAAAATACGAGATCTTAGGCTTACGAGAGCTTTGTGAAACGGGGCCCTGGATTCTAGTGTCACTAGTCGATAGACTGAAAGACTCAACCGTGAATACTGTACTTATGTTCGCTGATATTCATTATATGTTTACCACTTGCACGATAAGAAACGTAGGCCTATCTTACATTTTATACATTTATATTGTAATATGTATAAATCGGTACATGATCAAAATTTGATCTTCAGTAACCCATGCTTCTCGAAAGAGGCGACAAACGGGATGGGGTGGTCAGGCTCGCTGACTTGGTTGACACATGTCATCGTATCCCAGTTGCGTAGATCGATGTTCATGCTGTTGATCATATGATTGTCTGGTCCAGACTCGATTATTTACAACGGCCGCCATGTAGCTGGAATATTGCTGAGTGCGGCTTAAACAAGAAACTAAACAAGAAATCAAAAATATGTTACAAACATCTCATTGACTTTGTATCTCGTACTTGTCATACTGTTTCAGGTTTGTCATTGGAAACATGCATTACTGTTAGATATCAAAATATGTTATTCATCCAGGGGTGGGTTCAAAGCTTATATCTAAGGCCGCTGCTAGTCTACTATTTCATAAAAGAATGACGAGGTGTCTCATGGTTTAATGGTTGGCAAAAAACGGGGGCTCGATTTAAACATGTGGAGTGATGTTCTCCCGATGTTGAAAGCGGCGCCAAACCCTACTCCGTTATTGACTGGGTACGCAAGCAGTAAGCGGACTTACATATCAGTTTGTGATTTGCTTTGACAAATGCGTCAGTACGATTTGACAAGTCAGCTATAATCTCATGGAGGAGATGATTTGCATGTTTCAGAATGCGTGGAAAGCATCAACATCCGCACCGACGGTGACACGGAAACACCGGAAGTTGTTGACGTGGCAGTTTTGTCCGTGAAAGGCTCCCTGGTTATGGTGGTCTCTGACCACAACAATAACTGTCTCAAATCCTTCTACACCAAGGATGGTCGGAAATATAATACAAAGGTAATGACGAAAGAAAAACCCCTAGGTCTAGCAAAACTTTCCTCCAATAGGATTGCAGCAGCGGTGTCGCCAAATCGTATAGTTCTGGTCGAGGCAACTCCAGATCTTCAACTTCTGTCTGTTCTGGAGACATGCAGGCAGTACCGTGGTCTGGCCGCGCTGACCGATTTAACTATAGCAGCAGCTTCCTTAACTTTTAGCATCGACATCTTGGATATGGATGGATGTGTCTTGAGGTCAGTTTCTGTACCAGACACTGGTCAGGAAATCGTTCCTATTCCATATTATATTTGTGCGTCACAGACAGGAAATATTCTGGTCTCGGACTACGGATCCAAATTTGTCTACTGCCTGTCGCCAGATGGAGAAGTCGTTTTTGCGGACATGCCAAGGGGTGAGAGAAGTCTACAACATCCGCGTGGAATTACTGTCACAAACTCCGGGGATATTTTCCTAGCAGATTGGGGAGCTAATGTCATAATACACCTATCTGAAGATGGTCAGTTTGTAAGGCATGTTTTGAGCATTAAGGACGGTATTATCAAACCCTATGGATTATGTGTGGACGATCAGGACCAGCTGTATGTGTGTCTCAAGGGGGAAGTCAAAGTGTTTGGACGTGGACCTATGAACCGTGTAGACGTTATGTAACCATGTATACCTGACGATGCCAATTAGAACGTGAGAATCCCTTGACAGTGTCAAAGTCACCAAGAACTTCTTAAGGGAACAGTTCCCGTTCAGGCGCGGATCCACAAAGCGTCTGTTAGCACGACGATGTTCGCAAACTATACGTTACAATGGGCCATAACTTAACAAGTGCTTTGTGCATCGGGACCCTTGGTCCTAATCCCCAAAACGTTTGTAGCGCTACGACGTTCGTAACCCTGTGTTAAACTATAGAGTTCCGACAGGTCGTAACGTTACGAACGCTTTGTGGATCGGGACCCTGGTTTCTAACATAACACTGACTTTGGATGTCATGTAACTCCTGGGGCGGTGGGGTAGCCTAGTGATTATAGCATTCGCCAAAGGCCCGGGTTCGATTTCCCACATGGATACAATGTGTGAAGCCCATTTCTGGTGTCCCCCGCCCTGATATTGCTGTAATATTGCTAAAAGCGGCGTAAAACCCAACTCCCCCACTCACTCATGTAACTCCTGTTTGTGTGTCAGCTATCAGTAATAACTGAAGCAAGGATTCAAATGTTGGTGTCACAGAAGTTAACCACCCAGTTCTCAACTGTTTAGCTTGTGTCTTGCTGGTTCTGCCCTGAAACTTGACAGAACACGCGTCATCTGCTTAATGAGTTTACCCCTGGCACATAAGAACTCAGCAAAACGATGAAAGATGAAAAACTGGAGTCCGATCAAATGAATTTCTGTATGTAATATTCATCACCTGACGCGGTCCCCAAGGATGTGTATCTCCAGGGGGAATGCTCATATGAAGTATTTTCCATTGAAATGACAGTGACATAAGTGCACTGTTCTGTGACAAGTACACAATGTATCGCTATTCTTTATGCATAGTTTGTCAGAGCAGCGGAGCCGAAAACTACCTCTCATGGTGTCTCACGACCATGCTGTTGATTTTGTGTGTGTATTCTAAGCCACACAGTTCATTTGGTAGGGTTACAACAGTCAGATTCTTTTAAAAAAGCAGGTCAATATTTACATATGCAACTTGCATACAATCATTGATCCCCTCATATAGCTGAATGTCTGGAGGACGGGTAATCATGTCGGGTGGTTTTATAACCTTTTGAAAAGCTCCGCATTTTGGCAATGGGCCAGTCCTTGCATAGATTTTGCATAGATTTTTTTAAAACTCACAAGCCGGGGCTAGATGTTTTAGAAATGTATTTCGGGCTAGGTTGCCCTGACCCAGGCTCAATTTGAAATCTTCTGTACAGACATGGCGCATGTCCTGACAGAGACATGTTCTTCCGGCATCTTGTGCTCAGCATGCATTTCTTTTAAAAAGTCTAAGTGAAAGCAAGTCTTGATTTTCCTCAGGTTATGAATCGCAGATCTCATTATGACTCCTTTTCAATCTAAATGGAGCAATCTTTTTCTGTTCAAAATTATAAACATTCAGAGAGTATGCATTATTTGAGACACACAGAGAACCCTGTGTGTGTGTGTGCATCCGTGCATGTTCTATGTCTAAGTGTGGAATTCAGCGCATTATAAATAATATTATTATTATTTATTATTACTTGAACATGTTCTCCTCTGTACTTGTGCTGGCCCACTGAAGGTCATGCAGCAGTTAACATGAATACCCTACTCAAACACATTAATAAACCCCATAGAGCCATCCAGGGTGCTGTTGTACAACACAACCTTAGCGCTACGACTAACTTAAGTCTATGTTTAGGTATGGGAGATACGGTAACCTTAGCGCTACGACTACCTTAAGTCTATGTTTAGGTATGGGAGATACGGTAACCTTAGCGCTAAGACTACCTGAAGTCTATGTTTGGGTATGGGAGATACGGTAACCTTAGCACTAAGACTACCTGAAGTCTATGTATAGGTATGGGAGATACGGTAACCTTAGCGCTAAGACTACCTGAAGTCTATGTTTGGGTATGGGAGATACGGTAACCTTAGCGCTAAGACTACCTGAAGTCTATGTTTGGGTATGGGAGATACGGTAACCTTAGCTCTAAGACTACCTGAAGTCTATGTTTAGGTATGGGAGATACGGTAACCTTAGCGCTAAGACTACCTGAAGTCTATGTTTGGGTATGGGAGATACGGTAACCTTAGCGCTAAGACTACCTGAAGTCTATGTTTGGGTATGGGAGATACGGTAACCTTAGCGCTAAGACTACCTGAAGTCTATGTTTGGGTATGGGAGATACGGTAACCTTAGCGCTACGACTACCTTAAGTCTATGTTTAGGTATGGGAGATACGGTAACCTTAGCGCTAAGACTACCTGAAGTCTATGTTTAGGTATGGGAGATACGGTAACCTTAGCGCTAAGACTACCTGAAGTCTATGTATAGGTATGGGAGATACGGTAACCTTGGCGCTAAGACTACCTGAAGTCTATGTATGTATACCTTAGCTAAGACTACCTGAAGTCTATGATACGGTAACCTTAGCGCTACTACCTGAAGTCTATGTATAGGTAGAGATACGGTAACCTTCTATGTATAGGTATGGGAGATACGGTAACCTTAGCGCTAAGACTACCTGAGGTCTATGTTTAGGTATGGGAGATACGGTAACCTTAGACTACCTAGTCTATGTTTAGGTATGGGACTGTAACCCTGAAGTCTATGTATAGGTATGGGAGATACGGTAACCTTAGCGCTAAGACTACCTTAAGTCTATGTATAGGCATGGGAGATACGGTAACCTTAGCGCTACGACTACCTTAAGTCTATGTATAGGTATGGGAGATACGGTAACCTTGGCGCTAAGACTACCTTAAGTCTATGTATAGGTATGGGAGATACGGTAACCTTAGCGCTACGACTACCTTAAGTCTATGTTTAGGTATGGGAGATACGGTAACCTTAGCGCTACGACTACCTTAGTCTATGTATAGGTATGGGAGATACGGTAACCTTAGCGCTACGACTACCTGAAGTCTATGTTTAGGTATGGGAGTTAAGGTCACCATATTAATGGCACCCAGGTCCCTTGCCATTTTTATCAATGATCAACAACACACAAACAGAATAATCATGTTTTATATAGCACTTTTTCTAGTATATATTTACAAGTTCAAACATGTATGAACAAGGAAAGTAAGAATACTTGCCCTCATTGATATGAAATACTGCAATGAAAACATACACAGGTAGCAAATGATTTTACAAACTCAAAAAGAAACTTTGGCACATACACAGACATATCATATCCTGAAAGAACATTCTAATGCCACCCTCAAAACAGTGGCTAAATAATGCATCAAAAGTGGTGAATATTGCATCAGCAGCTCCATCTAATCCTTCAACATTTCCTAACAGTATCTATGCAGTCTGACTTCAGGTTAAAATTGGTCTTCAGCAACCCATGCTTGTCGTATGAGGTGACTAACGGGATGGGGTGGTCAGGCACATGTCATCGTATCCCAATTGCATAGATCGATGCTCATGATACTGATCACTGGATTGTCTGATCCAGACTTGATTAGTTACAGACAGCCGCCATATAGCTGGAATATTGCTGTGTTAAAGAACAAACAAACAACTGTGCAGTCTGACTCATGAATACTTTTTCTCTTGGGCTGCTGTGATTAAACGATATTGGACTGTGACCATTACCTTTGGGAATGTGGATCATCATCAGTTGGCCAGTTGGACTGATGATGTGCTATATAAAACATAGCATGTTTTATATTTTATATTGGACTTGATCGATACCTATGTACTTGCCCATCCTTGATCGATACCTATGTACTTGTCCATCCTTGATCGATACCTATGTACTAGTCCATCCTTGAGCGATACCTATGTACTAGTCCATCCTTGATCGATACCTATGTACTTGTCCATCCTTGATCGATACCTATGTACTAGTCCATCCTTGAGCGATACCTATGTACTTGTCCACCCTTACTCCCATTATACTTGTCCACCCTTGATCGATACCTATGTACTAGTCCATCCTTGAGCGATACCTATGTACTTGTCCATCCCTGATCGATACCTATGTACTAGTCCATCCTTGATCGATACTTATGTACTTGTCCATCCTTGATCCATACCTATATACTCATCCATCCTTACTCCATTATACTAGTCCATCCTTGTTCCCTTGGAATATACTAGTCAGTCCCTACCAATATACTTAATCTGTCTGTTAATATCATGATGGTTATTACCCATATCTTATTCAGCCAAAAATATTTGATGAAGCATTACAAACAGGTTTTATACAAAACAATACAATAGAGCATAAAGTTTGTATAACAAGTTTTTCCACATGTTACTTAACAATTATCTTGGATATACTCCCAGAAGCATGACACAAGACAACACGGAATGAACTCCTGATGACCACTAGATATATAGGGTGACACCTCCTTACTAAGCAAATGCTAAGTCCAGTTTGTATCCCCATGTACCCCATATGGGTACAATGTGTGAAGCCCATTTCTGGCATCCCCTGCAATGATATAACTGGAACACTGCTAAAAGCAGCAAAAATATCACACTCACTCGCTCAAGACGCTATACCCTGTCCCATAGTCCCTCGACTACATTATTTTCCCTTCTTTTTAGCCCTCCCTACAGTGGTGACCCCCTAAATGAGGATTTCCCCAGGTTCTGAATCTCCCATCTCACTGCTGCTCCTTTTCAATTTAAATGTGTTTATTTGTTACTATCAAAAATATATATATTCAGAGACTAAGCGTTAGTCTACTTTCAACGCTGTGTATCCACTATGTGACTTGGAAGATTTAAGTTTAAACAATTTAAACAATTCTTTTCTCAAAAGCAATTTTCAGATATAAAGAATATCCTTATGATCCCTAATCTTTAATAAATTACCTATTACATTAAAAAGTATCTGATTTCTTTCATTCTACTTTAAAGAATGTCAGTGGATATTATATTACAGAAAAATAACAGTAAATGTTAAAGACCTGTAGTTTATGATTGTGTCCCGCAATAGCGTCCTAAAGAATCTCAAGGTTGGCTGACTGCAAAAATATCACATGAAATGTTATACAGAAATCCAAAAATGAACAAAAATGCATGTTATCAACATTTACTGTTGCAGAGTATTCCTCACCCAATCTTGTATTGGTGATACGTTTTTGTGTATGAGTCTTGTTTTTTGAGTCAGTATTATGAAAATGGGATATACATACCATGTGCCCCACACAGAAGTAACATTCCCTTAATATCCATGTTTCCTATGACATATGTTCAAGGTGAATAATGATTACAAATATGATCATAGATGGAAAGCACAGTTCATGTGCTCGAGATTTTGTGAAAAGGTAATGATAACAATCCAGTAAAATCAAGTATTACTTACAAAATGTACTAGATAATGTTCATGCAAAGCAATTATTGATAACTATCTTCATGCATCTTGTGTCATCAATGCAAAATATGTTGTCATGAAACATGAGCAATAAAAATACAACCACAAATGAAATATTTATAACTAAATATAACACATAATCACAGATTATCATCAACCCACAACAATATATTCACACAAAGCAAAGCTCTCTGTATATTTGTCAATTTGATTCTGAAATATGTAATTGGGGATGCAGAAATGTGTGAAAGGGGATGTAGCCCATGATGTGTCCGAGTCGTGATGGGTCCAGTACACAGGCATTTCAAGCCTAATTTGTGGAGGCAAGTACATCTTTAATTGACTTAAACATGGCTGATGTCTACTTAAGTGCAAACGCATTTCATTACGTTCCACTTCCATTTACGTCCATTTCTTGGCCATTTCCATCTTCTTGAGGAAAGTTTCAAAGGAAGAGTAAAAACTACACTTTCATAGAGACTAGTTGGCCAGAGAAAGATGGTTCATTTCCTGAACATATCACTTCTACTTTATGTCCTTTTAATGTTCAATGCCACAGATGATCAGACAGTGATGATGATGTCCTTGGCATAGAGATACAGGGAAACGAGGAACCAGAAGAATGTACCCCAGGCAGTCATTGCAAGTTGTGATGCATGAGTGCGAACAATGTGGAAATACACAGGGCTGCGGCCAAAGAACACTTCATGTCCAAAATATAAAACAATGGGGTTCAGTCCTGAAACAAATGTTATTGTCCACATTAATGAATATAACACATAACTGTAAGTGTGATGGGAAATCAGCAACGTGAAATTGAAGCATGGAGTTAATTATTTCAAATAAACAAATAGCTTTGTGCAATCCATTCCTGAACACAAGTCACATCAATACTTGTTCATCTCAGAGTTTATTACATGTATTCACATGGTATTAAATACAATTTGGAATAACATCAATCCTTGTACACATACAGCCTATTCACCACTCAGAGAGTGGAAGGTCATGGGTTTGATCCATGGCCGCATCATACCAAAAGACGTTAAAATATGGTACTTGTTGGTCCCTGCCTGGCGTTCGGCATTAATGGGTACAACAAGGACTGGTCGGCTTAAGTCTGGGCTAGTACAAGCAGCCACACATACACATGCATGCACGTCATCATATGAGCGAATTAATCTTGAGCACGACATTAAACCACATTTTACCTCACCTATTCACCACAAGCATGTTGTTATATATACTACTCAACAAAATTTAAGCAACACCCACAGTTTTCATATGTCTATAGTTAATGTGTCATGCGATGACAGATTAGTAAGTTCGATTTATGCTGCTTTTAGCAATATCCCCGCAATATCACATTGTACCCACCCATGTGGGGAATCAAACCCGGGTCTTTGCTGTTACAAGTGAACCCTTTAACCCCTAGGCTACCCACCGCCCATCATGACAGATTAACTACAGCCACATGAAACAAAACACCATGGGTTGAGTAGTCTATAAGCATAGTACAAGAACAAATCTTACATCTAGTGAAATGGCGAGACAGTGTTAGCAGTGTTAGTAAATATTAGTACCCGGTAAATGGATAGTAATAATATGCACAAGCTATGAAACAAATCCATATTAATATCGACATGAATAAAAAATTACATTGCACTAAAGGACATAATGTGAAAGATTTCAGTGAGGCCAGACCAATTTTATTTCTTGCTTTTGTCCTCAGAAAACCTTAACGCAGGAGAGGAAAACTTTTTAAAAAATCACTAGTCAAATTAATATTCCTTTTAAATACTAAAGTATTTTACTTTTCGCAATTTATGAAGTGTATATGGGGCAAAAAACAATCTAAAAAAAATGTGGTTGTAAGTTTACGTTTTTGGCCAATAAAAACTTTAGGATTTTATTCTTTGAGCAGGAAAAATTAATTTTTAATTTTTTTCTTATTCTTCAAAAATATGACCGGTTGATCCGTAAAACAAGAAATAAATTTGATCTGGTCTGAATTATTATCTCAAAATATTAAAATTTCAGAAGACACCACAAAACCATAACTAAAAAAAGAGTTTACTTTTCAAGAAACTCAAACTGAAAACAGGAAGCAGTACCTTCACCATGACAACACACAGACTCCACACACTGTTACACAGCAATGTAGAGCTTCATTACATGCAGCCGGTATGTGACTAAGCACCAGAGAGCGGGTCCCCACAGATCCATGAACAGTGCCCAGCTATGGCTGTCCGGCACAGCCACCGTGACAGGGAAACATGACGAAAACACTTCATGGCACACATAATAGAAAATGGAATTCATGCCTGGTAAACAACAGAAAAAGCAGCTACTGACAGATCCAGAAATAATCAACATGTGATCAAAATGATTCAAGATTCTTATTATTATCTTCAAATACTGAAGTATTACTAGATCCAATTTTGACATTGGCTTCCCTAAAAACTGATCGTCGTGTTAAATGTTGTATATTGTTGGAACAAAATATGGGAATGCCTATGAATAAATTATCATATTTTGTATGGCATTTCGTTCACCTTTAACGAAACAGCAATTAATTAGCCTTTTCAAAATGTTTACTGAATATAGTCATTAACCATAAATTCAATTGATGGTGTGAGTACCTGTGAACAAATAAACCTTATTTTGCCAAGGAAGGTGAGAAGATTGATCAATGCACTAAATCCCTGAAAAGGGAGAATCATGTAACCTACTGATACAGAGGGGCAGCCTTGAATGATATGGATTTACAGATCATGTTGATTTCAAGAATTATTTCTAGATCTGTGTCATTATACTACAACAAAAGTTAGTAAGAGTGAGTGAGTGATTAATGTGCAACAGTCAACATCACATTATTGAACAAACTTCATGGATAGTAACTTCTTTTAATTTCGTGAGTGCGACATTTTGATACACATTCTTGTACCATTGTCATTTCTTCTTGACAACGGTACAAGAATCTGTATTCAATTATCGCACTCACAAAATATAAGAAGTTGTTATCCATAAAGTTTGTTCAATATTGTATGTCCCAACTTCTAAAATGCCACTCAAAGAAGTCAATAATACAATCTAGCTACATAGTAATATACATGTATTTGATCCAGTCTGGGTAGGCAAACCAGTGGTTGATAGTATGGGCAACAATTCATGCTAATGATAAACCATCCCAGTTATCGAAGGCCCTCATCGTACCCAGTGTGTAAACATGGGGACCTGCCCCCGTGTCCTATCAGGTACAGACAGAGGGAATACAATGTGAATGTATTCTACAGTGAATAAACAAACTAACGTCAAGATGTAGGTGCAAACCAGAAGCATTATGAGCATAGATGATTTGAATAACTAGAAATGATTACCGGTAATGAATATTCACCTTTATCTTCACACTCACATTGATGACAAAGCCAAATTATAAAACTGTGAGTGTTTCCATTAATTTTTTTCATAAGAAATTTTTGTAAAAATAACTTTAAGATCTAAAACTGGTATGTTTTTAAAGTCCTTATTTAAAAAAAATGTACATGTAAATGTCTGATGGCATCATGACATCCAGGCGAGCTACAACTGTATGATATTTTAATGGCACAGACATAAAACACTGCATTATTTTAAGCCAGATGAAACAATTCTTCCTTATCCTGACTCATACCTACTGCTTTATCTCCCTTTCCCTTGAGTGGGAACCTCTGTCCTAATGTTCCCAAGAACATAAAACAGTGTACTAATTTAGGCCTGATGAAACATAACATTCTTAAACTATCCACCTTACAAGTGAGACACCTTCACAACTGAACCACTTTCTAACCACCACCTCCACCACCATCACCACTACAGAGCACTAACACTAGGACATGCTTCTACAATGTACCAGCCAGCACTGTGTTAATGAACTGTGTACATTTTCAGTGACTAGTAGTTCTTAATAATTAGGCAGGTGCTTGAACCCATATAGTTCAATTATTAACTACAATCTTTTTAAAATTTCAAATGTCTAACATAAATCATTCCATTCCATCGAAGGTTACTCCAAAAAGTCCAAAAGAATCTATCGTAACCATAACAAAGTCACAAAGATGAATCCTACGATGATCTCCGTGTTGCAGTTACTTTGTGAAACAGTTCAGGTACACAATACTGGCTACTAAAACAGCTGCTAATACAAGGCACCAGGTAGTTCCCACATCCCAACAAGCATCTCACCTGGGTAGCAGAACGGCGCTCCACTCCAGACCTTCCACACATCAATCAGTAGGTAGCACAGCATGAACAGGATGAAAGCAAAGCTTGACAGTGCCAGCACAAACGACAAGGACCTGTAAATAGGTTTGTACACTAAGATTTGTTGCTAATGTGTATTTTAACGTCACACAAAAGAATATTCCAGCTATATGACAATACAAATGATAACTATACAAATAATCGTGTCCAGGAGAGACAACCCTGTGACTGACATTACAAGTAAGATCTATGTAATCAGGATGACAGGATGTATCATTAAGTCGGCGAGTCTGACAACATGGGCCCATTTGTTTTCCTACTATGTGTTATGAATGACATATTCCATCCTGTATCTATCAGGTTGTACATGATAAGTATTTATGGAGAACAAACCTTCAGTTGGGAATGGGACCTCATTCTGAATGTTTCAACACTGAGCTGACTAACCATTAGGATATATATATGTATATATATACAGCATTTACTATACTCCAAAGTGTCAATTGCTTAAGAAATGTTAAAGGGAGATAACTCTAGTATTTGACTTTGCCCTTCACAATGGTCAGACTTGTTTGCCATACTTTTGGTATCCATAGTATTAGGCTTGCATTGTCTACACAGTGGACAATTGGAACAGATACAAATATTGAGACATTAAATTAACACATAGTATATTTCTCTAAAACATGTCATATTCCAACATCATCATGTTTATGTTGCTTTGAAGTTACATCATACATGACTACTCACCATAAATTCTTACATATTGGAATAAAACCATCATCTTTTGTTCCTTTACTTAAGACAGCAGCAATGATTCCCTGCAATGCAAAGTTAAAAAAGATATTATTGTCATAACCATGCCAAAAATATTTAATTCTGAGACATGAAAAAAGTAAATTTGTCCATGGGTGTTAGCAATTCAATGTCTAAAAATGTTAAATCTTTACTTTTGTAATGATTCCATCAAAGGATTAATATCATCTGTTTAACTGTCAAAAGTCGAAACAACTTACCAATACTATGCCCCAAATGAGAAATCTCTTACATCGTTTGGCCCAGTCTTTTTGTTGAATTAAGATCTTTCCGGCCTGTAAAGTGTCGCAACTTGTACATATCAATGAAGTCAGTGTGTTCAAAATGGTCACATCATTAATGTGATACCTGCAGATGTTGTCCTCAACATCATCGTCGTCGTCGCCATCATCATCATCATTGAAAGTAAACACATGTATGTTTTTCATAATAATCTGGGACAGGCTAAGCTCATCATCATCATCATCATCATCATCATCATCATCATCAGTAAACACATGTACCCTCTACATAATAATCTGGAACATGCTAGGCCCAAATAAAGTCATAATTATTTGTTTTCATGGAAAACGGTCAGAGAACATTCAGACCGATGTTGTCTACAGTGTCAGTCATACCTGGAGTCCTAGGAAACACATGAAACAGGAGGTCAAGGTCCCCAGCAGCCCTTCTGGGTCATAGGGCATGGATGTCTTGTAGATAGCCTGCAAACATTAGAGAGTGATACTGAGAGACAGGCTTCACATCGTAGCCAACAATTCTACACTGATTTCACAGTGGTTTACAACAAGTCAGGACCAGACAAGCAAGTGGATGTATGTATGAATTGTTTATAGAGTATGGTTTTTACTCCTTTCGGCAATACCGGGGTATATCAGTAACATCATGGCAGGCCACACCAAAGATTTGTGCTATTTCTTATGAGAGGGGACCACTTGCTGTTAGAACAGCCAGGTGTGCGAGTTGCATGTGTGGAATTGAAATTACACTACACACGCTTGTTGATTACCTGGCTGTTCTACCAGCAAGTAGTCCCCCTCGTAAGAAATAGGGAAGGTGACAACAAAATAATGATCGTTCGTAAAACAACTTTTTTATTCGGGGCTCCAAAATTATGAGACAAATCATCAGAGTTAGTCTGTCGATTTCATGTGACAAAAGTTGGATTTGTTGAAATTATTAGATTTTGCGTTAGTGAGCAATTCATCGGTCTCAAATGAAATCAAACAGACTATAGCGACCTCTATAAAATGGAATCCTGACCAGAACATAATGGTTGTTGGTGAAAACAATGAGTATCAACCTACATAACTAAGATTCAATTCATGCTTGTTGTTTCAACAAAGAATGTACCACTTCTTTTCGAATCTGTCATATATAACCTCCTAACCCGAATGTTCATCCTCAAGGTCAGGTATAAGGAATCCAATAAACAATGTCCACCTATTGACCAGATTGAGCTGATATTTTGTTTTTTAATGTTGCACTCAGCAAAATTCCAGTGATAATGAAAAATAATTGAGTCTGTACCAGACAATCCAGTGATCAACATCATGAGCATTGATCTACACAATTGGGATATAATGGCATGTGTCAGCAAACCTAACACCTGATCCCGTTAGTTGCCTCTTACGACAAGCTTGGGTTGCTGAGCATGCTATAGTCCGTTTGGCTCAAAAGCGGACCGATGAATTGCAATCTAACTCGAAAACTAATAAACATAAAATACTCAATGAAACGCTGATCATAATCAAAACATCATACCCACTCTGTGAGGTTTTTGCAGAATTTTTGTCCTAAAAATAAAATAGTTGTTTAACAATCTATCATTAAAATATTGACACAGTTCACTATTTGTTACGAGGGAGGAGTGCAGAGAAAGGGACAGCCAGGTGTTCGAGAATGGATGGAGACGGCACAGCACAGGTTAATGAATAAATAACTTTGTCTGTGAACGTGCTTCTCGAACACCTGGCTGTCCCTCTCTCTGCACTCCTCCCTCGTAACAAACAGTGAACTGTGTCAATATTTTAATGATAGTTTGTTAAACAACTTTATTATTTTTAGGACAAAAATTCTGCAAAAACCTCACAGAGTGGGTATGATGTTTTGATTATGATCAGCGTTTCATTGAGTATGTTATGTTTATTAGTTTTCGAGTTAGATTGCAATTCATCGGTCCGCTTTTGAGCCAAACGGACTATAAGTGAACATGCATTCCTTCTGACCAGTGGTTACCTTGGCTGTAGGGTTGCGATAGATGTGGGAGTCCCCGAAGATGAGGCGGTCGATGTAGCCAGCTGCACCTCCCGTACAGTTCTCATACTTCCCTCCTTCATGTAACCCACCTGGACCCAGGTAGCCCCTGAAAAATATACATGTGCCTTCAATACCTCACTGAAACACACATTTCTACTGGTTCTGGGCTGGTGATGAGGGCATTCTGCGTGCACTTCGTACATTATTAGTGCGTCAGTTATGTCTTCTGGCTGAAATCCAAGGAAATCAACGTCATCAGGGCAGTGAAAGCTTCACTGAGCCCTTTGTTCCATCACTTTTCAATTGCATGCAGAGAAACACTTTGCCAGGTCATGTGGGAGGTGGTGAAAGCATTTTTCACGGTCTTCAGAAAATCCAAGGGAGTGAGTCCAGCCTCACCAGCACAATTCACTAGTCTCTACTGTAGTGTGATTTAAACGCTGGTATAATGCCTTGGTCTATTGGCTGAAGGATAGCTCAATATTTTCCATCTTTTGACATCAGTGTGGTTGTTGGTGGTAGGGCAGGGCAGATGTTCATTAAATTAAGAGAATAGCTACAGCTAATTTTCATCTAATTGCAATGACCGTAGGTATTCTGTTACTGCAGGGATGAACTTTTTTAAAAAACATTCCTAAAAGATTGCTGCAGTCATCCAAGCATTCTTTGAGGCGGCGTTTGCTTCTCGTTGATGCCATGATGAAATTCCTGTATGGTTCAGAACAGGCGCGCAACAAGCCACTATTTTCATGCAACAATAGATTCAAATCACTATTATTAGTTTGTATTACAAGGGGGTAAGCGCAGTAGATGGAACAGTGAAACAAATGCACGTGCGTTACGTGATGAGCATTAATTAAACCAACATTACTTGTTCTCTGTGTTTCATTTAAAGTGCATACCCCCTTGTAATACAAACCAATAATAGCGATTTGAAACTATGATCGTTTGTTAAACAAATTTTATCCTAAGTTGAATAAAATTCTGAGATTTGAATGTTCAATTGGCAAGGTAAAATTATTAGGATTCGCAATCTTAATTTCACTTTATTTGATTTACCTTGTCGTTGAGAGTGAAATTCATCGGTAGGTTTTCACTGCAAACAGGCTATAGTTATGGGGAACACGTGTTGTAATAGACGGTTTATTAGGTCATCGCTGTACTCCCATTACACAATGTGTAATCACATGAACTTTTGGTGAGACATGCTCTACCCTGCGGATTAACTGAATCTTTGGTATCAGGAACGACGTTATTGTAAGGGATGACTGTAACTAACTACATCAATAACTGTGTGCCATCTTCCAACATTTACTGCAGTTTTTGTATTTAATCATTCTACTCAACCTCGGTGGGTGAAAATTAGACTAACAACTAGTCTCTGAAAAGAACATCTTTTACAGAAAACACAGTTCATATTAAATATATATACCGGTATATATATATATATATATATAATGAAAAGCAGCCCTGAAACTTTCTTCATTTCCTGAAACTGTGGAAATTTAGACTTGCCACATAATCTGGATTTGCATGGGCTTTCTTGGACATGTATGTTTTAGGGTCTGTATGACAGACTAGGTGAAAATATACTGATGTATACAAATAAGGGAACACATGAAAGAACAAGTGTTCCGTTCTTTTTCTATGTCTTTTCCAAACTTTGTGTTGCACTTTGGTTGAAAATATAAACACTGGGGTGAAATAGTGTTACCTTATTTGTTTCCTTCAGTATAAATATACATCCACAAATTATAGGGTTGGTGAATGAGTTGGCTGGATGCTCCACAAACCTATACTCAGCACACCATCCTCCAACTCACCTTGGACATCCGGGCACAGACAGGGCAAAGGTGATGACCAACCACACAGCGACCATGATGAGGTGTATGATCCACTCTGGCCAGTAGTCCAGGACGTCTCGCACCGGGGACCACCAGCAGTGCTGCCAACATAACAGACCCACTTTTCCATGTAGCCATGTTTAAAATTAAATCGAAACTTCTGTGTTCTGCAGTTCAGAAGTCTCGCAGAAAAGCCTTTAGCACAACTTATCTGGTTTCCCTTCCTTTGATAACAAACATTAATCGGCAGTTGTGATTTCGAATTATATGAAGCTGTGGATATTTGATGCACCCTGTTGTTTCTGAGCATCTAGGCATCTTTACCCAAACAGATTACAATCATCAAGGGAATATTTGTCTTTTCTAAGTTTTGTCATGTGTAGATGAACATGTTGGAATGAAGGTGGTGAAGAATTGAGGCTAAATCCTTTAAAAAATCAGAGTAAAATGATCATTTTAAAGTGATCGATAATTTCTGGGATCATATGCACGAGGGTTAAGCTTCATTCACAAGTTATGGTCGACAGGAAAATAACAGATAAAACAGAAAAAATACTATATCACATATTTTTCCATGACAATACTTTTAGTTCAGATGAGTCAACCAATTGTTTTTAAAAAGTGGTGCCTTGTATGGACACATGAGACTTGAAGACCAGTCAAGGCTTACCTGATGTTCATCTGTTGTTTTAGCAAAAAACATGTGTATTGTTGCTACAATGAGGTAGGTCCCAGCAAACCTTTGTAGCACTCCTGGTATTCTGATTTCATCAAACTCCACACCTGGGACAACAAACACACAAAACCATCAGTCACAGGAGTGAGTGAGTGAGTATGGTTTTATGCTGCTTTAAGCAATATTCCAGCAATATCATGGCGGGGGACACCAGAAATGGGCTTCACACATTGTACTCATGTGGGGAATCAAACCTGTATCTTCGGCGTGACGAGCTAACGCTTTAACCACTAGGCTACCCCACCATCCCTCAGTCGCAGAAACACAGCTCCTAAACCACAAAATGTTCTCTCTCAATCAGCAATGTTAAAGCCCTTAATGAAGTAAGTCTAAATTTCCTCATCACTGGTGCTCATTTTCAGTTTAAAGGGTGAGGTGAGGTGAAACTGGGTTTAACGTCGTGCTTGAGAATATTTCGCTCATATGACTGCGTGCATGCGTGTGTATGTGTATGTGCGGCTGCTTGTACTAGCCCAGACTTAAGCTGGTTCTTTAGTGCTAACCCACTGAGATACCATGTCGCAGTGAAGCATGAATACCCCACTCAGACACATTATACTGACTCCGAGCCGACCAGTCCTTGTTGTACCCATTAATGCCAAGCGCCAGACAGGGACCAACAAGTACCATATTTTAACGTCTTTTGGTATGACGCGGTCGGGGATCGAACCCGTGACCTTCCGCTCTCCGGGCGGACGCTCTAACCACTACATCACAGAGGCGGTCCAGTTTAAAGGGAACTATATGTTTCTATCAAACATTAAGAGATAGTCTACATCTTGGCTTGATTAGAAAGACCTTGTACTGACATGGATATAGTCTTATCCTAAAATAACGATTTGTACGCTTGCACATTGGTGAAGCACTAAAATGGACCACCTCCGTTGTGTAGTGGTTAGAGCGTTCGCCCAGAGAGCGGAAGGTCGTGGGTTAAATTCCTGGCTGCGCCATACCAAAAGACGTTAAAATATGGTACTTGTTGGTCCCTACCTGGCGTTCGGCTTTAATGGGTACAAGAAGGACTGGTCGGCTCAGAGTCAGTATAATGTGTCTGAGTGGGGTATTCATGCTTAGCTGCGGCATGGTATCTCAGTGAGCTAGCACTTTAAAACCAGCTCAAGTCTGGGTTTGTACAAGCAGCCACACATATACACGCATGCATCATCATATGAGCGAAATAATCTTAAGCACGACATAAAACTCCATTTCACCTCACCTCATTAAAAGGCCAAGTTCAAGGTCATTTCACTCAAGTAATGATGAGGATGCACGTGTCTTCTTGTACTAATCCAAATTCCTGCTGGTTTAACAGTGGTTGCCCTTTGAGGGAAGGATGGAGTAAGTAGGGTTGCATGCCCCTGTCAGCAATGTTACAGCAATATGACAGTGGGGGACACCGGAAATGGGCTTCACACTTTGTACCATTGTGGGCAATGGAACACTGAACACTCGACAATGCACTCAGCAATATTCCAGCTATATGGCGGCGGTCTGTAAATATTCCAGCTATATGGCGCGGTCTGTAAATAATCGAGTCTGGACCAGACAATCCAGTGATCAACAGCATGAGCATTGATCTGCGCAATTGGGAACCGATGACATGTGTCAACCAAGTCAGCGAGCCTGACCACCCGATCCCGTTAGTCGCCTCTTACAACAAGCATGGGTTACTGAAGATCAATATTCTAACCCAGACCTTCACGGGTCCTGCGCATTGGGAACCGATGACATGTGTCAACCAAGTCAGCGAGCCTAACCACCCGATCCCTTTAGTCGCCTCTTCAGCAAGCATGGGTGACTGAAGGTTCATTCTACCCGGGCCTTCACGGGTCCCCATGCTGTAGACAGTATGTGTACAGTATTCAGCAGAATATTGTTACCACATAATTCTGTGGTCATGGATCCATCCATGTTTCCTCCAGTCATCATGTAAGTTTGGAGAAAGCAAAATTCTGACTGAAAACAGGAACTTCATTGTGGCATGAGTGAGTGAGATGTTTGACGCCGCTTTTATCAATATTCCAGCAATATCACGGTGGGGACACCAGAAATGGGCTTCACTCATTGTACCCATGTGGGGAATCGAACCCGGGCCATCGGCATGATGAGGGAACTCTTTAACCACTGGGCTACCCCTCCACCCCTTGGGCATGATGACCCATTATCAGGCAAGCCACAGAGTTTGACCACATAAATGCCACTTTGTTTTGCTGTTTTTTGCCACTGACAGCACTATTTAACTATATCTCAGTTGAATGAGATGTTCACTTCCCTTTGACAACCATTTTAACTCACCTCCTGGTGTGCCGTCTGTGTTTATGATAAGTCCCAGCACAAACAAGATGGCTGACCTCTTCAAAATTTTCCAGAACATCATCAGTTTTGGCGTTGACCGCTTCAACTGGCTGCTGAAGCTGAAGACCATCGATGTCCCCATGATCCACACAAACCTGGGAAGACCATGTGACAATGGTATCACTGTACATTTACTTTTCAATCCAATAACATTTAGATCCATCAAATTCACATTTTGTGCAATTTTTTGTTATTGTTCATTATCTAAAAAAAGTTTTTTAGTTTGTCATGGCTCAACTGAGGCCCATGTGGGCATATTTAGTTTCAGTAATACATTAACATATCTAATATCTAATTCGATGGATCAACTACATCATAATAAAACGCACAATTTAAATTTGATCCTTCACTTTAAAATCACCAAAAACTAGACACGTCACAAAAACAAACAAGCAAGGTGACAGAGAGATATTCAAATCAATAATAAGCATGACAATATTCATTTATTATATAGCTGCTACAATATTTGAGTATCAGTATATCACCTGAAGATGAACTAATCACACATACCACGGAAAGACAAGATCTGCCACAGTAATACCGTTCCAGTCAGAATGGTCAAAGAACCAGTACCCTCCCCCGCCATAGTTGACAAAGTTCATCACCACTAAGCTCATTCTAGACGTGTTGAAAAGCAGTCAGGCAATTAGTAAAGAGGGCGTGCTTGTGTGCATCTTCATCAGTGACGTCAGTGATGGAGACTGGGTCAGTTCAGCTTAAGGCTTGACCAGCGGCTGCATCAGTGATGTCAGAGATGGAGACTGGGTCAGTTTGGCTGATGAGGCGTGACCGTTGTGTGACCTTACAGAAATTATCACAGATCTGACCAAATAAGCAGTTTCAAAATTGGAAACTGGATATATCTGAGTTAGATCATGAGTCAGACCAATGTTTTCAGCTGCTGGGATGAGTGAGTGAGCGTCTGTTGTCTCTTTAGAGATGCCATGTAGCACAGGTTGCCATTTTGATGAAAATAATGCAACAGCATGAGTATGGTACTGACCTATCAAGGATCATAATCGACCAACTATGGATTTAACATGTTTAACCCATAAACTAGGATAATGCTGGACGAGTGGTTCAGGCAGTCTCCACTGGCTATACAGAGTTGTGTCCCTTTAGTCTTTGCTGATCCTTGGTTCTGGAGGTGAGGTGAGGTGAAATTGGGTTTAACATCGTGCTTGAGAATATTTCGCTCACATGATGACGTGCATGCGTGTGTATGTGTATGTGCGGCTGCTTGTACTAGCCCAGACTTAAGCTGGTTTTTTTTATAGTGCTAGCCCACTGAGATACCATGCCGCAGTGAAGCATGAATACCCCACTCAGACACATTATACTGACTCCGAGCCGACCAGTCCTTGTTGTACCCATTAATGCCTGGCGGCAGGCAGGGACCAACAAGTACCATATTTTACACAGTCATATCGAACCATGACACCTTCATGTATGCGGACGCTTCTAACCACTACACCAGTGGAGGCTGTCCCTTGGTTCTGGAGTGAGTGAATTTGGATTTAAACATGTCACATACAAGACAATTACACAGATATGTGTGTGTGTGTGTGTGTGTGTGTGTGTGAGTGAGTGAGTGTGAGTGTGTGTGTGTGTGTGCACAATACCATGGACTTATGCATGCCCTATAGTGCCAGCCCAGTGACATACTATGCCATAATTTAACATGGATATCCACTCAAGACACAGCATACTAACATACAAGTCAGTCTTTCATCCCCTTAATAAGGAGAATCAGGCTTGGTAACAACAAGTACCATAATTTTATATCTTTTGGTATGATGAGTCTGTGGATCAAAACAGATATCTTCCAGTGATCTGTCCACTAAAGATGGCAGCTGTTAATTGGTTTGAATGTATGCCCTGAGTAGGATCTGTGGTCTGTCATCACCTAACCCATGCTGGAGTGGTTCATGCAGAGACTGATCTTTCAGGTTACCTACCACATCAAGCTGATTTTCAATATTTGCAATACTGTCAAAAGCTGTATGACATGACAATCAGCTCACTCATCCATCATATTTAGAACACAATGCTAGTATTTCTAATATTTCTGTGAGGTCACATCTGGCATGGCAGTTCTGATTGAACATACCAAGGGAAGACCAGGTCAGCCACCTGCAGACCGTTCCACCGGGAGTGCTTGAAGAACCAGTACTGGCCACCACCATAGTTGACAAAGTTCATCACAACTAGACTCAGTCTACAACCAGCAAAGTCGTATACTGACATTCTACAGATACGAACAAGGCTGAATATATTATGTCAATAACAACACCAGGGTTTAGGAGAACACCATAAGGATATCAGTGTTATCTAAAGCTGTCAGCTTCCAGCAACAAGAGTTTAGTAAAGACAATGAAACTCAAATGTAGTTTCTTCATCATTTCTATTACAAAGGTTTATAAATAAATAGTGCTACAGCACTGATGCTCACTTTAACAAATGTCCAACAGTTTTTAATGTAAGTAAAGAAGCCTACTTCACAATGAATGAATGAATGAATGAATGAATGAATGAATGAATGAATGAATGAATGAATGAATGAATGGAAATGCTACTGACACATAAGTTGAGCTCCATGACTACTCCCACATACACCTTATTTCATAACATTTTGGATGAGAACGAGCCATGCAAATGTTGTTAACAAATATCAGTAACAAGATAATTTTATAATCACGGAAATAATAATGAAAATGGTGGAGTCTTCTTGTAGATCATGGAAGAGGCAAGTAGTTACAAGGAAAATGAAACAATTAATTTATGTGTCACAGAGGTTAACAAATATCAGTAACAAGAAATTTTATAATCACGGAAATAATAATGAAAATGGTGGAGTCTTCTTGTAGATCATGGCCCAAAGTAGTTATAAATGTGTGCAGAGGTCAAATTTTAAAATATTGCCCAAAAGTATAATCATTCTGTTGACGGCAGTACACCACAACACAGGACAAATTGGCTAATCATATGTTCACCTGACTTTCCTGTCTCCTGACCTCAAAATGATGTTATCAGGTCAAGTTTGAGGAAACACATTCAAATAGTTTAAGGAATTAATATGGTGTTACATTCAGCAAGATCATTTTGTTCGTATCTTTAGAATTATAACAGCACAACTGAAATCAATAAAGGCCCATGTTCATCGTCAGTGTCATTTCTGCAATGTTTGGTAAAATTGTATATGTAGTACAATGTCTCATTTAAATTCCACTTCCTTGTTTAAATAAATAACCTGTCACAGTTGGTTTCGGAAATAAAGAATAACCAGGAACTTGGCGGCAGCAGCCTTTTTAGGGCAATGTGTGATTCAAGGTCTTTGTGCTGGGCTTATCATATTCCATTTTGATTCTGCGTGCCACAGATATGTGGAAATACGACTGTTTCCTTATGTACAAGGGGTGCACCATGAGCCTTCACTGACAGTGAGAGATACACAAATACTAATAAAATAAACAGTGAGAGTAGGAAGTAGATGTGCTAGGACAGCTACACATGCCCACAAGATCAGGGTAGCTACACAAAATGGACCACCATGTCAGTCTGACAGTGGACTATTGATCAGTGAAACAATAGATCTACACACAGTTCACAAACAAAGTGAACTTATCTGAACAATCAGTGCCTAGGGGAGCATTGCTCTCATGTTGATATTGTAAATAGCCTGATGTGTAACAGTCTGGGATTCAAATACTATGATTCCTGTATTAAAAATATATATGTAAATGGATAGAATTATTTAATAATAATAATAATGCTATTTTTTGCGCCTAGAATCCAGTATGATTATTTTGCAAACAAACATTATTAGATATTCAAATGAAGGTACAGAAGCTATATTATGTACATGTATACACCACTCTAAAGCAACTATGCAAAACCTTGTTAGTGTATGGTCAATATTTGTAAAGGAAAATATTGCACTGTTAATAAACCTTTTATTATCATTATGATTCTTAAGAATGATCATTGTAAGTATACGATTAAAACTTTGCATGTAGAGTATAAACTGCACGCTTTTTATGAAAATCGGATATATTGCATGAAAAAAATGTATAAACAAATCATTTTGAACAGGAATTTATGTATTTGGGTTTTCAGACTTATGCACAAAATATCTTTTGTAGGCTATATTTGGAACTTTCCTTTCCAATAATGTGATTTCAGTTCCAAATCTTGTGAGCATATTTAACTATCAGTGATAATATTAGTTCTACACCAGTACAAACTGAAAGGAACTGAGTGAGTTAGTACAGAATACATGTAAGGCCTGCAAGTGTTGGCACCGAGAGGAGAGAAATGCGCATCCCCCTGCATGCAACTTACACATGCAACTCACCATGGAAACACAAGGTCTGCTAGATTCAGGCCATTCCATATACTGTGTTTAAAGAACCAGTAGTAGCCTGCGCGGTAATTGACAAATATCATTACCAAAATTGCTATCCTGCAAGAGAAGGATGAAAGTACAATGCAGACATGCTGATATTGTATCTTTTTACATCTGTCTTGGTGTTGATGTTTGACACAAAATACATGAATAAAAACTTGGGAAGAGATCTCTGAAATTGGTTGTTGTTTACAGCTGGTTGGTTGGTTTGTTGTCTGGACATATGAGTTGCGACTCACAAATAGTATACAATATTCCAGCTATGAAGGTGGTAGTCTGTAAAAATCGAAGACCTGGACATGGGCAAGTAGTGAGCCCATCGATCTACACAAATAGTATACAATGACATGTGTCAACCAAGTCAGTGAGCCTGAACCATTGAAGATCCGTGTTAGAATTGGTCTTCAGCAACCCATACTTGTCGTAAGAGGTGACTAACGGCATCAGGTGGTCAGGCTCGCTGACTTGGTTGACACATGTTATTGTATCCCACTGCATAGATCGATGCTCATGCTACTGATCACTGGATCATCTGGCCAAGATCCGATTATTAACAGACAGCTGCCATATAGCTGGAATATTGCTGAGTGTGGTGTTAAACAACCAACAAACCAACCAATCATTTACTGGAGCTAAATACAGTCAAATCCCGATGAGTCGAATCTCTGGGGACCAAGTAATAAATTCGACTTATCGATGTATTCGGGACATAGGTATGTCTATTATGGTAGAAAAAAAGATGAATTCCAGTCCTAATTCCTCCGCCTAAGCATTTGTTTATCTAATGATTTCCATATCACTAATATGGGCACCTTATCAGTTCCAGTCTGATTAGCACAGACAGTGATTTTCCTAAAATCACTAATCTGCTTTTTGAACTCACCCGTCAAAGGCGGAAAGGTGTGAGCCGAGCTGGTTTGTTAACTGGATCAGTTTGCTACACCAATCAACTTCTCATTGACTGACTTCGGCTTATGTATACAAGATTGCTGTTGTTTGAATCTCATGGGACCAAATTTTCTTCTCGAGTCATCGTCGAATTCGTGTAACCGGTATTCAAATGATGACAACTATAACAGGGAATGGTCGGGACCGACAGGTACTTCGAGTTATGCATAATATTTGAGACACCGGCATTCGACTCATCGGGATTTGACTGTAATGTAGCACTGGGAGCACTCTATGGGTGAATTTGGCATTTAATAAATGGAATCATCATCATCATTGTTCAAATGCCGAAAATGCCTACCCTCTGAATGTGTCCAGTGATTTCAGCCTCTCCTTTTTCTCCTTCTTGTCATCTTTATTTGGGTCATCACCAGCGTTGATGTTGGTGGGAGTTCCAAGATCCTGTGTGGAATACCTGTGCTATAAACGTGCATTTGTTATGGGTGCAGCAGCACAAAGGTCATAGGTTCAAGGTCACAAGGTCAAGTGGTTTCAGGTCATGGCACGTTCACAATGGAGCAAATACAACACATGAACAACACAAACAACACTGCATGGGGATTTCATGGGGATTGGACTTGGTGGGAAAGGTTCAAGGTCAAATAAAGGTCAAGGTGAATGGATAAGTGTGAGAGGGAAGATGCAGTGCATTTTAAGCTTCAGATTTTCAAAGAATTAATTCACTGTAACATCAAGTAAAACACCTAAAGCACATCACACCGAACTTGTTAAAATATCTTAGAAAGAGGTCCCATTGGACATTAAAATCCATGAAATGGTGGCACAGATATCAGAGATAAGGTCCCTTCTGCACAAATATTTGTGAAGTGATTTATTTGGAATGAATAAGCGTGAAGCGATTCCTTTATTGGGAAAATTTCTGTGAAGTGGTTACTAAGTGGGATGAATATATGTGAAGTAATTCCTATATGGGAAGAATTTCTGTTAAATTGTTCCTATAGGGGTTGAATATATGTGAAGTAGTTCCTAAGTGGGATGAATATATGTGAAGTGGTTCCTATATGGGATGAATATCTGTGAAATGGTTCCAGTTGGAGTAGTGCCTGTGATGCCAAGTGGTTACTCATTTGTTTTGGGAAACTGCTTTGGAAACGGTTCCTGTGGGACAAATATCTGAAAGAAGGTTTGTATAGGAAAATATCTGTAAAAGGCTTCAATGAGACAAATATCTGTTAAAAAGCTTGTATACAAATATATCTGGTAAAAGGCCCTTTTGGGATCTATGAGTGATCCATGGTCCTAATGTCTTTTGTTTACCAGTGAGATACTGTCGCAGTCCTTTACCATGTTTACAGCACTGATCTTCCGTTAATGTGCAGGCGAAATGAAAATTGTATTTGTGAGTGAGTGCGTTTAGTTTTTCACTGCACTCAGCAATATTCCAGCTATATGACATCGGTATGTAAATAATTGAGTCTGGACCAGACAATCCAGTGATCAACAGCATGAGCCTCGATCTACGCTAATGGGGTACAATGATGTGTCAACCAGTTCAGCGAGCCTGGCCACCCAATCCCGTTAGTCGCCTCTTATGACAAGCATTCTCATTTGTTAATCAGGAACATTTCAAGTAATTCACGCAGCATTACCTTGCTGAAAGAATTAGGACTTACAGGGGATGTTTTTGGAACACTACAAATGATACTTATCAAAGCTGGTGAACACTTCAAATGACTGTAATGATGAAAATATCTGTTGAACACTTCCAGGAAGTCCAAAACATGTGAACATGGCTAAATGTTTTATTACCATGATATCAAGAGTTGTATGCACAATTTCTCCTGATGTTAACACTCTCAACCTATAACTACACTTTGCCACCTGACACTTGAGATGTTGAAGTTGCTAGGGACCATTCATAATTTATGGCTAGGGGGTGATGATGATTTTTATGGAGTAACATGTACAATGTGAATGACCCCCCTAAATTTTATGTACAAAGTAAGTGAAACACCACCACCACCACCCCAGCATGTCATGCACAAAATCAATGACCCATCTCCAATAATTTTAAGCATATTTTTAAATAATTTTATGTACAAAATTGCTGACCTACCCAAAGTGCATGAGTACAAAATTAATGACCCCCTTAACTCTCCGGAACAAAATGGGTGACCCCCCTTAACATCATCCTCACACCTCCTAGCCATAAATTATTAACGGTCCCTTACTAGTCCTACAAATGTTGACCAGGCTGTACAACGGGTCCTTTTGGTGATCATAACACCCATATGTTATCACACACCTACAACAGCCGTAAAGGTAAGGCACCAGAACACTTTCAGTCACACTTCAAAAGACCCTGCAGTTATGTCAAACCATGGCCGGTATCTTCACTTTTCCTCAAATACCCAACTTACCACCATCATTCCTTCTGTGCTCCAGAAATATATTATTCGATGAAGTATTCCTCTCCTGAAACATAATGCATCATAGTGAATGGAGATATTAACTGGGCAAAAGCCAGACAGTTACATTTTCTTGGGTTATATGTAGGATCTTTGTGAAAATCTCTATAAGTGTCTTGGTGTGTCAGGTATAAGTCTGTTTTGTAGTGTTTGTCATCCATAATGCTTGTGTTTGTGTATGTTCCACAATCACTCAGGAATGAATATCATCCATGAAGATCATAGTTGGAATTGGTCAGAAGCAACCCATTCTAGTTGTAATAGTGAGTGAGTTTAGTTTTACGCCGCACTCAGCAATAGTCCAGCTATATGGCGGCGGTCTTTAAATAATCGAGTCTAGACCAGACAATCCAGTGATCAGCAGCATGAGCATCAATCTGCACAATTTGTCTAGTTGTAACAGGCAACCCAGAGTATAGAGTGATCATCCTCTTAACTTGGCAGCTCCATGTACTCGGTATTTGTATTTGTTTTCTTGTTTAACACTATACTCACCAGCTTTACAGCTATGACAACAGTGTGTAGATAATCAAGACTGGGACAGACAAGCCTGTTGTTAACAGTATGAGCACATGGCATTCATCTATCAATCTATTCTGTTAGTTGGTAATTACAATAATGGAGAAGAGGGGGAGAGTTGTTGAAGATCAGTTCCAAACCAGATCTTCAAGAACTATTTTTGATTTTTGAGCATAAACTCATGAGCTGCGACTTAATCTATCTCTTTCCATCCACACTGTACAGGATCTGTGACAACAATGACAAAGGCATCACTTGTCAATTAAGCATTCCTGAGGATAGAAACTATTATCAAGTAAACTCATGATTTTACTGTGACTCTTTAATCCCCCGCGCTGTTCGCATCCACAGTTGGTACGGTGATTGAATTTTAGGGTCAACAGTTAGTACAAAGGCATCAGTCTCAGCACCACCGCAGACGATAGGCCGCATTCCTACACATTAGAAAGCCTTGTGTAGATCATTGCCTCTGACTGATTATAAGATCATTGTTACCTTCAAATTCCACTTGTTTCAAGTTATTCAAACATCATGTTAGAACTCACCTATATAGATATTTCATTAGGATCCAAAACAATGCCAAAAACACCCCAATTCCAAGTGCAACATAGATGGCTGAAAAATAAAACAATGAGTGACAAAACAATTAATCAAACAAGTAGTATCCATTCACTCCAATCTCATAAACATCCGACTCCTTAAATAACTCTTTTTGTGAAGATACAAGGACACCTCTATAGTAGATACATTTTCGAAACAGCCAATCATCATTGAGAATTCTGAATCCTCAGCTTAAGCATGTAAAGCATTCAACAAGCATACCTCCTTTCTGTATCTACAAAACAATTATCAGAAAGTTTAGAATACATTAAACAGAGCCACACTATTCTATATAAATGGGCTTCTCAAACTGTACCAATGTGGGGAATTGAACCCGGGTCTTCAGCGTGTCAAGCAAATGCTTTAAGTTTAACCATTAGGCTACCTCATTGCCCCGGGATTCCAAGTACCTCATGACAGAATATAGGTAACTTTAAGCTTCAGGACTGTATATTTCTGACAACACAGGCAAGACAAATACTTACTATTCTAAATCTTTCTTTATCTGAGTTTGTAACAGAAAAAGCCAATCAAATCTACCACTTAGGTGTTCCTTTGGCCATGGTATAAAAAACGAACTCCTAGTTTATAAGTGTATTATTTTCCCCAGTAATCGCTTTGAGATTAGTTTCGACAGCAATCTGAGTGTGTCAGCAGTCAAACACTGGCACAAGCCTTTAAGTTTCATGGCGAAATTTACAAGTAATACTACAGAGGAATAAAAACTAAAACACCTGTATTGAAGCTCTGCAAAACACAGACATACTCTTATTTATTTCATGCGACATAACAGACAACGTAACCTCACACATCCAGTCCCGATCCACAAAACCATCGTAGAGCTACAATATTTGTAAGCTTATGAGAAACTATAGAGTTACAACAGATCCACTAAACCTTCGTAGAGCTACAATATTTGTAAGCTTATGATAAACTATAGAGTTACAACAGATCCACAAAACCTTCATAGAGCTACAATATTTGTAAGCTTATGATAAACTATAGAGTTACAACAGGTGGTAATGATACGAATGCTTTGTGGATTGGGACCCAGGACTATATGTTTATCATCATGTACGTCATACACATCAACATCCCGTGCAAATTCTAGCTTCTATGGAAATGAATGTACCATAATATATCATGCTAATAACTTTAAAAAAGAAACAAGAATCATGAATATACTGTCATGCCTAGAACAAGACTTACGTATATTTGAGTCGGAGGGGTCATTCATGATGATGACCTTTGAGCATGTGGCCTGCTCGTTGTTCTCTGTAGATTTCATGTACACGGCATAGTCGCCATACTCCAGGAACATCATGGTGAGATTGCCCTCACTGCAGGACGGGTCGACCGTCTTGACCGACTCGTCGATCACTGTACGTATCTCGATCCTCACAGGCCACCGTGTGTCCACTAGTATGGAACAGTTCTGGGATGGCATAATTTCCCACTCTGGGATGAGATTACACTGGTTGGAGAGGAAATAAGAAGAGGTTGTCAAGTTTACATTTCTGTCTGATTCTATAACTGCAGTTTATCATTGAAAACAATGTGATTATATTAAATTAATATCTGCAAAACTTATGCCTTACTTCTCATATTTTCACTTACCGATTGTTTTTGCCCTAAAACTCAGGTTGAACCAATTAAAATTGCCATTTTTCTTCCTTAAAGATATTAAGTAAATAAAAAAACTGACTCCCAATGTACAGTAATGAAATCCAGATCATACTTTTCTAAGTAAAATCAACTGTTTTGGCAGATTTCTTGACTAACAAGTCTTTGGTTAACTTAATTGTAATATCCACAGCGATAAAAATTTGTTTCAAGGGTGCCATTGGGTACCACACACATAATATAGACCCATGTGTGCCTTTGTGAAAATTAGTGTGCCCATATCTTTTGATGATCCAATTAAACTTAAAATGTCACAACATTTACGTCATTTCAATTTATTGTTAATATATCAGTAAACATCATGTAAACCTGTAACCAAGTCTCTCTCACAGTCGCTGAACCTCATTATTTCCCCTTCCACCCTTCCTAGACTAAGTTAAGTTTAAATCTAACATGTAAACTTGAGAGCTGCATTTCCTGAACACTATCATGACTGCAAGAATAGTTCAGATTTATTTTCCCCTGTCCCATAAACTCACCCACAATTAAGTGAGTGAGTGAGTATGGTTTTACGCCGCTTTTAGCAATATTCCAGCAATATCACGGCGGGGGACACCAGAAATGGGCTTCACATATTGTACCCATGTGGGGAATCGAACTCAGGTCTTCGGCGTGACGAGCGAACGCTTTAACCACTAGGCTACCCCACCGCCCCCAACTAACCCACAAACTATGCTATCATCCAAAACAGGATTTCCTGTTATGTACACTGGCATTTAACATGTTTAAAACTGCTACATCCATGTTAAGTTGTGAGATGAAGACTGCCATAGATAAACAGTTTAATGGGGTGCAAAAGTAGCTTTTGAGTCATTTGAGGTGGTCAAGTATAACATTTTCCATGACATGAATCATGGTGTGTATTATTTTCATAATTTGAGTCATGATGCCAGACTACATTCAAAACATTTCAGCCGTGCCATTTCAACATTTACCATAGCATGGGACACAAATTCAGGCACTATTCCCTGGTCAATCTAACATCGTATACACAAACATATCAACAATTATATGGCAGACTACAAATTGATGGGACCCAGGGCTCCGTCCCTCAAAGCGATCTTATAATTAGCACTATGACTCCCATAATGTAACAAAGACTTACGACTTACGACCTGATCTTTGTTTCACTGTTTGTTTGTTTCACTGAGGTATTGTTTAACACCATTTGGGGCATTTTAATACGGTCACTAAAACAGTGAAAACATATCGCTCAGTATAGATTTATAATAGTCACACAATATCCTGAAACGAATGTATTGTCAGTGCCACTGGGTCAAGGACAATTGCACTGCGCTGATCAATATTTGGATCAACTCATCCCTAGTCGTAATGAACAAATACACCTCATGAATATCAGGGTTTGTAAGTAAGCCCATGCGAAGAAAAACATTCCAACAATTGACAACATTCGTTGTGAGAATGATACAAATTTTTTCTGCATAGCGGCCATAGTAATACAGTGGACACCTGATAAGTAAAATTTCAAGGGACTCGCCAAAATTGTTTACTTATCAGGTATTTTACTTATCCAAACTTATAAAAACCTGCAAATGACAACCATATGCATGTATATGTATGCATATGTAACAATGAACAACTTATCAGGGCTGGCCTCCAGTTGTCATTGTATTGTCTACTGCATGACGCCAGCGCGCTGTAAGTAGGATGTTCGTTTAGCTGGAGACTGACTGATGTCGGATTATGTGGTGATCGCTAATTTAGTTATCCAGTCTCTTTTGTTAAGTAATTAACTTCCAGGGACAGTGAGAAGACGTTTAGTTAAGCGGTATTGTTTACTTATCCAAGTTTAGTTAACCAGACTCTAATAGTGATAATTAATGAAGAAAGTTGCCGGGACCAAAGAAAAGTGTTTACTTATCAGGTCTGTTTAGTTAAGCGGTCTTTACTTAGGCGGTTTCCACTGTATATGGATATATGGACATATTCTGTTTGATATATCTTGGTGATCATGAATTACATCTGAACATTACAGATGATCCACCATATGCATGCTATGCTTTTCAGTATCATTACACCTGAATATATCAATAATGAACAGATGAATAATGAGACACAGATTGAACATTTCCCGCGTTTATTGTCAAGCCCTGTATTACAGACAGCTGACAGGTTTTATTGGATACAAAATATACTGGACAAAATAAGTCAGGGATATTTGTAGTTTTATGATTGATATTTCATCAGTGAGTCAGTTAATAAATAGATCAATATTCATAATTTCAATATTGACATATATCCCTAACTATTTTTGTCCAGTATATGAAATCCTATACACATAGAGTACAGGCTACCCTTATCTGCTGTTCGGTCACTATGTATAATTTCAAATTAGGAAATTGATTAGAGTTTGACTTATTTAGACCTGTTCAGAGGCCGGTTAGTTTGCAGTAAAATACCATAACTTGCAAACTTTATTGAAAAAATCCCAATACTGAAGAATTTACAAAATAACATGTAAATCAAATTTCAAACAATAACAACATCAAACTGATTTCCCAGATTTCCTGAAAATTTTACTTCACTCAGAATCTGAGATAGATCTCTGTTACACTGCACCATATGCTGCCAGCCTCAGCATCATAGTGACATGTACCAGATGCACGCATGCACACACACACATGCACACACACACACACACACATTCCTGTTTCACCAGGAGATGAACCTTTGTGTTTAATGTACATACTTCAGATGCTGTCTAAAGTCACCTTTTGATCACACGTGACATTTCGTTGTTTGATCTGTGATATTTGTGGAGCATACAGAGTCAGCCATGTAAAGTTTACTCACTGTGTTACATTCCTCACTCTGCATGTATAATCTCAGTTGAGCCATTTGATTTTGGTCATTTCTGATGGTAAACAAAGCAGTATCCATCTTGTACTCTGGAACATCATCCGGACACGAGAGAAGGGAACCAACTCTGAATGATTGTCAGCAAACGTCACTCCCCAGCAGATTAATGCTGAAAACAATATGGAATTAATTGGCAAGAGTGAGTGAGTGAGTCATGGCCAGTGGGGTAGCCAAGTGTTTAAAGCGTTCACTCGTCACGCTGAAGACCCGGGTTTGATTCCCAACATGTTTACAATGTCTGAAGTCCATTTCTGGTGTCCCCCACCATGACAATGATATTGCTGGAATACTGCTAAAAGAGGCATAAAACCATACTCATTCCTCCATGACCACATGGCATGTCAAGGCCAAGGAGTCGGGAAATCAGACTTTTACTCAGTTTTTTTATGAACACAATGTACACCAATGACTGAGATTGGAACTCTTGTGGTTAACTCTGATGACCATGATGACAAAGCAAAACTACATCAACTGGATGATGCTAAGCCCAGTTATATCACGGAACCCTCTATTATCGTGGTAGATAATGTAATCACACTGAAAAAAATCACTTCTCCTTGAGTGATTAATTTTATGACGTAATCTGTTTGGTATTTCTGATTCCCGATGTTATCATGTGCCACAATAATAGATGGTCTAAGCGTATTAGCCGAGAGCTGTGATCCGGTCCTACACAGTCAAGACACGTCTTGGCTACCAAAGTCTGAGCATGAAGTTGTTTGTATAATTTGAATACGTGTCCTGGTGAGTCAAATGGCTCAAATTATTTCACACCGTAAAGGCAAACAACCGGGATGATAATCATGTGGTACACAAACACCGATTACTTAGGACAGTGGTCCCGTGGTCATGGTGGGGAAAGTGTTGGTCATTTTAATTAGTCTAACTCTGGTTCCATCCTCCATACGGCGATAATTAAAATGTGAAAAAGGTTGCACGCGTCCACTACTCCCAAATTTACCTTACCCTGGTTGGGTTTACAATTGTCCTTATGACCAGTGTCAGCACGAGCCTTGTTCGTTATGACAGGCTCAGCTGACACCAATAATGTCACTGACAGTAAAAACAACTGGTAACAACACTGAAATCAATGATAATATTCAACGTTTGTTTGCTTGAAAGCAGCGACCGGCGGTCAAGTACCCCACAATTCATTCCCCTCTTATTCTACACGACTCTATGTTAAATGCTAAATGTTGACGAAACAAGGAGACACACTTACCGATAACGAGGAAAACTTTCGTTCCTCTACAGGGTATCGCCATTTTGTAATCACAAGACAATCACGTGATCTCTCACACCGATTCCAGTTTACTAGATGAGCTAAAAACTGGTATTCGTTTCAGTAGTATGCGTTAGTAGGACCACGTTAAAAACGTTTTCATCTTAAGTATACCTTAGAATATCAAACAAAGCTATCACTACATCTATGTCAATGACATAAATGTATGGTATCTGTTTGTTGTGTCCGAAAATTTCAGTCTGCATTGTATTCACTAAGCTATACTTGTTTCAACAATTTTCTTTCAGGGACGAATCCTACTTTTTAAAGTGTAAACAAGTTCAAAGGTCACGCACATGTCTTCTGCATCAAAGTCCACTGATCTGTAACTTTCATTGATTCAACTGTGTTTATATTTGGAACGACAACATGTCACGAAATGATGTTATTCACAAAGAGACATGTGAAGAAAATTACAAATATATATTTAAACCAGACATACTAAGGTGAGATTATAAGAGAATTGAAATGATCTATCAGTCTTTCGTGCAAGAGAAAATAACATGACTTGCATAATTTTCCAGAAGTTCGCCACCTTCTCATGAGCTTGGTGGGGTTATGCATCACTGACAGCGACATCTGTACTTGTGATCTGGCGTGTAGGGTAATATTACTCTGAATTTAGTGTGGACAGTGTGTCCACCAAATACCAATAACTAATAAGACAAAGATATATGTATGATATATGCACTCATTTGGTGACCTGTACGCAAAGATATTTCTTTTAAATCTGCTTTGTTTTGTTTGTTATTTAACGCTACATTCACCAATATTCCAGCTGTACATGATCGGGTCTGGACCAGACAATCCAGTGATCAACATCATGAGCATTGATCTACGTAATGATCCATACGATGGCATGTGTCAACCAAGTCGGTGAGAATAGGCGGATGCAGAGGGGGATTGCGGGGGTTTTTGTCCTGAAAGTTTATTAAATGACCATTGAAACTTTCATGAAAATTACGTGTGCACCCTCCCTTTCTCAAGAATGTGCACACGTACGTGCTCTCGCATGCATGCGCACGCAAGCACGCTTACAAAAGCTGTATCTGCCCCTCGTAAGCCTGACCACCCAATAGTTGCATATATTAGGACAAACATGGGTTGCTAAGACCAATTCATCGTAAGTTCTTCCTGGGCAGTACACAGTGCTAGATAGGGTTAATATCTGGAGTAATACACACCTTCAGAAGCTGGAACGATTTTGTTGGCCCGTAGGTAGGCTAATTATATGACAAGAATGGTAGGATACTTTAGGGATAATTACCTGTGTAAATGAACCTTCAGTAACCATGCTTGTCGTACGAGGCGACTAACGGGATGGGGTGGTCAGACTTGCTGGCTTGGTTGACACATGACATCGGTTCCCAATTGCGCAGGTTGATGCTCATGATGTTGATCACTGTATTGTCTGGTCCAGACTCAATTATTTACAGACTGCCGCCATATAGCTGGAATATTGCTGAGTGTGGCGTAAAACTAAACTCACTCACTCACTGTGATTTTGATGGAATATTACCGAAAAAAGAATAAAACCCAACTGACTGACTCACTCTATGATTTCAGAGGGAAAGTTGCTTTTATAACCGGTGGTGGCTCGGGGATCTGCTTCACAATAACTGAGATCTTCATGAGGTGGGTTTAAGTCTTACTTTATGCATAGTATGTAAGATTTAGTTTTATTCTTTCCTTACGTTGTTAGAATGTAGCTTCCTTGGCACACTGACATTCTGAGTAACAGTACCATCTGTACATACCATACTTTCAGCCATCAGCTGTTGCTTCATGTCTAAAGATAAAAGGTAGTCCATATATATAAATATTCTTGTTTCTCATTACTGCCTGACCCAAATATTCCACCCAACCCTAAGATATTTTTTGATATTTTACACTAGAGAATGAAACTTTGACTCTCAAAACGTGCATGAATTTTTCACACTTCTAAGTTTTGATTTTCTATCGGAGAAAAGGGGTTCGGGGCATAAAATAAAATAAAATGTAAAAATAAAATCCGCCAGTCCGACCCATATTTTTTTTTAAAGTGATGAGAAACAAGACTATTTTTTTATGTGGCCTTAGTGTTTGGAGTTTGTGAAAAATACTATTATTTAACAAAACTGTTTAAACTGAAACCACCCACCTAAACTCCTCAATTTCTCCAAACAACCCCAACCCCTTATTTCTCTTGTGTGCATTATAACAGGCAGAGTGTCTGAAAGTTGTTGATAAAATGTTCGGTGTTTAGACATGGCTGTGACACAGTAATCGTCGGACGGAATTTGGAGCGAGTTAAGCAGGCGTCCGAAACACTGATGGCAGCGACAGGGGGGAGATGTCTGCCTCTGAGTGTGGATGTCAGGAAGGTGCGTCGCCATATTACCACTCTCACTCTCTCACTAGACAACTCACTCACTCACCCACCCACCCACCCACCCAACCAACCACCAACCACCACCCAACCAACCAACCAACCAACCAGCCACTCAGCGATATAATCGTGCTTGTATAAAGTTTTTACAATTTGAGTAGAACACTAAGGGTGTGTTGATCAAAGACAACTTTGCTGATTGTAATGTTAGGTCCTAATGGGATCCAGACTTTTCCCTGTAAGGACTGACTGACTGAGTTTGGTTTTACGCCGCTTTTAGCAATATTCCAGCAATATCACGGCAGGGGACACCAGAAATGGGCTTCACTCATTGTACCCATGTGGGGATTCGAACCCGGGTCTTCGGCGTGACGAGCCAACGCTTTAACCATTAGACTACCCACCGCCCCTCCCCGTAAGGACAGTCATGGGGACTGATCATATGAGAAAATGTCCTCCACTCAGTCAGCATAGCTCATTCAATATATTTAGATGCACTTTGTTTTCTTCAATAATTATGATGTACTATCAAATCACTTAAAGTAGAAAAAAGATAGCAAGGAAAAAATCTTTAAAACAAGATATTGTTTTTTGGTTTTCACTGTGTGCTTTGTTCAGCATCAATAGTGGGCAATAAAATCATGTAGTAGATTACATTATCATCATCATAATTATCCCCCGCGGCGTGTTTAACACAAAGCGGGGGATATAGTATTAGGCTCCGTCCGTCCGTACGTACGTACGAATTGGAATATCTTAAGAACCGTTCACTAGATTCTTTTCATAATTGGTACCTAGGTTCATCACAGTATAAGAAAGGTCCAAGTCAGGTTTGGTGACCTTGTTGTTATTATTTCAGCCACAGCAGATACTGGATGCAGTAGATGAAGCAATGGGACAGTTCGGGAAAATTGACATATTGGTGAATGGTGGGTCTTCCTTATAAATACTCAATTGGTGATTTTATTAAACAAAATCGACCCGTGAAGATCCGGGTTAGAAGTGATCTTCAGTAACCCATGCTTGTCATAAGAGGCGACTAACGGGTTCGGGTGGTCAGGCTTGCTGACTTGGTTGACATGTCAGCGTATCCGACTTGTGTAGATCGATGCTCATGCTGTTAATCACTGCCACCATATAGTTGGAATACTGCTGAGTGCAGCATAAAACTATGCTCACTCACTATTAAACGAAATCACAAACATATTTTTCAATTTTAATCAATCATTTGCTTGATATAAAAAGAACGGCAGTTTGAGAAAGCAGAACATATTGTCCCTTGGCTGATGGTCTCTCCTTGTCAAGGGTAATGCCAAAATGGAACTGGGTTTGTAAATTGACTGACAGTTTAGAACAGTGTTCATGATATTTTTGAGACTAAAGTCCTCGGTGTCTAAAAGAACAATAGGTGTGGGAGCAATGATGTTTTTAATGTCTCCCTGGGAGACTACAATGGCAATACCATTGGTTCCTGACTTTATGTAGGTGCTGCTGGCAACTTCCTCTGCCCTCTGGACCAGATGTCCTTCAACGCCTTCCGCACTGTCATGGAGATTGATGCTCATGGGACATTCAATGTCAGCAAGGTTGTGTACGACAAGAGCATGAAGGTGGGTGGATGTGGATCTGCTTTTGTTGTAGAGTGAGTGAGTTTGGTTTTACACTGCTTTTAGTGATATTCAAGCAATATCACGGCTGGGGACACCGGAAATGGGCTTCACACATTGTACCCATGTGGGGTATCAAACCCGTGTTTTTGGCATGACAAGCGAACGCTTTATCCACTAGGCTGTTGTAATGATACACAGAGAGACCTAGGGGGTGTATACCTAGGTGTATACCTGGGGGCTGGGGACTCTGACATTGAGTCCTGCAAAGGGATAATTTGTTGTGATGCCCTTCTCAGACCCCACAGTCCCACTGTCACATACAGGTATCCCAAAACGAGCTGAATTCGACGTTCTGGTGATTTCGACGATGTCATTGCTCACGCTACATCGAAGGAGTATGTGTGCGATCGGAATGGACAAGCAATTTCATTGGTAGGGCGGATGACCAATGGCTGTCATGAGAACTTTTATTGACGATTCAAATCCGGAAGTTAAGTTATATGAAAAGCAAACAAACATCAAAACATCATTAATACCACTGCAGATGCAAAATCAGCTGCCAATATAACAAGAAATTCAGGAAGATCAGTCATCTACTTGTGACAGGCAATATGTAAATAGGAGGCCACGTTATCACAACACTCCCTCGCAATGCAGAGCAAAAAGTATGGCTCATCATCGAAAATCCATACAAAATCCCCCCATGTTGAGAGCGGCAACGATGTTGCCGTTAGGATGTCATCAACGCTATTTCTGTAGGAAAGACTTTTAAATTAAAATCTTGAGTTGATATTAAACATAAAAATTTCGTTTTTGTCTTGCATCGTGGAAAACCCAGACACCGGGACATGTATGTGGCTGCTTATCCCATGCTGTCTTGTCTTGTAGACAAATGGTGGCGTCATCATCAACATCACGGCACTGCTGCATCTCCGAGGAACCCAGATGCAGACTCACGCTGGCTCAGCCAAAGCAGCCATCGGTTTGTATGTGTAGGATAAAGCACTACACCGCGGTTATTAGGGATGGGTATTGCAGAGAATTTTCATATTGCGATATATTGCGATGCGAAAGCATGTATTGCGATATGTATTGCAATATATTGCGTGAAGTATTTTTACACAAAAAAACTACTTATAATCGAGGTAATGCTTGATTTATGGAGCAAATACACAGCAAAAACACTATGCTTGATTAAGCTTTAATAACAACTTTTATTCATGATTAAAAATAAAAATGTGAATAATATTTGGCACAAATGGAAAAACGAAATATCCGAAGATTTCCGAGAGTTACGAAGTTTTCCGAATGCAAGTCAAAATACCGGTTTTCGATCATCGTATCGCAATACGTATCGTTTTCATGTGTGAACCGGTTAATACCGGTAAACCGGTTATATTGCGCAGCCCTAGCGGTTATGGTTGGGAAAGTAAGACCCGAGTCCGGAGGGTGTGGAGAAGTAAGACCGAGAGCGTGTATCCGATGGTCGAGGGCTTACTTTCCCAACCATAACCGAGGAGGAGTGCTTTATTATACATATAAACCGTTAATGATAGATAATTAAATGATCGTGTAATGAAGCTACATAACAGTAACTGAAGCGCTAGTAAAATCAATTTGATGACAGTCGGCCTAACTATTAATAGATAATTTAACCCTTGCTTCTTTGTCGGCCCGGTGGCTTGATAACCTGAGAGGTGCGTTTTCATTCATGTTAGGGAAAATATTTGCACATTAATGTTGATCTTTGACGATATTTTACAATTGATTTCAAACACTCATATATCATCTGAATTTGAATGTTGATATTAATATAGAGTTAGGAAAAAGTAAGACCTGGAAACTGGTCTTACTTACAAAAAGTAAAACCGGGAAATAGGTCTTACTTACAAAAAGTAAAACCTGGGAGCAAACAAAAAACCTCAAATGCGGTTATTTCTGGGAAAAGAAGCCATGTCTAATATCTAGTGAGAAGCACCCTTCAGGTTTATATTGACATGACACATAATCCCTTGTGCTGATCCCTGCAGAATGTAAGGGTAGAGTATATCAGTGCATTTCATGTTTACATGCAGCGATACGATACACGTATCGATATAAGCTGATACACTTTTTAAAATACAGTACTTGCTATTCTTTCAATAACCCATTATTAGGCAGGAAAATATTGAAAAATGTATTGCAATTAGCAATTTGCACATCATGCTGTAGACCCATTTTCTTGATGTTAAGATGTGTAAATCCGATACTTTGTGTCTCTTAAGAAAAGGATATAACTGGTGCGTGATGGGTAAGAAGTGACTTTTAAGTCCTGCGAGCACATCTCTTCCATTCCTGCAATGGTTCTGTTTCAGAGGCAATGACCCGCCACATGGCAGTGGAGTGGGGAATGAATGGCGTGAGGGTCATGTGTGTGGCACCGGGACCAATCGCAGACACAGAGGGAATGAGACGCCTTGGTATGTTCACCCCACTTCTGGAGAGGTTATTATTGGCACTGTTTGACACAGCTATCAGCAAAAGCATGTTCTAACAAGAATTTAGATGCCTTGGTATGTTCACCCCACTTCTGGAGAGGTTATTATTGGCACTGTTTGACACAGTTATCAGCAAAAGCATGTTCTAACAAGAATTTAGATGCCTTGGTATGTTCACCCCACCTCTGGAGAGGTTATTATTGGCACTGTTTGACACAGTTATCAGCAAAAGCATGTTCTAACAAGAATTTAGACGCCTTGGTATGTTCACCCCACTTCTGGAGAGGTTATTATTGGCACTGTTTGACACAGTTTTCAGCAAAGCATTCTAACAAAATTTAAGCTTTGGTATGCATTTGTTCTAACAAGAATTTAGACGCCTTGGTATGTTCACCCCACTTCTGGAGAGGTTATTATTGGCACTGTTTGACACAGTTATCAGCAAAAGTATGTTCTAACAAGAATTTAGACGCCTTGGTATGTTCACCCCACTTCTGGAGAGGTTATTATTGGCACTGTTTGACACAGTTATCAGCAAAAGCATGTTCTAACAAGAATTTAGACGCCTTGGTATGTTCACCCCACCTCTGGAGGTTATTATTGGCACTGTTTGACACAGTTATCAGCAAAAGCATATTCTAACAAGAATTTAGACCCCTTGGTATGTTCACCCCACCTTTGGAGGTTATTATTGGCACTGTTTGACACAGTTATCAGCAAAAGCATGTTCTAACAAGAATTTAGATGCCTTGGTATGTTCACCCCACTTCTGGAGAGGTTATTATTGGCACTGTTTGATGACACAGTTATCAGCAAAAGCATGTTCTAACAAGAATTTAGATGCCTTGGTATGTTCACCCCACTTCTGGAGAGGTTATTTTTGGCACTGTTTGACACAGTTATCAGCAAAAGCATGTTCTAACAAGAATTGCTGGTGGTGGTGGTGCTCAAGTCAGGATGCAAGATTGTTGACGTCTTGGTAGATATATATTTTGATGTTGCGGTCAGCAACTGTTCAGCAAGAATATCTTACTGACTTGTGTCCTGGATAAAGGAGCTCTGCAGTATTGTAGCATCAGGTCATTCCTCATTTCATTGAAGTAGCCTAGTGGTGGAAGTGTTTGCTGTCATGCTCGGTTTGATCCCCAACATGGGTACAATGTGTTAAGCTTATTTCTGGTGTCACTGTAATATTGCAGCAATATTACTAAAGGTGGAGTAAAACTAAACTCACCCCTCATTGCCACTGTCTAAAGCTAAGGAATTAGATCTTCAGTTCCAGTGTTGCCATATTTTCAACTCATGTAAAGCTACATTTAAATTCTGATTGAGAATATAAACACTTTCAGAAATGGAAACAAATAATTCTTCACTGATCCTAAAACTTTCTGATCCAATTTGCAGGTGGTGGGAGAGTAAATGAGGAATATGAGAAGTCAATTCCAATCCAGAGGCTTGGTCTGCGTGTGGACATCGCAGACGTCTGCCTCTTTCTGACAACCAGGGGCAGTGAACTCCTGACTGGCACCACAATCGCAGCTGATGGTGGCAGCTGGCTCACTGGCTCCAACAACTTCTACCAAACAAAGAAGCTGTTGTCTGCTGGACACTCCCTGAGCAAAGCCAAGTTGTGAACAGGGACGAGGAGAAAGGAACTACAGAGAACATGCTTTGTCAGGATGAACATGTGAACAAACAGCTGATTCATGATGATGATGATGATGATAATGATTAAAGATGATTAAAGATGCTTTGATGATGATGACGACACTGATGATGATGATGATGATGTCAAGCTCTGGAGTCCTCTTTGCCTGTGATATGTTTAGTAAATGGTTACTCAGATATGTATTATGCAGTAAAATTATGCAAATGATTACATGGTGCCAATTGTTAATCAGTGTTTTCATTTGTAAACAACATTTTTCATTCTATGTTAATTTTATTCTATCTTACCATTACAATCTGTGCTTAGTAAACCATATATATTAGCCAGGAACTTGCAAAAATGCGTTAAACAGCTGTGGTCCTGTGCACAGAGCTCAGGTCACGAATCAGTTGAAAGAAAGCAACATCGAGCTCGGACAGTCCTTGGATGGGTGACCGTTTTTGGCAGCTTGACTCCTGAGAATTTCTAAGACTTCAGTCCTGCCCCACAACGAAGCACATGTGATACATGTGGTCTCACCTCAGGCAAGTGAGTTTGTTCAAAATTGCCTCTGTTCACCCAGCAGAAAATGGGTACCCGGTTGGATAAAGTCATGTGACTTCTAGCGCCTAACAGGCAGCTTGGGTTATCCGGGGTAATAATCAGATTCTGATAAAGCGCCGAGAGCAATCACTTGGTGTTTGGAGACTGTGGGCTATAGAAGATGACTTATTATTATTATTAAACCAGATCGTGTAAACAGTGTATTGGATACACATACGTATGAAGAATGGTGACATTGTTCTACTATTCGTAGGTATGCATTAAATTCATGTATGTATTTTTCTGGAAGGAATTATAACAGTTAAAAAATCAGATGGTTTGTTACAATTTGTTTTGATTTAAACATATTTTTTGCACCAGGACACATGTGATCATGACTTAAGTAGCCCTCTCTCAAGATAGTTTTACACAATAGTATTAACTCAGCACTACCTGAATCCAGTTACAATTTTATGAATTTTGTCCCAAACAGGGGATCATATACAAATATCCTGAAGTGAGTGAGTAATTTTTTAAGTTGGGTTTTAGGCTTTTAGCAAAATTGGAGCAATATCATGGCAGAGGATACCAGAAATGGTCTTTACACATGTGGGAATCAAACCCGGGTCTTCAGCGTGACAAGTGAATGCTTTAACCACTAGACTACCCAACCGCCGCAATTATACTGGAATGCACATGGAGAGCACATGTTTCACGCAATATCTCAAAAGCTGGGGATCGAATGTTCACGTCTTCAGGGATCAGGTTACTGGATTCAGTGAAATGTGTGTGTTCTATTATCCAAGATGCTGATAGTCGCATGCCCTGTAGACTTCACTGCTATACTGATTGTCCTGTCATAAGATATAGGTACAAGAGGTGGACGTTCCGATCAGTATCCGATCAAGTGCCGTGAGTTGATATATTCTTTGATAAAGCATTTTAACGGAGGTACATAAATAATAATTTATCATCCGAAACACACCACATGAAGCGTAATAAAATCTCTAATCTTCCTTTGTACTTATGAGAGGGTACTTGAAGGAGCTTCTATGAAGTATTGAATGCTTCAGTCAGAGGTGAAGGTGAGGTGAAATGGGATTTAAGAATATTTCGCTCATGTGACGACGTGCATGCGTGTGTGTGTGTGGCTGCTTGTACTAGCCCAGACTTCAGCTGGTGCTAGCTCACTGAGATACCCAACTCAGACACATTATACTGTCTCCGAGCCGACCAGTCCTTGCTGTACCCATTATGCCGAGCGCCAGGCAGGGACCAACAAGTACCATATTTTAACGTCTTTTGGTATAACGCGGTCGGGGATCGAACCCGCGACCTTCTACTGTAACCACTACACCGCGGAGGCGGGCGCATCAGTCAGAATGCTGAGGACATTTTAGATGCTCATATATACATATGACGTGCCCCAAGTAAGTCAGCGTTGACCCTGGTACCGTCCGGATCGACATGAGCGCCCAGCGTCCTTTTGGACGATAGCAATTAAATAGTTCAGATTTCAAAATACCTTGACAATGTTTAATTCAACAACAGACCAGGGTCATCTAGAACTGTATGTCTTCACATAAGTTCATGTGTACGTCAGGATATATTTTCAGAGCTGACTCGGAAATGTCTTTTATGACAAATATATTTGGCAACAAATCTCCACTAAAAGCAGAATCAGTTTAATCATTCCGACAAGTTTTTGAGCAAGTGTTCATGAATCACTATCGAATAGTGATGATATCAGATGGTTTCGAAAACTCAAACGTATCTTATGGCAACTGTCACAAAACATGCAAAGGCAAGACATTCTCCAAAACTGAGAATAATATATAAACATTTTATTGATAGTTCAAGGTTATTCCAACCAGTCACAAGGTCATTCTAAATTGGTACATCCTGTCATGATCACAGACGCACATCATGCACGAACACCGAGGTGAATATATACGTAGTCATATTCCAATTTCATTCAAATCAGACACAAAGTAATTAACCAATTGGAACTCTCTGGATGTTTTGTATTACTCCGTGTTATAAATTAGCATTTCGCATTAGGGAAGTATATCTTTACTTATTAAGCAAAACAGGAAAATGGCATCGCTGTCATCGATGTAAAGTTTCAGCTTATAGTGAAAAAGGAAATGCATTATACTAACGCTTAGCCTCTGAAATATAAAATATTTAATAGAAACAAGCAAATACATTTGAAATGAAAAGGTACCCTCGTGCCTAAACCTTTGAAAATAACTTGCTTCATTTAGGGCTGCAGCATAAGAGAAGGCCTTGGCGAGAGGGAAAATGAATCACGGAATCACCATGCTTGTTCTGCCGAATCCAGTCACACCTCTACGTCTTGAACGACCAAGAGATATTTGACCACAGGGCAGCTGACAGGACTGACTGGGCAGGCATACACATGTGACTGCATTCACATCGACTTAAACACCAGTTAATGGAGGCTCAATGTATTCATAGCAAATAATACTATTATGATAACATTGCCGCAATACACACGAGCAGTATGACAAGCAGACAACCCAACTCGTCAAGGACGCTCTGATACATTTAATACATTATTGTTCATCCTGGTACTATCGTCTTTCCGCACACGTAGTTCTCGCTAGTCCGTACACAAGGGTGTTCCCAGCCTGTCTCTCTCGTTCCTGTTTCAGTTTCTCCATCTGGGCCTTTTCTATTTCATCTTGATAGTTGAACCCTGGTCCTACTTCAGGATGCGGGAAATGTTGTAAAGATTTGTCCTGAAATGGATGCCACGTAAGTAATAGTTCGATGTAATTTGTATACTGCTTGAATAAATCGAATAGGCAATGAACTTCTGAAGTATGTTGGTTGGTTGGTTGTTTTACGCCGCACTCAGCAATATTCCAGCTATACGGCGGCGGTCTGTAAATAATCGAGTCTGGACCAGACAATCCAGTGATCAGCATCGATCTACGCAATCAGGATACAATGACATGTCAACCCAGTCAGCGAGCCTTACCACCCGATCCCATTAGTCGCCTCTTACAACAAGCATGGGTTGCTGAACTAGATCATCACGGGTCTTCTGAAGCATGTACTGATACAAGACCAACCAGACGAGACTTTGTGCTTGATCATATATATATAATATCCTATCATATTTTCTTTGCAAACTATCCTTGAGGAAGGAAATACTTCTTAAATCATCTTGACCCTAAAAGAGACTTGTCCTTTACAACAGGGTGAGGGTTGGGGTGCTGGAACTTGTGTTATTACTGTATCATATAGCATAAAGACTCGGGGAGACTATTCTACCTATATTCAACCATGTACAGGTAGTGTGTGTCAACACTTACCAAAGAAGTGGCGAGATTTGCTATTTGATTTTGGACATCCATCTTCCAACTCTGAAGTAAAATGAAGACATGTTAGAATAGACCATCTGCAGCTACATCGCTCACAGACAGACACACAAACTCAGGCATGGGCTAATTAATGCTTGGGTCTCTGAAAACATACAATTGAAAGAAAATATACATGTAAATTAAAAGGAGCCCCACTGGGGTGCCTGAACCAGAGGAAAATCTAAATCTAGATTTGCTTCATTTAGGGCTTTTTTGCATTGGACTTAGTGGGAAGATAAAACTATTTAGTTCAGGGAATATGAGACAGAGTAGCTCAGACATTTACACAAATGAGAGAGAGAGAGAGAGAGAGAGAGAGAGAGAGAGAGAGAGAGAGAGAGAGAGAGAGAGAGAGAGAGAGAGAGAGAGAGAGAGAGAGAGAGAGAGAGAGAGAGAGAGAGAGAGAGAAAGAGAGAGAGAGAAAGAGAGAGAGAAACATACACTCTCAAACACCAAAATAAAGACACGCGGAATAACCCATATGGCGTTTCGTCATGAATAGGGTCATCTATTCATGATACATGCAATACCTGGTACATCTCCCTCTTCTCAATGTTCCACTCGTGGGGCAGCGTCCACTCCTCTGGGTGAGGGGTTAGTTTGCTGACGTTGAGAGAAGGGAGATCTATGGCGGAGCTGCTGGAGGAGTCTGGACCTACACTCGCTGGTCGTCCGGCCATTGTGGCGTTACCTGTAACATAGCAACAACATTATTGCTGATAAGGGTTTTGTCGCTTCTATTTCATTTCCCAACTCACTCACTCACTTTAAATATACTCATGCCAATAATGGTTGTCACCCCCTCAACTTCACCCACACGTCACACCCCCCCCCAACACACGTCACCCCATCTCCAATTAAAAAAATTGAAGAGGGTGACAACCATTATTGGCATGAGTATATGTTAATACACACTGTGCCACACACGGGACCAGCTTCTTAAACATGCATTTAAGTGTCGATATAGTTGTCCGTTTTCATATGTAATAATGCATGTGTTTAGTCATTATGTTCATATATTACAACTATTCTCTGAAAACAGCTTACGGAAATACTTTGAGGTCAGCAAAATAAACTCGAGTGAAAAAAACAGCTTTACTTTTCGTGCATTTCAAGATCTAAAATGCAATCACAGAAACATATATGACATAAAAATGTAAACTATCATAAATACCTGTGATTAGCTAATACAGGTACGTTAACCTTAATGCCACTTAAAACAGGTACAATATATATACATTTACATACGTGCTGATACCAATGTAGAAACTGTTACCTGCTCGTTGACTCGACTCCTTTGTCTGTTTATTGATTACTTTACAACATACACACAGCACGACATCAATGATTCAATATATCTACGCAGCGAATGTCTGACTGGCAAGGGACATAGATAACAAACCCCAATCATGTAGCCAAACCACGGATTGCGAAGCAATGCTCATGTATCGTCTTAACGTGCTATTGTTACAAGGTCAGCACATAGGCTGGCGGACACCTAAAGCTGTGGAATATGCCAGCGGGTGTCTGCTTTGTGTCGACTGTAATAATAATTCTTTCTTTCACGCATGGAAAGACCCGGGTATTATGTTTAACGCCCGTGAATAGTTCCAGTACTTCGTGATCATATGATGGTCACTTGGTCTGCCAGCTTGATTCCTGAGAGTTTCCTGGACTTCCGTCCTGCCCCACAAAGAAGCACATGTACGGCATATGGTTTCACTTTAGGCAAGTGACTTAGTTCACCCAGTAGTGAATGGGTACCCGAGGGGATCAGATGATTATATATTGGGCGACCTTGTTTCAGCCAGCTTGACTCCTGAGAGTTTCCTGGACTTCCGTCCTGCCCCACAAAGAAGCACATGTAAGGCATATGGTTTCACTTTTGGCAAGTGATTTTGTTCACCCAGTTGTGAATGGGTGCCTGAGGGGATCAGATGGTCATATCTTGGGTGCCCCTGTTTGGCAGCTTGACTTGAGCAAGTGACTATGTCCAAATTATTCACCCAGCAGTGGGATGCAATGACCATATAACCTTCTGACGCCTCCCAGGCCTTTTGGGTTATAGTGTACACTGGTCCATTAGCCGGGGTAATAATGTCAGCGTTTTGAGCATACACTTCGTGTATGGAAGTAGTACAATGTAAGTACACACAGTATATATGTAAGAGTCGACGAAGACCAAGGACTGGTGTTTACAATGTTGTATGTCGTAACCGAGGTATGGTTTACACTACCAACTATGAATTTGTCTAATTCGATGGTTTATCTGCCTCCACGATGCAGGTGCTATGTCGCTGCTACGGCGTAAAACAACATTTAGTCTCATTCACTGATGACATGTATCGTCGATACATTAGTATGACATTTCGAAATGCACATTTCAAAAACAATACTCAAGAAGGTTAAAACTATGTTAAAGAAAAGGCGTCTTTCTATATTAATCATATTGCTGAAATACATATACAATATAGTCAATAATAGGATTAATTAATACACAGGAGATGTTATTGCATATATACAACCTGACGGGCCTGGCTAGTATACAGATATAATAGGTATCCAACTGCTGCTTGTTGCTTACAAACGTATAACTACACAATTTCATGGTATAGTTAATTGTATTATGTGGTGTCTTTTAATGGAAGAACGGGATGTTTTAAAGATGACGACTCTACATGCATGGCAGAAGATTATGAGGAAATCAATGATACTGTAGCAGACATGCACTTGCAATGAACGACGAACCTCTTCTGATAAAATATGCAGTTTCGTTAGAAGAATATTGATTTGTATGTATGTATATTTATATATACAAATCAATATTAGGTTATTGATTACGTGTTTGATCCACTTATCGTATGGCAATAAGGATTAAATTCTACGTGTTGAAAAATGACAGTGATGAGTGGGTGAGTTAAAATTTAAGATCGCATCGGCATTATTTCAGCCATATAGCGACTGAGAGTGAAGATTAATGACAAAAACTGAAATCTAAACTACAAGTATAAACACTTAACAACCCACTACAATATTATTCTCCGATCAAGCACTCACCTTCTTGTGTTACTAGTGCAGTGAGTAATCTCGCCAATACCCAGCTCGCCACTAGATCGGCCCTCTACGCTGTAATCTTCCACTAAGACCTCACAACCAATCCGTGGAAGCTTGTTGTATCAACGCACATTTAGTGAGATGACCCTTGAGGCCTCCGATAACGAGACCGGTCTCACCGTACGTTGTTGCTTCCCTTAGAAACGGCAGTTATTGTTTGAATAATTGATATGACGTTTCAAGTCACAGGTGCTTGCAGCGCTGAGTTGAGCTACCACCGGTTTGTGTTGTGTAGGACTGCAGGAGACTATCCATCTGAAACGGCATATATACAGGTCTCAGGGCCTCAGTCAGTAATCTGACTTAAGTCGGAGGTGGAATACAAGTGGATTAGTAGGTAAAGACAGCTGTTATGAATGGGGGTATTATGCACCATGGGTGTGAATGCGCCCTCCGTAGACGGACGCCATACGCTTGGTGTTTGTACAGTATTGATTCTATTTGATTCAGTAATGGCACTGTAAAACATTGATTATGTGTGAGTGTAATATCTTGTATGGGATTTGGTAACCATTCCACCCACACGCACGCACGCACGCGCGCACATAAACACGCACGCACGCACACACACGCACACACACACACCACTAACAGGCACATACCCAAACACGTTACTGTATTATTGAAATATATTACAGATTTTCTGAGGAAAATGTGTCCGATCCTTTCAGGAACCACTCAGACACGTTCGTAATGGTAGCAGCTATTGTATGGTGGTCGCTCGTCACGCAGAAAGCCCGGGTTTGATTGCTGCATGGATGCATTGTGTGTTGTCCATTTTTAACTGAGGGAGTATGGTTTTTACGCCGCATTTTGCAACATCCCAGCAATATCACGGCGGGGAACACCAGAAATGGGCTTTACATATTGTACCCATGTTGAGAATCGAACCCGGGTTTCAAGCATGACGAACGAATGCTTTAACCACTAGGCTGTCCTACTGCCCTTCCACTTCTGAGTCGATGGTGTAGGCACGGTAAGATAGATACATAGAACACATCTTTAAAAGTTTTTAACGACGTCTCATAACTTCCCCCGACAATATAATGACGTCATTAAACATATCTGGGCGGTTGCCATAATGCCATAAAGTTTGGAAATGTGAAGTAAAATCCATCATTTTTTAAGTTGAGATCAAGATTCAAGCTTCAGATAAAGATCCTATTTTCTTGAACTTGTGAAATGACATTTTTATCCTAAACTGGCAAAACAGATAATAGCCCCTCGAAAAATACATATTCTGTTAGACAAGATTGCACCAAAATAAATATCGCCTTTGTCATTGTTACGAACAGTGTAATGTTACAGTATGTCTGTTGACACCGATCCTCGAGTCGGCATTCAAAATCCAGCACCGGTTTCTGGATTAGAGCACGACGTAAGGTTACATGACTGTAGACATTGACAAGTAGATTGGTCCTATTGTGGTAAGTGTTCGGCGTTATACACTTCACAGGTAGTACTAATCTCATTGTGAACGCGGCAAACTAAACAAAGCATGGCAGATCTTCACGACGGTATCTAACTGCCTGCCTTTATTGTTTGTAAAATACAACTGATATTACAAGAGTCATTGAACAATCTATGATATATTAAATATGCTGCAATGTTGATCACGGGCTCCTTTCACGAAGAAACCTTTACTAAGGATAACCTTAACTCCCATTCTTTAACTGACTGACTGACTGAGTTTGGCTTTACGTCGCGTTTAGCAATATTCCAGCAACATCACGGTGGGGAACACCAGAAATGGGCTTCACACATTGTGCCCATGTGGGGATTCGAACCCGGGTCTTCGTCGTGACGAGCCAACGCTTTAACCATTAGGCTAACCCACCGCCCCCCCATTCTTTGACATTGAACTAAGGTTACGATCACCTTAGTGCTTTGTGAAAGGAGACCCTGTATAATTATTATATACATTGTAGTTGTTATAAGTACAAATTGTTATTATGATTCTGTTAATGCATTGATTGTCAGTGAAGTTGGTTTTTACCGCTTTTATCAATTTTACATCAGCAGGGAATGCCGAAAATCAGCTTCACACATTTTAACTTCGGGCGAAATCGGACTTGGGTCTTCAGCATTACGAACACTTTAACCACTGAGCTTCCCCTCTGGCCCTGGAAAGCTAAGAATGTATGTTGGTAAGGATTGCATGACATCACAGATTGAGCAATCATCTCACTGTGCACACAACCAAGCACAAGATAACGTAATAGCGTTTTAGGGCGTATTGAGGTTCTCCAAATGTCACAGATACATTTTCCGTCCAATTTCAGCACCTATATATCATTGAAGGGGATTAAAACAACCGGACAAAACTGGCATCTCAGTGGGCGCCATGACTAGCAGAAGTTCTCATACACGCACGCACACATACACAGTCAGACACACAAGAACACACATAAAGACTTACACACACATACACACGCCCGCACGCACACGCACGCACACACACACACACAGAGTCACCCCCCTCCTCTCTCTCTCTCTCACACACACACGCGTGCACACATGCACGCACGCACACCTGCGTTGCACTCCAATCGAGCTCGCATTTCCTTAACCCAAGAGTTTATATATTTTGAGTATGTGCTGAGAGAAACAAGTGTTGGAAGCTACCGTAAAATCTCTACCAGCATGATTCCCTGTTGATTGCCGCATGTTGGGCTCATGTTGTGCAATCCAAAGTGTTGTTTACTGTCTCCGTCACATGTCTGAGGTAACCTGCAGTGTTGGGATAGTTGACAATTTGACATGTATGTGGTTAATGTGCCACCAACACGGTGGTTTGTGCGGGTAACTGGTAACCAGTGGTTTGATAGTTGGTTGACAACTTGACATGTATGTGGTTAATGTGCCACCAACACGGTGGTTTGTGCGGGTCACTGGTAACCAGTGGTTTGATGGTTGGTTGATAACTTGACTGGCCAAACACGGTGGTTTGTGCGGATCAGTGGTAACCAGTGGTTTGAAGGTTGGTTGACAACTTGACATGTATGTGGTTAACGTGCCACCAACACGGTGGTTTGTGCTGGTCACTGGTAACCAGTGGTTTGATAGTTGGTTGACAACTTGACATGTGTGTGGTTAATGTGCCACCAACACGGTGGTTTGTGCGGGTAACTGGTAACCAGTGGTTTGATGGTTGGTTGACAACTTGTTGATCGGGTCACTGGTAAACTTGATAACTTGACATGTATGTGGTTAACGGACCACCAACACGGTGGTTTGTGCGGGTCACTGGTAACCAGTGGTTTGATGGTTGGTTGATAACTTGATAACTTGACATGTATGTGGTTAACGTGCCACCAACACGGTGGTTTGTGCGGGTCACTGGTAACCAGTGGTTTGATGGTTGGTTGATAACTTGATAACTTGACATGTATGTGGTTAACGTGCCACCAACACGGTGGTTTGTGCGGGTCACTGGTAACCAGTGGTTTGATGGTTGGTTGACAACTTGACATGTATGTGGTTAACGGTGCCACCAACACGGTGGTTTGTGCGGGTCAGTGGTAACCAGTGGTTTGATAGTTGGTTGACAACTTGACATGTATGTGGTTAACGTGCCACCAACACGGTGGTTTGTGCGGGTAACTGGTAACCAGTGGTTTGATAGTTGGTTGACAACTTGACATGTGTGTGGTTAATGTGCCACCAACACGGTGGTTTGTGCGGGTAACTGGTAACCAGTGGTTTGATGGTTGGTTGACAACTTGACATGTATGTGGTTAATGTGCCACCAACACGGTGGTTTGTGCGGGTAACTGGTAACCAGTGGTTTGATGGTTGGTTGACAACTTGACATGTATGTGGTTAATGTGCCACCAACACGGTGGTTTGTGCGGATCAGTGGTAACCAGTGGTTTGAAGGTTGGTTGACAACTTGACATGTATGTGGTTAACTTGACATGTATGCCACCAACACGGTGGTTTGTGCGGGTAACTGGTAACCAGTGGTTTGATGGTTGGTTGACAACTTGACATGTGTGTGGTTAATGTGCCAGCAACACGGTGGTTTGTGCGGATCAGTGGTAACCAGTGGTTTGATGGTTGGTTGACAACTTGACATGTATGTGGTTAACGTGCCACCAACACGGTGGTTTGTGCGGGTCACTGGTAACCAGTGGTTTGATAGTTGGTTGACAACTTGACATGTGTGTGGTTAATGTGCCACCAACACGGTGGTTTGTGCGGGTAACTGGTAACCAGTGGTTTGATGGTTGGTTGACAACTTGACATGTATGTGGTTAATGTGCCACCAACACGGTGGTTTGTGCGGATCACTGGTAACCAGTGGTTTGATGGTTGGTTGACAACTTGACATGTATGTGGTTAATGTGCCACCAACACGGTGGTTTGTGCGGATCAGTGGTAACCAGTGGTTTGAAGGTTGGTTGACAACTTGACATGTATGTGGTTAACGTGCCACCAACACGGTGGTTTGTGCGGGTCACTGGTAACCAGTGGTTTGATGGTTGGTTGACAACTTGACATATGTGTGGTTAATGTGCCACCAACACGGTGGTTTGTGCGGGTAACTGGTAACCAGTGGTTTGATGGTTGGTTGACAACTTGACATGTATGTGGTTAATGTGCCACCAACACGGTGGTTTGTGCGGGTCACTGGTAACCAGTGGTTTGATGGTTGGTTGACAACTTGACATGTATGTGGTTAACGGGCCACCAACACGGTGGTTTGTGCGGGTGACTGGTAACCAGTGGTTTGATGGTAAGTTGACAACTTGACATGTGTGTGGTTTACGTGCCACCAACACGGTGGTTTGTGCAGGTCACTGGTAACCAGTGGTTTGATGGTTGGTTGACAACTTGACATGTATGTGGTTAACGTGCTACCAACACGTGGTTTGTGCGGGTCACTGGTAACCAGTGGTTTGATGGTTGGTTGATAACTTGACATGTATGTGGGCAATGTATCACCAACACGGTGGTTTGTGCTGGTCAGTGGTAACCAGTGGTTTGATAGTTGGTTGACAACTTGACATGTATGTGGTTAATGTATCACCAACACGGTGGTTTGTGCGGGTCACTGGTAACCAGTGGTTTGATGGTTAGTTGACAATTTGACATGTATGTGGTTAACGTGCCACCAACACGGTGGTTTGTGCGGGTCACTGGTAACCAGTGGTTTGATAGTTGGTTGGTTGACAATTTGACATGTATGTGGTTAATGTGCCACCAACACGGTGGTTTGTGCGGATCACTGGTAACCAGTGGTTTGATAGTTGGTTGACAATTTGACATGTATGTGGTTAACGTATCACCAACACGGTGGTTTGTGCGGGTCACTGGTAACCAGTGGTTTGATAGTTGGTTGACAATTTGACATGTATGTGGTTAACGTATCACCAACACGGTGGTTTGTGCGGGTAACTGGTAACCAGTGATTTGAAGGTTGGTTGACTTCATCTTTTTACAAAAATACCCAGGGCTGCTGAGATCACCAACAATCTGATTCGGAGTCGGTGGAAGTACATAATATATTTCAACGGAGTACTTGCTACCTTTTGTAATAAATCAAGATGTGTTTTCCTCATCGACAGAATTAATAGCACTATGTAAACGAGACGTATTGGTGGTATGGTAAATGAGATCAGCGTTATGATATTAGAGTTTGACGCGAAAGTGTGCATTATTGCGGGACAAACTCTACCGGCCTCTCAGCAACTTACAATGCATACCCCAAGGATATTTGCGCGTTGTGTCAACAAGTGTACCAGAAACAATCGTTTCTTTTCTGTTGGGTTGTTTGTATATTAACATAGATTTCGACATAGGTTCTAATGTCGTTGTCAAGAAAGTGGTACATGGGGAGTAATTTTGGGTGAAAATATCACCCTATGATGTCTATGTGGAAACGTTGCCTATACAGAATAAAGAAGTTGTATATCCATAAAAAATGTCCTTATTCTTCATCTTCTCGTCTTCTAGAATGCCAATCAAAGTAGTGTTTGTTTATTGTATATTGTTTGTCCCATCAATTTTCCAGCTCTAGATAGGCCTGTAAATAACCGAGATTAAACTGATATTCTTTGAACTGATTCATTTAGAATACTCTTGTGTGATGAGAGCATAATTCACATGTTCAAGACATATGTAGAATGAACACTTAGGCAGATGTGTACATTGTACTGCAAGGACGTCTAACAGTGTGCAGCGAATTGAGGTATATTGGTTCTTTTCTATCTGGACGTAAATCACCCATGCATGCTTCTTTGTTTCAGACATCGTCTTGAGAATGTACAAACAAAAGCCAGTCTAAGTAACTTGGTAAGCTGTGTTCTGATTGGTCAGTCCAAAAGGTTAGCTGACCCAACCTTCTACTAGGTTTTGTTAGACTCAGTATAACAGTGTGACGAATAATACTGAGCCTAAGTTTACTTAGACTGAAACAAAAGCCACAGTCTCAGAAGTTTATTCCAATAACAATCACAAGACATGTTTCTGCAAAGTAGGTCACAGACACACAGTTAATTTCAAACAGGTTTTCAACAGCCCCGAACACACGATACATTGAATGACATTTAAAAGTGACATACATGAACTTAAGACACTGATGAACTTCTCTATTAAAAGGAACACAACGTGTCGAGTATATTCTTACTCTTTCATCAGGTAATTGAACGCTAGGAATCACAGAGCATATGTACGTATATTTGTTGTTCTCACATATAAGCTCTCTGGATCTAGCTTTGATTCACCAATGAAGTAACAAGAATAGAATACTCCGAAACATTGTCTTCTTTACATACTATTTAAACAGGTGTACGGGATATTCCATTTTGGGGTGATGTTATTGGGGAACCTATTTGTATGATTGTATATGTGGCTGGAAAATATCATTCCATTCACAACGTGTTATGAATCGAGCAAACGCCAATGTCGTGCAAGCGTTTTCATCATGTACCTCGTCCGAAGACCCCATATTTGACAATCTACAGATTGTCTTGAGAATAGAGACTGAGTAACGCGGTATTAATGAGTTCACGGTAAATGACCGGATGGACAGTAGCAGGGCGCTGTGACCAGTCATCTAACAAAATCTATCTGACGTTCCACGACTGAGGCAAATATCAGTCAGACGTCCCTGTTATACACTGTTAAACTGTCGCATTGATGACATAGAATGTCAAGGGTTTTGACACTTTCTTCGTGACAACCTCTACGTTTGTAATAGTATTATACAGAAGTTGCCCTCCCTAAGTTGATCAACATTTTAAGAGATTTAAATTTAGCAATAATGTTCACCGTAATAAAACATTGAAATAATAATACAAATATAGAAACATAGTTACAAAAGAAGTGAGTGAGTGCGTTTAGTTTTACGCCACTCTCGGCAATATTGCAGCTATATGGCGGCGGTCTGTAAATAATCGAGTCTGGACCAAACAAACCAGTGATCAACAGCATGGGCATCGATCTACACAATTGGGATACGATGACATATGTCAACCAAGTCAGCGAGCCTGACCACCCCATCCTGTTAGTCACCTCTTACGACAAGCATGGGTTACTGGAGACCTATTTTAACCCAGATCTTCACGGGTATATACATGATTTTGGAAACAGCATTATTCTATTGTAAATGTTCACACTGAACTGACATTTATTCCCAGTAAAGGTATTACGTTATCTGACTGAAAGATACTGAAAGATATATAGCAACAAAGCGTAAGTCCCAAAGGAGCCCAGAACATGAGGACTCCAACTTAAGCCATAATGATTGGGCAAGTCTACATTGCCTCAGCTCTAGGCACAGAACGCATCGTTCATATACATGGGATGCAGACCTCTGATAACAGTATTAAAAGATCATTGGCTTAATCTCGATTTGGTGGAGAGAGACGTCACCAGAGACGCGGGCATACGTTGGGTGCATGTTCTGAATAGTTCGGTCAAATGTTATAACATGACTTCCATCCAAGTAGACCTGAAACAGGAGGAACAGAAAGTGGTATTCAGTATTGTGTGGCGCCATCGAGATCACAATGTCCCCAGATATTGAGTGAATGAGTGTAAAGTATTAGGTAAAGGCCGCTTTGAAGTTATTTACTGAAATACTTTACCAAAATTGTCACATACTCCCCTCTCCTCCCCCCACCCCAAAAAAAAAAAATAAAATAAAATAAAATAAAAAAATTAATAAACAAATCAAATTAATAATAGATAGATAGATAGATAGATAGATAGATAGATAGATAGATAGATAGATAGATAGATAGATAGATAGATAGATAGATAGATAGATAGATAGATAAATAAATAGATAGATAGATAGATAGATAAATAAATAAATAAATAAATCAGCGATGACCCGTTTGGATATGTGTCGAGATGGGCAAAAGGACGTCATGTCCGATATTTACACACGGGATTACGTGGGTATACATCTTCAGGCATTTGAAGCATATACACGTTTGTGTGGTGAGTGAGTGAGTGAGTTTAATTTTACGCCGCTTTTAGCAATATTCCCGCAATATGACGGCGGGGGACACCAGTAATGGGCTTCACATATTGTACCCATGTGGGGAAGCGAACCCGAATTCGTATAGATACTCCAAAAACTGCGTTTTGTAGTTCCTGTGTGACTGAACCAGAAGATGAATTCCATATTACATAAGTATGTTCTCTTTATAATGAGTTTCCTGCTAAATATTTACCTGAATACTGTCGTAATTACCCTCATGTTCAAATGTTTATTGAATTGATGAGAACAAGCGATAAGAATAGACTATTAAGACTTTGTATCATTCTTTAAAAAATGTTTGTACTTCGATCGAAGCAAAAATCTCTGTGAACATATAATTGTATCAATTGTAATAAGATCTTCATTCTCAGCGTGGCCCATATGCATGTCTTTACCATACTGTTTTACACATGTTGTACTGTTTGCCTCATGGCTATATATACGTAATAAACGATGATGTAACAGTGAGTGAGTATAATAATGAACAAACTTTATGGATAAAACTTCTTTGTTTCGTATGTGCGACGTTTCGATACAGATTCTTGTACAGCACACGAAATAAAGAAGTTGTTATCCATCAAGTTTGTTCATTATTGTACATCCCAACTTCTAAAATGCCACTCAAAGAAGTGAGTATAGTTTTACGCCGCTTTTAACAATATCCAGCAATACCACGGCGGGGGACACCAGAAATGGGCTTCACACAAATCGAACCCGGGTCTTATACGTGACGAGCGAACGCTTTAACCACTAGGCTACCCCACCGACCATTGTAGTAAATGATATAAGGATGTAATGATGTAAGGAATTGCAAAGGACATAATTTTGCGTAAATTCACTATTTCGTTTGATCTTTCATTTTTTATGGTACGACATACATTAATCAAAGATTACTACAATCATGTCACAGACAAGATGTTTAGTTTCGTTCGGCGGTAATTTTCAATGTACGTAGGAAACATTTGTAACCAAACAACCGCCTCTTTAACCAAGGCAGTGGGGTAGCCTAGGGGTTAAAGCTTTCGTTCTTCACGCCGAAGACCTGGTTTCGATTCCCCACATGTACAGTGTGTGAAGCCCATTTCTGGTGTCCCCGCCGTGATATTGCTGGAACATTGGTAAAAGCGGCGTAAAACCATACTCACTCACTCACTCCACTTTAACCGCTCCTGGCATAGGGCCTATTTCATACTAACGGATTTAACGATTTACATTACACATGATCTGCTAGTAAACAACTCGCCTCGTAAACCGATCCGTTATACTCGACGTCCATAGTAAAGGGGATTCCTACGTTCAGTGGCATGTAATGCAGACCATATCTGTTGCCCCAAACGCCGTTGACGTTCGTATTGAATACCATGAAGCGGCCATGTTCGTCGTTGAACCGGCTAGACACGTGCAGTGCAAGATTGGATCCACGAACTACATTCAGTTGGAATCTGAAAGATTGGCATTCATGATTACAAAATGATCCTGCAGTGAACTGTTTTTGTTTTGTTGTTTCAGAAAAAGGTACTCTCAACCACGGGAAGGACTGTAGTTAAGTGATCCAATAGGCACAACCATGTATAGTCTGTATATGAATCGTAGCATCATAGGTTTTCGGACATTATACATTATACGTGCTTAGGGACCGTTCATAATTTATGGCTAGGGGTGGTGGTGATAATTTGTATGGAGAAGCATGTACAATGTGAATGACCCCCCCTCTAAAATGTATGTACAAAATAAGTGACCCCCCTTGCATGTCATGTACAAAATCAATGACCCCCCCTCCCCTTCCCATAATCTCTTAGCATAATTTTAAACATATTTTTATGTACAAAATTGCTGATCCCCAATAGCTCCCCAGAACAAAATGGGTGAACCCCCACCCCCTAAAATCATCATCACCCACCCCTAGCCATAAATTATGAACGGTCCCTGTGAGTTGCGTCACACAGACTTTGTACATCCTTGAATGATGACTTGTGTTTTGGTAAAGTTTTCTTTTATATGTTAGAGAGAAGTTATAAATTCGTTCATGTGATTAGGAAGACATAACAAACGTTTCCTTTGTTGATTGGTTGGTTGATTTGTTGTTTAACGCCACACTCAACAATATTCCAGCTGTATGGAGTCGGTCTATAAATAATCGATTCTGTACCAGACAATCCAGTCATCAACAGCATGAGCATCGATCAACGCAATTGGGATACGATGACATGTGTCAACCAAGTCAGCATGCCTGACCACCCGATCCCGTGTGTCGCCTATTACGACAAGCATGGGTTACTGAAGATCAATTCTAAACCGGATCTTCACGGGTAGTTTCGTTAGTGTCTGAAAAGCCATAACACAAGGGTACATCGTAAATCACAACCGAAGTTTAAACACTATGAAACCGTTGAGGTATAATATGCTGAAGCATGTATAATCGATACTGGATCGATTTCATAGGTCAGTGAGTGAGTGAGTATGGTTTTATGCCGCTTTTAGCAATATTCGAGCAATATCACGGCTTGGGACACCAGATATGGGCTTCACACATTGTGCCCATGTGGAGACTCGAACTCGGATCTTCGGCGTGACGAGCGAACGCTTTAACCACTAGGCTACCCCGCCGCCCCCGATTTCATAGGTGTGTTACTAAAGTGAGAGATAGTGCCGAATCGTTACAACACACGGGTGTAGAATGGCATAACTTCCATATTAAAGCAAAACACTTGCCTTGTTTCCCTGGTAAAACTTGCATTGAGAGATAAAAAAAAGTTATCGAAGGACTTGCAAGGAATGTCGAATGCGGAAATCTGAAAACAAAACTCGGTATGAATTGTTGATAGGAACGTTCAACATTGTATGATGAATTTGTGTATATGCAATTCAGTCTAAAGCTCCTAATGTAAATCTTTAACTTTTCTCATAGATGCTTATACAAATTGCTGATCATGTGTAATAAAACCGACCGTTCATACATATTAACTATCTGATCAAGGGAAGTGATTCATATGACAGACTAACTGTTATTGCAATTATCTCAGTATAAAAGATTCTGTCTGGAGCAAGTAGACGAGAATGGCGTCTTGGGGTAGTATCTCTGTAAACTGTTTAACTTTCTTTCACATCTATAAAACACCAATTACTGAACATTCATTCGAATCTTCAAAACACAAAATATGGAAAATTCCAAATTCCATAGGATACAAAATCGTTAGCAATGTTCACAATCTTAAGATAATTTTGGAATTCAGTTTGATGAAAAGCAGGGAAATATCGATTGTCTGACGAAAAAGATAACTAGAGCCTTAAGTAAGTAACCATGTGGGGAATTGAAAATGGACCTTCGGCGTGACGAACGAACGCTTTAACCACTAGACTACCCCACCACCGCAAATATACTGGAATACCCATGTGGGGAATCGAACCCGGTTCTTCGGCGTGATGAGCGAACTTCTTAGCAACAAGGTTACCCCACTCCCTGTTTTTTAGCAGAGATTCCTTATGGATGTAGCAAGGGGTTTGTCGTTTCTGTTACATCAGGAATGTGTATGCAATTACCTTCACGTTCCAGATGGACTTTTCACATGTACTGGCTTCCTCCCACGTGCCGTCTTGTTGACAGCGGATGTCTGTGGTGGCTCCGCAGTAGATGTAGTCGTCGTCACAGTTGTAGGTGGCGATAGCCCCCCAAGACTGGAGCGGGTAGCTCACGGTGCCGTTTCCGGGGCTAGGGGGACTGCCACAATGTTCTGCACCTATAACACAATGTGTTGACAAGCCTGCATTCTGATATGCTCAATATTTTTATTACCCGCTGAAACAAATTGTGAACGTGACGTTTTGGGTGTGGTTCAACAGAATTCGATTTAAATTAATAGTATGGTCTGAGAAGCTGACTGAAATATTATTCCGCACCTCCAACATATGAGACGCTTTGAGTCCGTATTGGTGCCTCGCATCAGTATGCTATAGATGTCAGGCTTACTAATCTTCACAGATTGTAAAGATTGCAGAATACAGCCGCGCAAGGGTAGTTACTAAAACTAAGCCTAGAGAACACATCAAGCATGTACTCAAATCACTTAATTGGCTGCAAATCCAAGAAAGAATACAATTTAAAGACTTTTGTCTTGGGCACAGTCAGGCTGGTAAGGCTCATTATCAGCCCAGGGCCCTTGCCCCCCTCTACACGCAGACCACACAGCCAATGGGACTTCTGCCAGAAAGCGCTGCCTAGTCGAACCCACCAAGAACTTTCCGGAGAATATGAAGGCTACCAAACACTGCAGCCTTTTGCATTACCCAGAGCGTCAGAAGGGCTCTGCTCCCGGTGGAGAACCCGGGCACCAGGAGGTACCAAACCAAGGGCACCGAGAACAATGGGGAGCCTGAAAACAGTACTTGGGATGCAAGCGAGGCATTTCAAAGGCGATGTCCGCATATTTAGCCTGCTTATCCTGAATCTTGACCATCACATTGCTGTTAAAAGGCCAGACTTGTTTGCATGAATTCTTCTCAGGCTATATATGGGGCTATTACAAAGAAGTTTGAAAGCCTCAGTTTCCTTGACGCCCTAGACATGTTCAGGGTCGTACCATGGATGGGCCTCGCAATCAAAATCACAGGCGTGGCGAAGACGGTAGAAGTATAACAGTGCCAAAATTTACCTTACTTTTCTTCAAGTTTTTATCTATTTTGGATTTGTTTTACAATCTTATAATTTTACATTCTCACTCCAGTTAAGTCACATAGTTTCCAGAACCTACATAACTATTCTCAAATCTATAACATTCAAGCTGCCAGAACCGGACTAGCGACTCTGGGAGATTAGTAAGTGTTAGGCCACTGCTCTTTGTGTCTCAAACACAGAGTGATTATCAGAGTAGGTGCATTGTCGAGCTAGACAAGGCTGGCCAACCCAAAATAATTAACAAAGGACACCGACCCGAACGGTAACATTCCAGCAGCAATTATGTTTTCCAATTAGCTAACTTTGCCCCAGCTTTGGCTACCCAGCTTTGTCAAACTTGCGAAATATGACCAGTGTGTCATGCGGTCTTCGACTTGCTTTCAAATTCGGACAGGAGATTCGGGTATAAATACAGGTGTAGCTCGCCACTGAGTTATTCCTGTTTTGCCTGAGATCCTCTCTGTTTGTATTTGAAGGTAAGTCACTTTTACTTGTTACTTTTTCATTTGGTTAAATTTGCTTAAAGTCCTTCTAACCGTGTTACCCTGCTTGAACAATGAAATCATCTTACTTATTCTAAAGTGCTGCTCGAATTTTCCGTTTAGTCGCTATATGTTAATTCCTTGTAGTTTAAATAGATATTGAATAGGTTATGAATAATAGCGAATCCCAGATAAGGAATCATTACTGTCCTAGGCCACCATTAGTGTACCAGAAGCCTAAACTATCTCAGCTAGAATATACCGCTCACTTTAGTTACTGGAGTCGTGGATGCCGATCGTCAATACATGCCCAACGTGTGTAACGTTTAGAACATATTCCAAGAATCTGTATTTTTATCTCTGCCATATCACTTGTGATATTGTTTGTAATGTCAATACGAATATTGTCTACAGCTATGTATCTATTTTCTGATTGCAGAAGGTATTTATTTAAAGATAACCAGTCTGTGACCGTATATGTCAAGAATATGCTCTTTCTATAACAAAATGCGCACAGATATGGCAATGTCTTTTAAATATATATTCATTTAATGTATCTGAATTAACTAGAAGCACCGGTCGTTTTAGTGTTTTATGTTGTAGAGTAGTCACAAAGTGTCAGGCATCTCAATAACTACGTAAGAAATACAATGTTGGCAATTACCAACATTTCCCTTATAAACACCCATTTCTCATATATAACATATTCACTTTGTAAACCTTGAAAACTTAGATTAATGTTATACTGTTTAATTGTCATGATTTTTGTAAGTATCTTTGGGTTATCTTGGTTTACCGGAAAGTAATACGGTTGGTGGTTCGCCCAGCCGTCAGGTCATTGTTTACTTTACGGCGCACTGACCGTGACGCCCGACTTTTTAATCTTTGCTGTAGTTACCATGGTTACACGGCAGATATATTTGCGCTGTTATATTTACTTTTCTGTACAAGCTAAGTAGCCCTGTTATCTGTCACATTTAAATTCTATGCTATGGGAAATGTAAGGTTAAAAAATGTAAATATAGGAATGTCAGAATGAATAGTTAGGTGAGAGTAAGAATAGGTGAAACATTAATTGCCACGCTGTATTATCTCATGATAGTGTCTGGCTTTACAGTGTTTACTAAAATGTAATATGGATTCATTGATCCATTGATCAAGAAGAGTATTGCAGAGTGATCAATATATATAAGTGTTTTACACAATGTATATTGTAACATTACATTGTGTTAACGATGAACTAAGAACTTAAATGTTAACTATAGAATGCTAATTGAATGTATGTTGCTTTCACATATATTTAATAAAGATTCCGGTTTTGCCTGAGATCCTCTCTGTTTGTATTTGAAGGTGTGGACATCCCAGAGCTAATTACCCGTAACAATTCTAGGTTTAAGACAGTAGCGCAAGCTAACTGTTTCAGAAGAAACAACGAGTCATGACTTCATGTGACTGGTCGTGGGCAGCAAAAAGGGGCAGCTCTGTTTCACATTTAGGAGTCGTGGGATTGCTATTCTGTTCCACACACTGCATTTGTACACGATGCAGTGGCTTCTTAGACAGCTTCTCCACAAGTGATTGACTCTGGGCAGCCTTGGTGAAGGACTTCACCTGGTTTACTCCCATCGCTGTACCGTCCAACAATACATTTCCATCAACAAAATCAACCTAAAATATCAGATTCTGTCCAACAACCTTGGCATGCTTAAAATAGCTGTGGAATTCATTGCTATTATCATGAGTCTTGACGTGTATCACCAGAGGGTCATCCGATAAATATATGTGTGTGCAAAATTCTTTCATGAAGAGCCTCCACATTAATCAAACCCCGACTTCCCGAATTGATTGGCATATATAAACGCTTGAGAGAAGAACGAGGGTGGTGGGCTCTGTTGTCAGACAAGATCCTTCTGGTCAGGCGGTCAAGACTGGATAGCTTGTTTTGTCCAATCAACTACTCTAAAGGAATAGGAAAGAACTGGCACAGCAAAACAATTGGTGGCTTTGACCTTGTTTCTAGCATTTAGCTCTGAGCTCCAGATTTTCTGTAAGCGAGTTTTATACTCGGCCCGAAGTTTGTCTTGAATTTGGGCATTCTGGAGCTTGTCTCGAACGTGCATTCCAAGATATGTGAAGGCCTGCTTATTATTATTATTATTATTATGAACATGGTTTTGTTCATTACTATTTTGCTCAGTTATGCTTGTCTGTCTATGGTTGTTTTTAAATTGATGAAAAGTGTATTTATAAAGTTTATTCATTCTCATGTATAATTGCCAGTACCAACCTGCAACACAGTAGGATCTCTTGAGTCGGTCGACAGCGCATCTGGAACCAGGGATGCAGTTTATGTCCTCGCATGGTCCGACTAAAGACTAAAGAGCAATACACAGTCAAATGATTAATGAACATTCAGGGTGGTACAGATGATCTGATCATACCCGTGAAGATCCGGGTTAGAATTGATCTTCAGTAACCTATTCTTATCGTAAGGGGCGACTAACGGGATCGGGTGGTCAGGCTCGCTGACTTGGTTGACACGTGTTATCGTGTCCGTATTGCGTAGATCGATGCTCATGCTGTTGATGACTGGATTGTCTGGTCCAGACTCGATTATTTATAGACCGCTGCAACATAGCGTGTCGTAGACGGAATGAGCGTCAGGCCCCAAGGACCCAAAATCATAAAAGGTTGTGGGTCCTGATCAGAATGTGTAGGCCCTATATTTTAATATGGAAATAATTCTCTTACTGGCAAACAAGGATAAGTTGGACCGGCGCAGAGAACGTGTTTACAAGAAGTAGGCGGTGCACGTCAATGAGCAAACCCATTTGGTTTGTGAAAGGTAGAGCAGATGTAGGCTAGTGCACGTGCATTGCATGACGATGAAATTGATTCCTGACATTGTCGAACTCGGTGTTTGATGAGACAGGCCACGCGCTTCACCCATCGCACTACACTTGATCACTGTCAACCTGGGGCCCCTTCGTTAACAATGGCAAGCGCCAGTGGGCGGCACTCATACATGCCAAGTACGGGTCAATTGTCAGGTCGGTGCTCAACTTATCCTTGTTTGCCAGTAGTTATTGAGGATGAGAAAACTGTCGGCCATAAGGACCTGCAGAAAACAAAAGCTGTGGGTACGAGTGGTTTTCAGTCGGCCTCGGGCCTAAGGACCGACGTTAATTTCGAACGCTGGGCAGAGCATCTTTACCGGTTATTGATGGGCGTGACATCTTGGAGGTACACCTGGTGGCACACCTGGAGGCACACCTGGAGGCATTTGCACTCCAGTATGGACGCCGTTATGTATTTCGGGATGAAAACGCAAAAGCACACATGGCTAGTATGGTTGGTGAGTACCTACAACATAGCCATCTTAGCATTGCCAGCATTCAGTCCAGACTCGTCATCCATCGAACAAGTCTGGGATACCGTTGGACATTGGACGTTTGATTAGGAGTATGCCTTATTGGAATTCAAGGTAAATGACGTAATGGACACCAGGGCTCTTTGACCAATCATCTGACAAATCATCTGACCTTCAACGACTATTGCAAATCTCAATGAGATGTCCCTGTTATACGTTTTAACTATATATACCAGTAAATATATAAAATACCAACAACTGTGACGCATTTTATGGAATATCCCGTACTTTTCCAACAGTATATTTAATATTTCTTTAATCCAAAGCGCTCTAATTATTTCAGTCCAGCCTTGATTATGTAATTATATCGAGTGAAAGTATCTGATAAAAAACATGTCCTTACCTTCGGCCAATGCGTGATATCACTGTAGACGAAACCATTTTCATGAACGATGGTGCCGCTGTTACTGTCATCACTGTTAAGGTAACAAACTTTATTTTTCTTCATGAAGCTGACTGACAAACAATTTCGGTTCATCAGACATTCCGCTCCACACTGGTACAAGGTGGACGATTGCAGAACGTGAAAAACACTCATTGGCATGACGTAGTTTTGAATCAACAGAAACTCGAGGTCAACACAAGAACATCTCACGCATGTGAACAATAAAACAACATAACATAGCCTTAGAGTTCCGAAGCATTCTCGAAAATAACGCCTGGAGACCATTAGGATATTTGGAAACAATTCTCTGGAGAACGACAGACTGTATATCCGATGCAATCCTCGTTTTCAAAGCAAATTCATATGCAGGTTTTCCAATGAATAATTCTGATAATTCTTCTTGGTCTGGTACTAAAAGCGTGTAGATTCAAGCGATTGACTGATGCCACATCCGTTGTCAAAGCAACGTCTGGAACCTGAATCACCAAATCGATACTACTTGTCTACCTTTCAGTCACTCAGTAATCGATAGACAATGATGTTATGTTTATCCGTCACTCCAATTCGTTAAACATACATAATGATTGTAGTTTTTGTTGTTATCTATATGTTTGAAACTTAACGACCGAATCCGAGAACTACAGAGGTGCGGCTTTTCTTTCCTTTTTTTGTTTGTTTACGACACACTTTATTGTCCATAGGAACATATGAAAAACAGTTTCTGAACATCGCTAGTACAATACAACTGGTTTACAAACTGGGTTTGACACACATATGTATGTTACTCTTTACATCCACCATTCTGCTGCATCGGTTACTTAACAAACATCACAAGATGCACCCCAGATTCTTCAAAACTGTTTTGTACTACAAACACCTACAGTATGTGCAATGCCAGTCTTTTAAAACCTACTTCAGGACTTAATACTACAAATTCTGTAAACCAAGGCTAAAGTAAACAAGTTGGATTCAAGGCTGGTATGGACAGCATCAATAGCCATGTAAAGGTGGGAGGAAAGCCTGATCCAGGTGGACATTTACCACATAGGAGAAACCAACACAGTTAAGGTGCATTATATAATGGATCACGGTGGAATGAGTGAGTTTGGTTTAAACACTGGCTTGACAAATATTCCAATTGTATCATGTGTGTCTGCTTGATGTGGGAAGAAAATCCAAAGTGATAACATTCTCAGATATTTATACCTTTCTTGAAACCCAGGAGAGGATATAATGCTGACAGATCTGGAAACATACTTAGATCAAAAAGGTATTCCTACCCCCTATCATAAATATTATGGTGCGGCTTTTCAGTAGCCTCAACCGGTTCATTACATAGGTCATTGTTGTGGAAGAGTTCAAGTATACACATGTACTGAGTTACACGATATATCATAAAGAATAATGACAATTATTATGGATATACAAATTATTTTATTCTGTTGAGGCGACGTTTCGACATAGATTCATCACTTGCTTGACAACGACATTAGAATCTATATCGAAACGTCGCCTCCACAGAATAAAAGATTCATAATAATTGTCATCATTCTTTATCCACTCAACTTCTAAAATGCTTATCAAAGAAGTAAAACGATATATCATATACACTACATAGATAAATAATTGAATAATAAATGTGTTCGTTATGGTGTTGGTTATGCCTAGCAACGAAATGAGGTGCGGCAGAAAATCAAGTTATATAATACTTGTCTTACATTGAATATATCAAATATATATGTAGAGGTGATAATCACTTTTAGAAATGAACTGGTGTAATAGAGTTGATAATGTCACTATTTGTTGACTTATTCAATGCGCCGTTACCGTATAAAGTAGTTTTAACATCGTACCCTAAATTGATTAACGTTAACAGCTCCATCGAGCAATAAACTCCACGACATAATCGTGCTCGGTAAAAATGATTGAGAATATCTTTGCGTTCTACAGTTAATAGTTTGAATGGAAGTTGGAGGGATTATGTCCAATTTCCAAAACAAACAACCTGTACTATATGTTTACACAGTTTCAATCCGAGTACAGGAGTTATCTCCAAATATCGAAACAAACAATGAACGATCATTGTCACAAGTCTCCCTTATAGGTTTATTTCAAAGAGTAGACAAACTGGGAGTAATCAGCTATACAGGTACAGTACATTATTAAGTGTAGGTGTGCTCCATTATATGTTTATGTTCATGAGTAGACAAACTGGGAGTAATCACCTATACAGGTACAGTACATTATTAAGTGTAGGTGTGCTCCATTATATGTTTATGTTCATGAGTAGACAAACTGGGAGTAATCACCTATACAGGTACAGTACATTATTAAGTGTAGGGGTGCTCCATTATATGTTTATGTTCACATTGGGATAATCACCTATACAGGTACAGTACATTATTAAGTGTAGGGTGCTCCATTATATGTTTATGGTCATGAGTAGTCAAACTGGGAGTAATCACCTATACAGGTACAGTACATTATTAAGTGTAGGGGTGCTCCATTATATGTTTATGGTCATGAGTAGTCAAACTGGGAGTAATCACCTATACAGGTACAGTACATTATTAAGTGTAGGTGTGCTCCATTATATGTTTATGGTCATGAGTAGTCAAACTGGGAGTAATCACCTATACAGGTACAGTACATTATTAAGTGTAGGTGTGCTCCATTATATGTTTATGGTCATGAGTAGTCAAACTGGGAGTAATCACCTATACAGGTACAGTACATTATTAAGTGTAGGGTGCTCCATTATATGTTTATGGTCATGAGTAGACAAACTGGGAGTAATCACCTATACAGGTACAGTACATTATTAAGTGTAGGTGTGCTCCATTATATGTTTATGTTCATGAGTAGACAAACTGGGAGTAATCACCTATACAGGTACAGTACATTATTAAGTGTAGGTGTGCTCCATTATATGTTTATGTTCATGAGTAGACAAACTGGGAGTAATCACCTATACAGGTACAGTACATTATTAAGTGTAGTAGGTGCTCCATTATATGTTTATGGTCATGAGTAGACAAACTGGGGAGTAATCACCTATACAGGTACAGTACATTATTAAGTGTAGGGGTGCTCCATTATATGTTTATGTTCATGAGTAGACAAACTGGGAGTAATCACCTATACAGGTACAGTACATTATTAAGTGTAGGGTGCTCCATTATATGTTTATGGTCATGAGTAGACAAACTGGGAGTAATCAATCACCTATACAGGTAGGTACAGTACATTATTAAGTGTGTTCACGGTAGTGCTCCATTATATCAGCTATACAGGTACAGTACATTATTAAGTGTAGGTGTGCTCCATTATATGTTTATGGTCATGAGTAGACAAACTGGGAGTAATCACCTATACAGGTACAGTACATTATTAAGTGTAGGGGTGCTCCATTATATGTTTATGTTCATGAGTAGACAAACTGGGAGTAATCACCTATACAGGTACAGTACATTATTAAGTGTAGGTGTGCTCCATTATATGTTTATGTTCACGAGTAGACAAACTGGGAGTAATCACCTATACAGGTACAGTACATTATTAAGTGTAGGGGTGCTCCATTATATGTTTATGGCCACGAGTAGCCAAACTGGGAGTAATCACCTATACAGGTACAGTACATTATTAAGTGTAGGGGTGCTCCATTATATGTTTATGTTCATGAGTAGCCAAACTGGGAGTAATCAGCTATACAGGTACAGTACATTATTAAGTGTAGGGGTGCTCCATTATATGTTTATGTTCATGAGTAGACAAACTGGGAGTAATCACCTATACTATACAGGTACAGTACATTATTAAGTGTAGGGGTGCTCCATTATATGTTTATGTTCATGAGTAGCCAAACTGGGAGTAATCAGCTATACAGGTACAGTACATTATTAAGTGTAGGGGTGCTCCATTATATGTTTATGTTCACGAGTAGACAAACTGGGAGTAATCAGCTATACAGGTACAGTACATTATTAAGTGTAGGTGTGCTCCATTATATGTTTATGTTCATGAGTAGACAAACTGGGAGTAATCACCTATACAGGTACAGTACATTATTAAGTGTAGGTGTGCTCCATTATATGTTTATGTTCATGAGTAGACAAACTGGGAGTAATCACCTATACAGGTACAGTACATTATTAAGTGTAGGGGTGCTCCATTATATGTTTATGTTCATGAGTAGACAAACTGGGAGTAATCACCTATACAGGTACAGTACATTATTAAGTGTAGGGGTGCTCCATTATATGTTTATGTTCATGAGTAGTCAAACTGGGAGTAATCACCTATACAGGTACAGTACATTATTAAGTGTAGGGGTGCTCCATTATATGTTTATGTTCATGAGTAGACAAACTGGGAGTAATCAGCTATACAGGTACAGTACATTATTAAGTGTAGGGGTGCTCCATTATATGTTTATGTTCATGAGTAGTCAAACTGGGAGTAATCAGCTATACAGGTACAGTACATTATTAAGTGTAGGGTGCTCCATTATATGTTTATGTTCATGAGTAGTCCAAACTGGGAGTAATCAGCTATACAGGTACAGTACATTATTAAGTGTAGGGGTGCTCCATTATATGTTTATGTTCATGAGTAGTCAAACTGGGAGTAATCACCTATACAGGTACAGTACATTATTAAGTGTAGGGTGCTCCATTATATGTTTATGTCATGAGTCAAACAAACTGGGAGTAATCAGCTATACAGGTACAGTACATTATGCTCCAAGTGTAGGGGTGCTCCATTATATGTTTATGGTCAGTACATTATGAGTAGCTCCAAACTGGGAGTAATCAGTAATCACTTATACAGGTACAGTACATTATTAAGTGTAGGGGTGCTCCATTATATGTTTATGGTCATGAGTAGACAAACTGGGAGTAATCACCTATACAGGTACAGTACATTATTAAGTGTAGGGGTGCTCCATTATATGTTTATGGTCATGAGTAGTCAAACTGGGAGTAATACACCTATACAGGTACAGTATTATATGTTTATTAAGTAGTACTGGGGTGCTCCATTATATGTTTATGGCTCATGAGTAGTCAAACTGGGAGTAATCACCTATACAGGTACAGTACATTATTAAGTGTAGGGGTGCTCCATTATATGTTTATGGTCATGAGTAGTCAAACTGG